ACCTGACGTGCGACATAAGAGAGGTGTGACACAAAAGAAACTGTGAGTATCCTCAACGGCCTTGCTTCAGTGAGCAATCGTGCGTGCACTCTGCATCCACCAACACCCAACACGCAAAGAATACTAGTTTTGAGGCGCCTCTAAACTAGATTGCATCCAACAACACCCAACGAATACTCTCCTCGGCAAAAGGAGAAACAGAAGCGGTTGGGTGTTGGGTGTTGTTGGTCCACCAACACCAACACCCAACGAATATTCTCAAGAGTGAACCCGGCAAAAGGAGAAACAAAAGCGGTTCACTTCAGTGTCTCGCGCTTTCGCTCTGCGTCGAATAGCGCCAGGTAAACCACCTGCGGGTATCATGTGAAAACAGAAGAGTTTTGAGACGTCTCAAAGCACTGCTTTCACTCGGCGTCTAACAGCGCCACGTAAATCACCTGCGGGTAACATAAACGACCCGGGAGAAGAGGGAGAGCATATATGCACTCTGCACCTACAAGAACGTGTGATGTGACTCGAGGGATGTGGCCGGACGAAGCTCGGCAGCACAAGGAGTTGAGGCAATGGAGGAGCACCATGAAGGATTCATATGCTGCATGGATCCTACAGTGCCATGCTGCAGCGCCATGCTACAGTGCCATGCTGCAGTGCCATGCTGCAGTGCCATGCTGCAGTGCGTTGTACAAAGAGAACTTTGAGACGTCTAAAAAAATTTCTCTTTACACGAAGCTCAGAAGCACAAGGAGTTGAGGCACTGGAGGAGCACCATGAAGGATTCGTATGCTACAGTGCGTTGTGCGCTTTACAACATGCTTTAAAATGGTAACATGCTTTATGGTGATAACATGCTTTACAATGATAACATGCTTTATAATGATAACATGCTAAATCATTATAACATGCTTTCTAATGATAACATGCTATATCATGATAACATTCTTTATCATGATAACATGCTACAAAATGATAACACGGTCTAGTATGCTACACATGCTCTTTAGGGTTACTGACTCACCTTATCGTAGCCCTCCTTGCCGCACCCAGCACCCGTGTCCCACCACTGCCAAGCAGTCCGCCCCACAAAAAACAGTTCCGGCCGCTCCCCTCTCTGCCATTCCAATGCTGATGCTCCCGATCCTGGTGCTGATGCTAGCAATGGTGCTGCTGTTGCTGTAGCAGCCGCATCAGCTGTAGCAGCAGCACCGCCTACTTCAGCAGCAACACCAGCTGTAGCAGAAGAAGCAGCAGCAGCAGCTACAGAGTCCTGACAAGCCAACTCAAACATGCGGAGGTGCTTTGCTCTCCTCCTCTCCTTCCTCGTCCGCTTCCTCCTCCTCACTCCCCCCCCCTCCTGCTGCTCTCGTCCCCTCACCCCTCTCTCCTCTCCCTCTGCTCTCTCCTCTACCTCCTCCATCTCCTCTCCTTCCTCCATCTCTTCTCCCTCCACTCCCTCCAGCTCCTCTCTTACCTCCTCTTCCCTTCTCTCTAATATCCCCTCACTGTTGCTACCATCCACCAGCGCCCCTTCTTTCACTGCTGCCCTACCTACTCCTATTGAACCCACTCCTATTGAACCCACTCCAACTGATCCTACTCCCAATCCTAGTTCCGTACCTGCCTTAGCCACAGGAGGCCCAAGGCGGAAGGCAGTGGCATCCCCAAGGAATAACCGGCACCTGTCTGTCAGCCGGTGCTTCTGCAGCAGCGTGCGACACGCAGCCAGGCGGGCCGGGGAGACGTCCACTGCTGTCACAGTCCCCGTTACAGCAGGAGCGCTCGTGCTTCTAGGAGCAGGGCTGCTGTTGAGCGGAACTGAGCTGTGAGCACCATCATCATCTCTCGCTGTACAAGGGGCAGAAGAGAGCTCATCCAAAATCAAGCAGAGCTTGGCACCTGGAGCAGGGCAACAACAGTGTGAAAGGCTTTGAAGGGGAATCTATAAAGGCGTTTTGAAATAGGACCGCTTAGTCCCAACCTGTGGCAGCACAGCACAGATATAGAAGATATGGTCCTGGAACTAACAGGCTGCGAAGTAGGCCCCTAGCAATGATTTGCAGGCTCACCCGTTTTCGATACCTTCTCTCTAGGCCTACTTGCCCGTGAGCTTGCACTACTTAGTTCCTCCTGGCCCACCTGTTCCTTGCTCTCTATTTGCTGTACAGGCTCACCTGTTTAATGTTGATTTTACACAACGATACAAGAAGGACCGTTCGAGGACATGGTCCAACAGAATATGATACTTATGAGATGCCTCAAGGGACGGTTTTTTTGGGCGACATGCTAAGCACCTCAAAACTTGCAGAGCAGAGGTCAAGGACGTGGTCTGACGGGTCATGCACCTGCCAATCCTATGCTACAGATTTTCTAAACTGCAGCTCGCACAGTGTATGGCTAGTCCTTGTGATCGAATCGATAAAATCCTCAAAAATCGTCCACTTTACATGGATAATAGAATGCGTACCTGGGGCAGCACAGAGGTCGAGGACGTGGTCTGACGGGGATAGCTGCAGCGCTGCCACTGCTGCTCCTGATGCACCATCCATGCCAAATATCTGACGATGGCACAAGCAAGCAAGGGAGTGGGAGGAGACGGGGTTATTGAGCTGACTTTTAAGTCGACTCAAACGACACAAGCAAGCAGGGGAGTGGGAGGAGACGGGCTTATCGTGGTGTAGAGCGCCATTTGAGACGACTCAAAAGCTGCAGCGCTGCCACTGCTGCTCCTGACGCTGCATCCATGCCAAATATCTGATGGCGCCACATGAATTTTCACCTGGGCCTTCCTGTACGCCAGGGCCAGGGTGTCTAAAACGTTGAAATCTCCTGTGAAAGAGCAACACTGATGGTGGAACCTTAAGAAAGCACTGCACCTGAATTCTCACCTGGCCTCTCTTATACACAGTGGTGCCCGAAATGTTGAAATCTCCTGGGAGAGAGAAGAATCCCTTCAGCCATGGTACTGCCACCATGCCTGCTGCTGGTATTCCTTCTTTCCCCAGCAACAGCCCTGCAAGCTCCTCCTTCACTTCTTCCACCTCTTCTTCACCCAGCCCCCCTCGCAGCCTGGCAGAAGGGACGAAAGGGAAGAAGGATATGAAAGAGGAGAAACAGCAGCGAATGAAGTTCATCCACTTCCCATCAGCCCTGCAAGCTCCTCCCTCACTTCTTCCACCTCTGCTTCACCCAGCCCCCCTCGCAGCCTGGCAGAAGGGACGAAAGGGAAGAAGGATATGAAAGAGGAGAAACAGCAGCGAATGAAGTTCCTCCACTTCCCATCAGCCCTGCAAACTCCTCCCTCACTTCTTCCGCCTCCGCTTCACTCAGCCCCCCTCGCAGCCTGGCAGAAGGGACGAAAGGGAAGAAGGATATGAAAGAGGAGAAACAGCAGCGAATGAAGTTCCTCCACTTCCCATCAGCCCTGCAAGCTCCTCCTTCACTTCTTCCGCCTCTGCTTCACTCAGGCCCCCCCCCAGCCTGATAGGATCAAGGGGACGGAGGGGACGAAGGGAAAGGAGGAAGGAAGAGGAGAAGAAAGCTCTGTTGGGACTGCTGCTGCCCTCCTCAGAAATCCCACAGCAGGGGAAATGCAAGGTGACTTTTGAGGTCCTCCCCTCCCCAGCAGCAATTGGGGAGGGGTCCTCCCCTCCCCAGAGGCAAGGTCACTTTTGAGTCGACTCAAAAGTCACCTCGACTCAAAAGTTGCCCTCCTCAGAAATCCCACAGCAGGGGAAATGCACTTGGGGTTCCTCCCCTCCCCAGAAGCAGCCCTGCAACAACCTCCTCCCTCACCTCGTGCACCTCTGCTTCACTCATCCCCCCTCGCAGCCCGACAGAAGGGGAGGGAGGGAGCAGATGAAAGACGAGAAGAAGGCTCGTTTGGGGTTCCTCCCCTCCCCAGCAGCAGCCCTGCAGCAACAACCTCCTCCCTCACCTCTGCTTGGCTGAGCTACCCACTTGCCTGATGTATCGGGGAAGGTCAGCGTGGCGGCTGTAGATGCTCGGATCGATCCCATTCTCCTCCAGAAACTTGAGAAACTCGCCGGGAAACGAATGCGGCTGCTGTGATTGCCGGAGTTGCTGCTGCTGCTGCTGCTGCTCCTGTTCCTCTTCCTGTTGTTGATGGCCCATCGGGTTATCTGGGTTTAGCTCGCCATTAGCCTGATTTCCAACAGTCACGCTTTGCACAGTCTCATTCGCGATTGTCTCGTCTTCACTGAGCATTCCGGCTTGGCGCGCAGTGGCTTGCGCGCGGCTGTTGCGATGGGCCAGGAGTCCCGGCGAAGGGGAGCGCGGAAACTGCGGGGATTGGCGCGCAGCGGATTGCGAAGCAAGCGGAGAAAGGGGGGACCAGCGGAGCGAGCAACGGAGTGCGCGCGAAAGGGGAAACTGACGCGAGCGATTCGAAAAGAGTTGAGTGCGACGAAAGGCGATGGTACGCGACAGAGTGCGACAGAATGCGAAGCTGTAAGTTGCGCGAGAGGAGGGGAGGAGTGACACGCGCGAAGGGAGGAGGAGAGGAGAGGCCATGCGACGATTGAGTGAGACACGCCGAGAAAATGCTTCTACTAATGACTTCTGCTACGTGTTTAGGCCATGCACGCGGAATACGCTAAGGAGGTGAAGGGGCGAAGGGTGAGAGGGACGAGGGAGAGTGGAGGTAGAGCAACTTATGATGTACGCGTTGCGATTGTTTCGGTGGCCTTTGGTAAAATGCGCCAGAAGCATGGCCGGCAAAGTAGAAGGGGCAAAGTTTGTACGTAAAATGCACTTCCAAATTAGTGCTCTTACCTATAATGGTTCAGCGCTCCTAAACCTTCTAAGCCCGAAGGTGGATTGATGTCAGAACCGGTAGCAGCCACATCCTGATCTTCAGCAGCTTCAGCTAGATGTTTCTCAGCATTCTGTGTAAAATACTGCCTTTTGCTTTGCATTGCACAACCACCATGAATCCACATCATACATTGTACATTGAACAACCACCTAAGCCCTAACTCATCCTTTCAAGGCTTGAAGGTGGTTTGCTGCCAGAGGTTGATGATATCAGTGGCCTGGTTAAGAAGAATGATCACCCGCTTGCGCGACAGCCACGGCTTGCTCTCCAGCAGCTCCCTCAGCTCCTCCCAGGCATCCTTGCGCGGCCAGAACATGTACGAGCTGACCGGAACAGTGCCCTGCCCGGGAATCATCTGGTCCACGGCAATCCCGATGTTCTTCTCTGAAAAATTGTGTGAACGGGAGAAGCACAAGAGAGGAATGTGTGAGATGATGAGTACAAAAGAATTTGTTCTATTCACAGCAATACCATTGTTACTCTGAAGATTTCCTGAGTCATTGGTGAAAAGTGTTCTCCAAGAGAACGGAAGGAAGGAAGAAGGTAGAAACTGAAGAGTAGGGAATAGGAAGAAGGGGGGAAATGAGAACAGGATAAGAAAATTGGACTAGAGAGAGGAAGCAGCGATGGGACCACTGCAACTGGAGGTTCAAGAACCATTGTCCAGCATTAAACATTGACTCATGAGAATCAGAGGAATCTGAAGAGATAAGACTGATTTTTTATTATTATTATTATTATTATTATTATTTTTTTGGCTTGTACGACATTGTCGTAAGATAAGACTGAGGAGTCTTCATTACATGCAGACGTCCGCGTCTGCGCTAAAGGATAACGAGTCTTTCCGTGTGGCCATGAAACTGCGTTTCACTATTGCATATTTTTCAAAAGTGGCTAAAATGTGGCCATGAGACAGCTTCCTAGTCTTAGTCGAAGATCAGTCATAATAATAGTACTTTCCGACTGATTACGAGTTGAGGGACCTGAAGAACTTCAAACGGTGACTGTTTCTTAGAACAGATCCTGTAGTCCCCTGCATTGCAACATTTTGCCGGCTCGAAAATCGACTAGACCCCGCATCGACTCAAATTGACCACGTAATCCGCTGATCGAGATGGCAGTTTCCGTTCATGAACATCGCAAGCCCAAGATCGTGCATGAGCCGTCCCCATTGCAAGCGTCACGCCGAAAGTGCCACTGCAGAGCAACCCCAAAGCAGCTGCGACATTGGCACCGGTTCGTGCACGTCAAGGAGGAAAACTAGACTACAGCGTCGGAAGGACGAAACTACCAGCTGCAGCTGCAGGAAACATAAACTAAACCCGGAACCCTAGTTCTCGCATTCGCGTGTCCCTGGCTTCTCGTCCGACTATCAAGGAATATCGATAACCCATAACAGTGACCTCCCCTAGGCCTAGAGGCTCGAGAGCGTGAAATGCGGGACGCACCGAGCCAGACGAATTTAAGGAGCAGCCGTTGCTTGCCCTCCTTGACGGACAGCACCTTCACCTTCTTAGGTTCCTCCGCCGCCGCCTCGCTCCCCGCCTCCGCCACCGCCGCGCGCGGAGCGACGACGCGCTCCGCCCGCGCGGGGAATGCGCGCACCGCGGGAAGGGCTTGCGCGGAGAAGGAAGGTGTGCGGAGGGAAACGCGCGCGGAGCACGCAGTAGCGCGGGCGGCGGGCGCGGCTGTGTAGGCGGCAGGGAAGGCTACTTGAGATGTGGCTGCCATGGCTGCCCTGTTTCTCAAGGTACAGAAAAAGGAGAGACTCGTCACGTAGCTAAGTCAACGCTAGGTGACAGGCGATATACTAGTGTGGGAAATGGGAGAGGGAATGAAAGTAATTTAGGGCAGCACTAGGACTCGAAAAGCAGTGAGTCGCTAACGTGGGTTTAGATGCGCTGTAAAACGTTGGAGTCAGGTGACGAGCGTTACAGAGTGGTCACACCTGGCTTGGTGGGCTACGCTTAGGGAAGCGGGAAGGTCGGTTTGGAGATTGGGGCCGAGGCAAATATGGTAGGGCTCCGATGGGTGACGTGTCGAAAAAGTGATGGGCGGTGACGGTGAGTCATCCGAAACTGGCCTGGAGGTGATGGAGGTGCTGCCATTTGGCGCTAATTACTCGGTTTGTAAGTGCCCCGTTTGCGTCTCGAAGCTGTCATGCATGAAATATGCGCATATATACGTATATACATCAACTCACCACAACTTTAACCCTCATTGTTCTAGTGTATTCTTGCTGTGTCTGTTCACTACTGAACCTTCCAATGGTATATGACGTACCGTATCAGTACCTACCTTCAGCAATTTGGGTTCAAATCTGTGTATGTCATTGCACATGTCAACCATCTTGACACAAACTCTCATGTCATACTTGCCAACCAACACCCACCTAGAGTACAGGCAAAAATAACTAACAATCATCACTTCTGGTGTCCATTGTTTCAGGTCTAAGAATCCACTTCATTCTTTTTCCTGAACCACTTCCCCCATGCCTCCATTTTGTCAACCCCACATCTCCACACACACCCCCACGCCTCCTCCCCCTCCTCCAACTGCCCAGGCACTTCCAACATCTTCACTGCTTTCCCCACCCCCATCCGCACCAACTCTCTCTCATAAACCCTCTCATCTTCCCCAGGAATCTCAATCCTAACCTCCTTCACTTGAACACCCCCCACACTCCTTCCACCACCACCACCCCCTAGCGCTCGCCCCATCTCAGACAAATTCTCCAGCAGTTCAAACTCAGGACTCAGCCCCATACCCATTCCTGTCCCCCCCATAGGGTCCCTAAACCCTGGAATCGGGTCCCTTGAACCCTCCACAACCCTGAAATCATCCAGCGTATCTAAACCCGTCTGACGGAGGATCAACGACGGCAATGGTCCAGATTTCTCGCACCAGAGGCAGAAGAACCCAGCAGTTATTAACTCAGCCCCGGCCGGCGACACGAGCCTGAGTGACAGCACCAGCGAATCCCGTTCCACTCGGAACAGGTCCGGGAACATCCGTGCCTCGTTCGCAGCGTAGAAAAAATCCGCAGCTGCTTGGGTGAGATGCAGGGAATAGGCCGTGTCAATAATGGCGTTGGCAACGGCACGGGTGGGCTCGATGGGGCAGGGCGGGAGGGTGAGGAAGGAACGGAATTCGGCGAGAATGCGCGGTGGGACGTGCATGAATGCTGGGTCGGCGTTGCTGTCGATGTCGTCTACGAGCTCGTCCGGGTCAGCATCTTCCTTGCTGGAGGTTTTCTTGTCTGCCACGTCAGCAGTGCTGGGATCCAAGCCAGCGGTGTCTGAGTCCACGTCAGCACGTGGCCGTCTAGCAGAGCTGCTGCTGCTGGTATCCTCCTCATTCCCATCGCTACCCTCGTTGCCACTACCATTGCTACCCTCCCATTCCATAGAGGCCAACAGCACCCATTCTCCCTCTCCCTCACTCCCCGACCCCTCCACCCCTCCTGCTTGCTCCGCTCCGAAATACACCCTTTCCCCCTCCTTCTCCCTCCCCACCTGTTTCGGCCTCCTCACGCCTCCGAACCCCTTCTTTTCCTTCTCAAACCCCTTCTTTTCCTTCTCAAACCCCTTCTTATCACTCTCAAACCCTCTTCCTCCAAACCCCTTACTAACCTGCCCCTGCCCTTCCCCCCCCGCTCTCCTCCCCTTCCCTCCCCTCACTCCACTCCCCTTCCCTCCTCCTCTCCCTCCCCCACCCCGTCCCCTTCCCCCTCCCCCTCGCCCTCCCCCTCTCCCTCCCCTTCCTCCCCCCTCCTCCCTTACAACAGGAGACTCCCCTTCCTCCTGATTCGCCTTAGCCCACCCCGAAACCAGAAACCCCGACACCAGTGGCGGCGCCCCGCACAGCACGGCGTGCGACATGAGCAGCAGCAGCAGCACCGACAGATGCTGCTTCGTCCGCCCCTCCACCACCGGAATCAGCCTCGTCAGCCGGAAAAACCCGATCACCAGAGGGAAGAAGGCCGGGTCGGCCCTCCGCAGCATACTCCCTCCCTGAATCCCTCTGTAGGACTCTCCCCCCCTAATATCCCTGTTTCGATTGACTAGGCGCTCGTTGACTATGAACTGTGCGGTGTGCATTGCATCGTCAAAATCTCCTCGGTCGATTTGGATGGAGAGGAGGGAGGAGAGGAGGAGGAGGTCACTGGAGTAGGTGTAGGGAAGGGCCTGAGCAGCATCCTGATCGCTCTCATCGCTCTTATCGCTAGAATGGATGTCAGAGGGCCATCGAAAGGAGAACGGTTGCTGCTGCTGCTGCTGCTGCTGCTCCTGTTCTCCCAGCAGCGTCGCTGTCGCTGTCTCTGTCGCTGTCCTGGTCACCGCACTGAACTCCTCGCCGAGGCCTTCATACTGCAGCACCGGCCGTGCAGGAAAGACCATACTCATGCTAATACCCAAACCCACACCCATTTCCATCTGCAACCCAAACGGCCCAACCAACCCCTCTATCTTCTCCAGCCTCTCCTCCTCCCCTGCTGCTGCCAGCACATGTAATCCCACACCCCAGAACACAGCTAGGTCAACGGCGCGTGCACGGGTGAAGTAGACACGAAGGACTTGGTAGCATTCTTGCTCTTTGCCGGCGGAAGCGAGAGAGTGGGCGAGGGCGAGGAGGGCGGAGGAGTAGGGGGTTATGCTGAGAGAGAGGGCTTGGGAGAGGGTGGAGAGGGCTTGCTGCCATTGGCCGAGAGACGATTGACCTGATGGGATGGGCAGGTGAGAAAAATGAAGGAGGAAATGAAACAAGCTTACATCTTTCCGTCAAGGAAGAGAGAGAGAGAACTCCTGATTACATCAAAAGCACCTGAAAGCTGAAGGCTTGAAACCTTGTAACATCGAGACTCACAATGGATAACATCACTGTAGCACTTGACAGATGGCACGATCCCATTGGCCAGCAGTCCCTCAAGCACCTCCACTGCTTGCCCTGCCAGCAGCCCCTCACGGCACAGCCTCACCACCCTCTCCGCCATCTCCATACTGGGGCTCCTCGGCCCCTGCTGACCCTCCCTCTCCTCCTCCTCCTCCTCCTCCTCCTCCTCCTCCTCGTCCCTTTGCTGCCTCTGTCCCTTCTTCTGCTTCTGCTTCTGCTGTCCCTCCTTCTGCTTCTGCTGTCCCTCCTTCTGCTGCTGCTTCTCCTCCTGCTTCTGCCGCTGCTGCTGCTGCTTCTCCTCCTGCTGTTCCCCCTGCTGCTGCTGCTTCAGCTTCTGCTGCTGTCTCTCCTTCTGCTGCTGCTGCTTCCCCCCTCGTGGTCCCTCTTGCTGCAGCCTCATCACCCACTCCGCCCTCTCCATGCCCAGGCTCCGCGGCTCCTGCTGCCCCTGCTCCTCCTGCTCTTCTTGCTGTTCTTGCTTCAGCTGCTCTTGCTCCTGCTGCCCCTGCTCCTGCTGGCCTTCTTGCTGTTGTTTCTGCTTCATTTCCAGCAGCTGCGGTTGCTCCAGCCCCTCCTGTTGCTCCTGCTGTTGATTTTCCTGCTTTGGCTCTTGTGACTGCCACTGTCCCATCTCTGTCATCTCAATGATGATGTTTTGCCGTCTCTCTTGCTCTTGCTCTTGCGCTTGCCCTTTCTCTTGCTCTTGCTCTTGCTCTTGCTCCTCCTTCACTTGCTCTTTCTGCTGCTGTTGTTCTTGCTGCTGCTCTTTCTGTTGCTGTTGCTCTTGCCCTTCCTGCTGCTGATATCGCAGCACCTCCCCCTCCTGCTCCTGCTCCTGCTCCTCCCCCTCCTCCCTTTTCACGAGCATCTCCCCTTGCTCACCAAATCTTCCCACAGCCCTGAGAATCGCATCAACCACGCCCCCTCCCTCCCCTTCCTCTCCCTCCCACTCCTCCCCATCCTCCCCCCCACCGCCTCCACTTCCCTCCCGGCCAATCCCGTCGCGCCACGTGTCAACCACGCTGAGGTACACCCTGGCAGCGCCACGTGGCGAGTTGGCAGCCTCACACGCTGCCAGCATAGCACCCAGGCTGTTGCGATTGGGCAGCACGCGTTGAGATGCCATGAGTGCCAGCACAGCGAACATGTGCTCTGGATGGGCGTCTTGCAGAGCCTGAGAAGGGAAGGGCAGTGTAGGGTTGGGGTGGAAGAGGCAGGGAGGGTCAGGGAGGGGAGGGAAGGGAATGCAAGTCAGCAGTGCGCTCTGTGATGCCATGAGAGCAAGCACTGCAAACATGTGCTCTGGATGGGCGTCTTGCAATGCCTGAGGGGCAAGGGGAAGAGTGGGGAGGGATGGGGAGGGGCATGGGTACGGGCATGGAGTAGGGTGGGGAAGGGAGTGTGAGTCACCAGCATGCGTTCTGATGCCATGAGGGCGAGCACTGCAAACATGTGCTCTGGATAGCCGTCTCGAAGCTCTTCAGCTGCTCCAACGGCAGCAGAGAGTCAGCAAGCATTCATTTCCCCCACATCGAAGCACCTTACATAGCGAGGAGTAACACCCTAAAACGAGTACATGACTCACCAGCAGCAGCATGTTATACGCTGACAGGTTGCCACATCCCAGATGCACCCTCTTCACTTCCTCGAACACCCTCTCCCCACTCTCATTGCTCCCATTTGAGGAACCTTGTAACGAGTATGCAACTAATAACGAGTATGCAACTAGTAACGAGTACACCACCACAACTCACCAATGTTGTGGAAGCAAGAATGTCCCAGTGGGTACCTTTGGTCTTAGTGGTCGCGGGTTCAACTCTCATCGGCAGCACCTTCTCTTCTCATTATGCCGAACATGACACTCCCACACTCCACCACACTCACCCACAGTGAAGTGTGGTCACAGTTGGCATTGCCATCTGTCCACCCATCCCATACTCACCTTGTTGGCTCCTATGGTGTGCCACATGCTGCCATGTAGGCTGTTGTTCCAGCCTGGCCCACATGTGCAACATGTGGCCTCAATTGCTAGCTTGGCAAGGTTGGCTAGCCCTGCCCTCAGCTTTGAGGTGCTGCAGCTAGCCTCAAGAGTTCAGCCACATAAATGTGGCTTCCCACTTCTCTAGAACTCATCCTTGGAAAGGACATTGCTCTAGCCTTTCAGGCTTGTACCATCTTCCTACTAAGGATATATTGTTCTTCTCTCATTGTGCCTCAAGTTCACCGATCCTCATTCTACATGGTATCAGAGCAAGGCTTCTAGCTTAGTGAACGTTGCACACTTCATGGCTCAAGTTGAAACGCCTCTCGGTCGGCACACCCTTCCCACCTTGGAACCAGATGGTTCCAACTTCATTCCATGGAAGAAAAAGATCTGCTACATCTTCAATGTCCTCGGGCTGATCTCCCTCCTTGGAGATCCCAAGGTTGCTTCGCGTCCTTCAATCTCCTCTTCCACAACCAGCGGTGGAGAGACTACCGAAGGCAACAGCGGTGCAGCCCCTAAGACAGCCCATTCGATTGCTTCGCTGCCGGATGAAGAAAAAGAGGAGCATGCATACTATCTTCTCATGTCAGCCGTCCATCCTCAACTATCGCTCACTCTTGCTCAAGCCAACACGACAAAGGATATGTGGGGATGCATCATGGCGCGGTTCGACTGCATGGGCAACCATGCACAAGTGGCTCTCCTCCGGGATCTCATCACTACACGGATGGACCCAACAACAAGTCTTCGCTCCTACTTTGATCGAGTTGGAAACCTTACACACCAACTCAAATCTGCCGGCTTTGAGCTACCATCATGGGTGGTGGTAATCTCCATCATCCTCAACCTTCCGGACTCGTTCAAGACCCTTACTGAAACCATTTGCACCGTGAAAGACATAAAGTCTATGACGGTTGAATACCTACAGTCACGCCTACTCGATGCCGATTGGGAGCGGTCACAATCTGGTACAAGCCGTAATATGGAGGGTGCATACAACCTCAATTCCCAGCCCTCCCACCCTCTTCGCTCCGGTTCACGCCAGTCGCCCACCTGCCGTTACTGCAAGAAAACGGGTCACACCATCGATGAATGCTTCAAATTGAAGAAGAAGAAAGAGCTTGAAGAAAGCTCTAAACGGGAGAAATCCGTCTTCCAACCTTCGGTGCATGTCTCCACCAGCTCCTCTGCTGAAGCTACTCCGACCCCCACACCACCTCCTGCCCCATCAACCCCTCAGTCCGTACCTGATTCCCGGTACGTGGACATTGCTGTCAGCACCAGCCACCACCCCATCTTCTCCACATGGACTCCTCTCGTCGCTGCTGTCTTCATTCTCACCATCCTCCTTCTCCTCCTCCTCTTCCCTTATGGGGCTCCCTACGCATCGGCATTCACGGCCTCCTCATTCAATATGGAGCGGACTTCGTCGTGGCTGGTGGACAGCGGCGCATCCTCCCATATCTGCTCGGATCGTTCGCTGTTTTCGTCTCTCAAGAAGCCCAACGAAGAGATCCTTGTTCGTTTTGGTGGAGGAGAGACTTACAAGGTCTTGGGAGTCGGCACGGTGGTGGCTACTCTTCGGTCACCAACATCGGAAACCACCATTCAGCTTGACAACGTTCTATTTCTCCCTTCATCAGTTCACAACCTGCTCTCTGTTCGTGCGCTTGGTGCTGCCGGCGTTGCCGTCTCGTTCCCCGCTGCTGGGCGCGTTGTTCTCACATCTGATGACGTTCCTATTGGCGAGGGCTACACCCGCAACAATCTGTTTTATCTTCAACTGCATCATGGGAGCAGTGCTGCTCCTTCTATCAGGCCAACTGCATGTCCAGCCTCCACCACCACCTCCTCGTACCTCTGGCATCGTCGTTTCGGGCATCTCAACATGCAGGCCTTGTCAACACTTCATCGGCAGCAGCTGGTCACCGGTCTTCACCTCTCCTCCACCTCGATTCCCCCCTGCATCTCGTGCTATCGTGGGAAACAAACACGTCAGCCATTTGGCGTGTCCCATTCTCGCACCACAGCCCCACTCCAACTCATTCACTCAGATATTGCTGGACCGCTTTCATATGGAACTACCATTGGCGGCGCTCGCTACCTTCTCACCTTCATCGACGACTACTCCCGCCACATTACAGTGTATCTCCTACGCCACCGGTCGGAGGCACTTTCATGCTTCAAGGCTTACGTCACTCGGGTGCACAACATGCATTCCCCACACACCATCAAAACCTTTCGCTCTGACGGTGCCTTGGAGTTCACTTCCAAAGCCTTCACTTCATTCCTTACAGCTCGTGGCATCGCCCGCCACCTCTCCACGCCATACACACCTGAGCAAAATGGAGTAGCTGAGCGGGCCAACCGGACTTTACTTGAGATGGTCCGTTCCATGCTCCATGATGCACACATGGACAAAGGCTGGTGGGGTGAAGCCGCTCTTACTGCTGCCTATCTTCGTAATCATGCCATTAGTCGGGGTGGTTCAACTTCTAAGACTCCCATGGAACTATGGACCGGTGCACGTCCGGATGTATCACACCTCCGCATCTTCGGTTCACCCGTCTCGGTCCTCATTCCTTCCCAACGGCGTTCTAAGCTCGACGACCGAAGCACGGCCGGCATCATGGTTGGATATGGTCATCTCGACGGCACCAAAGCTTACCGCATCTATATCCCATCTCAGCACCGTGTCATCCTTTCTCGTGATGTCATCTTCATGGAGCCCTCTGCACCGCCTTCCGACGACTCTCGCGACCCTCCATCGTCATCTCCACCCACATCCTCCTCACTACCTCCTCCTACACACCCTTCTTCCTTGGACCCAATCTCCCCTCCCTCTCCTTCCCCCACCATACCTTCCTCCACCAACCCCCACCCACAATCCCCAAACCTGCCCGCACCAGCCACATCTTCTCCTCCTCCATTGTTTTCCAACCTTCCTCTGCCCTCGACGCCGCAAGACTTTCACCTTCCATCCTTCTCTCCTCCCTCTTCGCCTCCCCTTCCCCATTGCACGACTCGCTCCTCCCCGCCATCCCCTTCAGCTCTTCCCGATCCTTCCCTTTTCTCCTTCCTCAAGGTCTTACCATCCCCTTCCGAACCCATTGACTTCACTCTTCCTCCTCTTTCCAACACCTCTGCCAATGCTGCCCTTCACCATCATTACGAACCTCAAACCATTCATGAGGCTCGTACCGGCCCTGATGCTGCCGAATGGATCAAGGCTGCTGATGCGGAACTCGCTGCCCTGCACGCTAATGACACCTACAGCATTGTTCCTCGACCACCCAAGTGCAAGCCGATTCCATGCAAATGGATTTTCAAGGTCAAGGAGAACGCTGATGGTTCTATTGAACGCCGCAAAGCCCGCCTTGTTGTCAAAGGCTTCAAGCAACGTGATGGTGTTGATTTTCATGACACCTTTGCTCCTACCGTCCGCTTCGCCACCCTCCGCTTGTTTCTCACCATAGCTGCCGCTTTCAACCTGGACGTCCATCAGCTGGACATCTCCAACGCCTTCCTCAACGGCACCCTTGATGAGATTCTCTACATGATGCAGCCTCCCGGTTATGACCTTCCGGCGGTCCATGGTGTTGAGCAAGTTTGTCTCTTGCACAAACCGCTGTACGGGTTGAAGCAAGCTCCGCGATGCTGGTACCGCAAGCTTCGTGAGGAGCTTGCTGCCTTTCACCTCTTTGCTGCTCGTGCGGACCCCGGCCTCTTCATTGCTCCTCCTCACTCACCTTATCGGCCTACAGCTGCATCCTTCTTCATGCTTCTCGTCTATGTTGACGACCTCATCATTCTCTCCTCCTCCTCCTCTCTTCTTGCCTCATTCAAGCATGCCCTTTCATCTCGCTTCAAACTTCGTGACCTCGGACCTCTCTCCTACTACCTTGGCTTTCACATCACTCGTGATCGAACTTCCCGCACTCTCCACCTTCATCAATCCAAATTCATCACCTCCATTCTAGACACCTACTCCTTCTCTCCACTGAACCCCGCTGCCACTCCCATGGACACAAAGTTTCAGCCACCCGTGACTTCCTCCCCGCACTCCTCCTCCTTCCCTTACACCTCGTTTGTCGGCTCCATCATGTATGCCATGGTGGGGACCCGTCCCGACCTCGCATATAGCGCTGGAGTTCTTGCTCGTCACCTTCACGATTGGTCTACTCCTCACGTCTCGGCTGCCAAACGCATTGCTCGCTACTTGAAAGGGACTACCTCCCTTGGGCTTCTCCTTGGTGGCATTCCCGACACCCTCGAACTTCATGGCTGGTGTGACGCCTCTTGGGGACCGGAGGGGGAGCTGCGTCGCTCCGTTACGTGCTACTTGTTCTTCCTCGGTCCGTCACTCATCTCTTGGCAGTCCAAACGCCAAGCCGTCGTTGCTACCTCTTCATGTGAAGCTGAATATTACTCTCTGGGCGCCGCGGTGCACGAGGCATTATGGCTTCGTTCGCTCCTTACTGCAGTTGGACTTCCCCCTACCGGCCCCACCCGTATCTCGTGTGACAACAACAGTGCCATCATTCTCGCCAAGGACGATGGCGTCTTTCATCCCAAGGCCAAGCACATCGACATCAAGCACCATTTCATTCGCGATCATGTTGCCGACCACTCCATCACCCTTCACTATGTTCCTACTCAAGACAACCTCGCTGACATTGGGACCAAGCCTTTGCCCCGTGACCCTTTTCTTCGCATCCGTGGTCTTCTCGGTCTCACCCATGTTTCCTCTTGAGGCACCCTACCCCGGGGACATCCTTGAGGGGGGGTGTTGTGGAAGCAAGAATGTCCCAGTGGGTACCTTTGGTCTTAGTGGTCGCGGGTTCAACTCTCATCGGCAGCACCTTCTCTTCTCATTATGCCGAACATGACACTCCCACACTCCACCACACTCACCCACAGTGAAGTGTGGTCACAGTTGGCATTGCCATCTGTCCACCCATCCCATACTCACCTTGTTGGCTCCTATGGTGTGCCACATGCTGCCATGTAGGCTGTTGTTCCAGCCTGGCCCACATGTGCAACATGTGGCCTCAATTGCTAGCTTGGCAAGGTTGGCTAGCCCTGCCCTCAGCTTTGAGGTGCTGCAGCTAGCCTCAAGAGTTCAGCCACATAAATGTGGCTTCCCACTTCTCTAGAACTCATCCTTGGAAAGGACATTGCTCTAGCCTTTCAGGCTTGTACCATCTTCCTACTAAGGATATATTGTTCTTCTCTCATTGTGCCTCAAGTTCACCGATCCTCATTCTACAACCAACACGAGAGTGTTATAAGCCGACAGGTTGCCATGCCCGGGTTGCACCCTCTTCAGTTCCTCCAACACCAGTAATGCCTCCCCCAGCCAGCAGCCTTTGATAGTTTCTCACTCACCTTGAGGCATCTTATAACGAGTACAGCACTCACCAGCAAGAGAGTGTTATAAGCCGACAGGTTGCCATGCCCAGGATGCACCCTCTTCAGCTCCCCCAACACTAGCAGTGCCTCCAAGACCGTCAGCACCTTATAACGAGTACATGGCTCACCAGCAGCAGTGTATTATAAGCCGACAGGTTGCCATGCCCCGGATGCAATCCCCTCAGTTCCCTCCAACACCAGCAGCGCCTCCCCTAGCTCTCATTGCTCCCATCTTTAGGTACCTTATAACGAGTATGCATCATACAACAATTAAGATTCTCACCAGAAGCAGTGTATTATAAGCAGACAGGTTGCCATGCCCGGGGTGCACCCTCTTCAGCTCCTCCAGCACCAGTAGAGCCTCCCCCAGTCGTCCCCCCCTCCCGAGCACGTCTATCAACATGCGGTAGACGGGGGGGGAGAATGAGAGCCCTTGCGCTCGTGCTGCTGCCACTAGCCCTTTCACCTGGCAGAGGATTGAGACAACACGGGATGCAAATATGGCGGGAAATTAAAGGGAGTGTGGCAGTGAGAGCTGCACAAGCGCCTCCCCCAGTCACCCCCCCCTCCCAAGCACGTCTATGAGCAGGATAGACGGGGGGGGGGAGAATGGGAGTCTTGCCAGCCCCAGGCCCAGGGCCTGCATGACAGCAGCATAGGAGCGCATGGAGAGACAGACGGGAGCTTGCACACACCACACACATGTCACATACACACAACACGCATTCTGCATACACTACAGCACTATACACACCTGGTCGAAGTACCCCGCCAGCCCCAGGGCCTGCATGACAGCAGCATAGGAGCGCATGGAGAGACGCAGACCCACCCCTTCAGTCTCCATCACCACTCGTGCCACATTTGTCATCGCTGCTGCCGTGCCCTCACTGCCTTTTGAGTCGCCTCAAAAGTCTGCTGCCTGTCGTGCCCTCACTCACCTCTACATCGCGTATCATACATTCAACGCACCTGATCAAAGTGACCTGCAAGGCCCAGCGCTTGCATGACAGCAGCGTACGAGCGCATGGAAAGATGCAGCCCCGCCCCCTCCACCTCCATCACCACCCGTGCCACATCCGCCATCGCTGCTGCCTGCCGCGCCCTCACCTCCTCCTCCTCTTCCTCCTCCTCTGTCTCCTCTCCCCCCCACTCCCCTCCCTCCTGCTCGTCCTCTAAATCGCTCTCCACGTATCCATCTCCCTCCTTGTCTGCTTCTTTTCCCTCCTCCTCCTCCTCCTCTCCCTGGGCTTGAGGTTGTCTGCCTTCGTTTAGTGGAAGGGAAGGACCCTCAGCATCAGTATCAGTATCAGCAGACGCATCAGCAGCAACAGCAGAGGCCTTGCGTCTGTTTCTGCTTCTCTCTCGTCTTCTTGGGTTGCGGGCACAGCGACGGGCGTACACCTCCAGGAGAGTGTTGTACGACTCCTGATGATGGGGTGTGGTGTGATGAGGTGTGATGGGGTGTGATGGGGTGTGATGGGGTATGTATGGGGGATGAGTTTCGCAGTTAGAGGTCTTTAGGGTATGGAGGAAAGCGCAGCGACGGGCGTAGACTTTTAGGAAAGTGTTGTACGACTCCTGATGAGAGGGAGAGGATGAGTTGGGGGTGAGTTGATGGATGAGTGGATGAGTTACACCTTCAAATGAGTTGTGGGAGGAGCAGGTGTGCACCTTCAAGAGAGTGTTGAAGGACTCTTGGCGAGGAGGCATGGGTGGATTGGGGGATGAGAGCAGAGGTTTGGGAGTTTGGGTTGGGAGAGGAAGGTGTGGCAATGGGCCACCGACCACCCAACCCACCAATCGCAGCCGACGATAGACTTACCAGTCGCAGCGTGCCACAACAGGACTCACCAATCGCAGCGTGCCACAACAGGACTCACCAGTCGCAGCGTGCCATCTGGCGACAGCACCCGGAGCCGATTGACCACCATCTCCATCTGCTCCATCCTGCCCGCCCTCCCATACGCCATCATCAGCGCATTGCACACCGCCATGCTGTCCCTCACTGTCGGCTCAACTCCAATCCCCAGCTCTTCAACACCAACGTAGATGGAGGCGGAATCAGCAGCAACAGCAGCTGAGGTGGCGATAGTTGTGTTTCGGCTAGGCTGCTCGTCCATCTCGGCCACTAGAGCATCCACCTCGCCCCACATGCCCGCCCGTGCATACCCCATGATCAGCTGCGCGTACGACTCGCCACTGTGAGCGATCGCCATCTGCAGTGCGGTGGGGTGCGGTGGGGTGCGGTGGGGTGGGGGTGGGGTGGGGTGGGGTGGGATGGGGTAGGTGGGTAGACAGGGCATGCTTGCATCCACCTCGCCCCACATGCCCGCCCGTGCATACCCCATGATCAGCTGCGCGTACGACTCGCCACTGTGAGCGATCGCCATCTGCGGTGCGGTGGGGTAGGGTGGAGGAGGGTAAATATGACAGGAATGGGAGAGACACAGAGTAGAGGGAGAAGGTAGTAGGTAGATCTCATCTTCTCCATGACCACCCACTACCAAGACCCATGTCTCCTAGCTACCAAGAGTCCACCCTTCCCACTGCCAAGATCCCACCTTCCGCATGAGCGAAGCCACTAGTTTCATCTCGACCCCCAGCCCGGGCTTGCCCAGCGCCGCCAGCAGCAGCAGCAACATGCACAGGTCCCCCGACCCCATACCCTTCCTACTACCAAGATCCCACCTTCCTCCTCACCACCCAGGCCTCACCTTCCGCATGAGTGATGCCACGCGCTTCATCTCGACCCCCAGCCCGCGCTTGCCCAGCGCCGCCAGCAGCAGCGTGCACATGTCCGCGTCTATCAGCGCCCGCGTGGCCCTCGTCCCGCGCATCAGCTCAAATAACTCCAATGCATCGCGGGTGATGCCTGGTGGGAACGAGAGAATGGGAAAAGAGGGGTCAGTGCTATTCGCCGCCAGGTCTGCACCCGTCTACCAGCACCCGTCTGCCCCTTGGCCCGCGCATCAACTCAAACAACTCGAGCGCATCGCGGGTGATGCGTGGTTGGAAAGAGGCACAGGGTACAATGGGAAAATGGGGTCAGTGCCACACACGTCTGCGTCTATCAGCGCACGGGTGGCCCTCATCCTGCGCATCAACTCAAACAACTCGAGTGCGTCGCGCGAGTAATGCATGGTTGAGGGATGAGAGCGGGAATACATGGAAGAGAGAGGGACTATTTGGAAGAGGGGGCCGGGGCGGCACACACATGTCCGCGTCTATCAGGGCGTGGGCGCCTCTCGTCCCGCGCATCGACTCAAACAGCTCCAATGCATCGTGAGTGATTCCTGGTTGGAAGAGGCAAGGGGTATGACGGGAAAATGGGGTCAGTGCCCCACGGATCCGCGTTTATCAGCGCCCGAGTGCCTCTCGTCCCACAAATCAACTCAAACAACTCCACCCGGGTGATGCCTGGTTGAGGGATGAGAGCGGGAATACATGGAAGAGAGAGGGATTATTTGGAAGAGGGGGCCGGGGCGGCACACACATGTCCGCGTCTATCAGGGCGCGGGTGCCTCTCGTCCCGCGCATCAACTCAAACAGCTCCAATGCATCGCAGGTGATGCCCGATGAGGGAACAAAAGATGGAGAACAGGGAAAGGGGGGGTCTGCGCTATACGCCAGGTCTGCACCCGTCTATCAGCGCCCGCGTGCCCCTTTGAGTTTTGAGGCGCCTCAAAACTCGCCTCAATTCTCAGGTCTGCACCCGTCTATCAGCACCCGCATGCCCCTCGTCCCGCGCATTAACACAAACAGCTTGAACGTGTCGCAAGTCACGTGCGGTTAGAAAACATCCAGGGGATCCAAGACAGTGAGAAAAAAAGTAAGACAGTGAGGGTCTGCTCTAAAAAACTCCACGTTCATGAGCGATGGACGGACAGCCCTCCTCGCCTCGCCTGCGTCTATCAACATAAACAGCTCAAGTGCAAACAAGCTGATTTAACTTTTTAGTGAGCTAGAAAAAAATGTCGAGCAGATGTCATTGTTTTCCACGTCATAGTTTTTTACATATCATAAACCTAAATTGTGAATTGCCCTACCTATGAAACGGAAGGAAGAAAAAGAAGAAAAAAATATCGTCGTGACCTGACAGATCGTGATGGCACTCCAACTCTTCGTGAATACGTCCGAAAAATGAGCACTTTTTTGCATGACGATTTTTACACACACACACACACACACACGCACGCACGCACGCACTCACGCACGCACGCACGCACGCACGCACGCACGCACGCACGGACGCGCGCCGGCGCCGGCGCCGCGCCGCGCCGCGCCGACGCACACGCACACGCACACGCACGCACGCGCGCGCACACACACACACACACACATACACACACATATAACGTGGACATGGCCGAGAGAGGGACAAACGATGAGGACAAACCAATTTTGTCATCGAGAAGAGTGTGCATACCGAGAGCGGAGAGTGTAAGCATGCCGAGAGCGGAGAGTGTGAGTATGCAGGCGCGGAAGAGCTGCCTATCGGGCATGAGTCCCGCGTTCATCATGCAAGTGAGGTAGAACACGGCCTTGCTGGGGTTGCGCTTACAAGATAACCTCAGGATGAAAACACAGCTAGTGACTTAACATACCGAGAGCGGAGAGTGTGAGCATGCAGGCGCGAAAGAGCTGTCTGTCGGGCATCAGTCCCCGGTCCATCATGCAAGTGAGGTAGAACACGGCCTTGCTGGGGTTGCGCTCGCGACACAGGCCGAGGATGAGCATGCGGAAGGTGAGCTGACAGGATGGAAGCATTTGGATGTGTGAAGCATAGGATGGAAGGCCTTTCTGAGCTTTTGCTTGTGATTGAGGCCAAAGATAAGCATTTGGAAGGTGAGTTGATTAGATAAGGGGTGGGAGAGACGCTTCAATGGAATGGAGGGAATGGATGGAAAGGGCGGATCAAGACTCAAGAGGGCATTCCAATGGTTGGGCACCACACGCTCACAGGGCATGAAAGAATGAAGCATGCCCTCCCACCCACTCACCTCGTTCGGTGTGACCATCTGTAAGGTATCCTCTCTCTTCCACTCCTCCCTCTTCAACCCCAAAATCTCATCCATGAGTCTCATCGCCTGTGCCACGCCCGCCTCCCCCCCCTACCTCCCCGTCCTCCCCCCACTCACCTCGCTCGGTTTGACCATCTGTAAGGTACTCTCCCTCCTCCACCCCTCCCCCTTCACCCCCAGAATCTCATTCATGATCCTCATCGCCTCGGCCACTCCCGCCTCCTCGCCTTGCCCCAGCAGGGCCTTCATGACTGCATGCACGTCCTCCAAGCGAGGAACCAGGTTTCTGCGCGGCATCCTCTCGCGCAGCACGCGAGGTGCTCGCTTCAGCTCCCCCTCTTGCAGAAGTGCACGGATCAGGAAGGAGAAAGTGAGCTGTGCGGTTCATGGCAGTACGGGGTTCAGAGAAGAAGAAAGAAAGGAAACGCTTATTGTGATGCACCCTGCCCCAGCGATCAATGCATGCGCATTTGTCAGGTGTGGAACTAGGTTTTTAAATCCCTGAGAGCTCTAGCGGGCTGACGAAGGTTCAAGAGCTCTGCATCCAGTCATTCTAGAACGAGCAGAAACTTCCCGAGTCCATTACGGGTCTCATGCGCCTGGAGAGCCTGCGCGTCGTAGATTATGAGAGCATCACTCAGACGCCCAGAAATTTGGAGAGCGTTGAGAGGCTCAAGTACCTGGAGGTAGACATGAGAAAATTTCCGTCCAAACATGTTCGTGACCGAACCGAACCGAACATGTATTTTGGCAAAACGTGCTCGCCCGAACATGTTTGATGTTCGGAAAGGGTGGGAGGGAGGTCACGGGAGAGGAGTTGGCACACTGAAAATACACTCTCGAACCTCGAACATGTTCGGGTTCGCCCCCCTATCACGAACACCGAACACCTAAAATCGCCAAAATATGTTAGGGCGCCCACCAGACATGTTCGTGGAGGTTCGGGCGAACATGTTCGGTGTTCGCCCGTTGCTCATGCCTGCCTCAAGGTGAGATTGTGTCCGGTATTGCTGCACACTCTATCACTTCTGCCACCTTCGCTCAAGCGTGCATTTATTGAGAAGGTGTATTCGTTTCGCTCAACAAATACACGCTCGAGCGAAAGTAGCAGCAGTGATAGAGTGTGCAGCAACACCGGACACAATCTCACCTCCAGGTACTTGCGCCTCTCAAGGATCTCCAAATCCCTAAGCATCTGAGTAAGACTCTCAAAATCCACGATCCGCAAGCTCTTCACGCGCTTGAGACCCGTAATAAACTCGAAAAGTTTCCGCTCGTTCCAGAATGACTGAATGCAGAGCTGTGGAAGCTTCGTCAACCCACTGATGCTCTCAATATTCTCAGACAACCTGCACATGAACCAGGCCAAACAACAACTATACCACTCATCTTTCCCTCCCATTCTCACCGGAGTGGGTTTCACTTTGCCGCCCATCGCATACATCTCCTCCACCATCGCGTAACATCCCTCCAATCCCGCCCGCCCGCCCTCCTTCAAGCACCCCTTCATCACCAGGTGGCATAACGCCAAAGAAGGCCGCCCTTCCCCCGCCTTCCTCGCCCCTTTGTCCGCCCACTTATAACCCCGTTCGGAACCCCCCTTTCCCCCACCTTTCCCCCACTCTGTGCCGCCCCCCTTCCAATTCCCCTTGCCTTGCCCTTTGCTCTGCCCCTTGCCCTGCCCCTTGCTCTGCCCCTTGCTCTGCCTGGTGCTCTGACCCTGGCCCTGCTCTTTCCTCATTTTGGAAAACACAGCAAGTGCTCGCAAGCCCTTGCCGGTGCCAACCAGAGCGCCAATGAGTTGGCAGTAGACACGGTGGGGAATGGGGATGGGGGGAGGATGGATTTTCTCCCACTGTTCCTGCTGCTGCTTTAACTCCTGCTTCTGCTGCCCCTGCTGCCCATTCTGCCCCTTCTGCCCCTTCTCATGCTGCTCCTGCGTCTCTCGCACTGTCCCCATGACCATCGCTTCACCCTCCTCCACCCGCCCCAAGCGAAGCAGCATCGTTATAACACCACCATACGCATTTGACGTCAGCCCAAACAGCACCCCCTCTTGGGTATTTTCAGGTGCCCCCAAAACCGCCCCAATTACCACTCCTCCTTGAATTTCTTCTGGCACCCCATTCTCTTCTCCACTCGCCGTCCTCCTCTCAATTCCCTCTTCCCCCCGTTGCATCCCTCTTTCGAGGCTTCTCGCTTCTCTCGCTCTCTCCTCCTCCACAATATTTCTCCGTTGATCCGTACTCATCCCCTCCCACTCCCTCTCCCTCCTCTCCTCCATCCATCTCAGCAGCGCTAATGCTTTCTCACTCTCCTCCGCAATCGCCAGCTCATACAGCACCTGCGACACCTCAGCACTGCCCAGAGACACGTCATCACTGGCCTGATCCACCTCAGCACGACCAACCTCACCGCCTTCCCCCTGCGACACACCGCCGAGCCAGCTCATCAGCTTCGGCAAATCCCGAACCTCCTTGAGCCCTTCAATAGCCCCCAGCAGAAGCGCCACCTGCCCCAAATCCACCAGTCTCAACTCCTCCACATCCAGACTCCCTCCTGCTCCTAAACCATTCCCCCCTCCTTCCACCTTCCCCACTTTGTCTCCTTCATATTCCATCTTCACCGCTTCCAACTCCTCGCTAGTCTCACTTTCACCTTCGCTCATCTCTCCCCCTTCTCCCATCTGTCGCTTGCCTTCGCCCATCTCTCCCTCCTGTCCCTCCCTGCGCCCCTCACCCAACACTCCCTCACCCCCATCACCATCCCCCTCTCTCCTCTCTCCCACCCCATCTTCCCACACGTTCTCTTCTCCTCCCTGCCCTATCGCCCCCTGCCTTCCCTCCCCTTGCCTCTCCATTGCCTCTTTCAACTGAGCAGTCTTTTCAGGCGTCTCAAGAATCACCTTGCCTTGCCTCTCCAAGGCCTCTTTAAGCTGAGCTGCCAGCAGCATCACCCTTCTCGCCCTCCTCCTCTCCCTCTTCCTCTCCACCCTCTGCTGCTCTTCCAGTCTCTTCTTCTCCTCCTCCTTGCTCTGCCTCTCCGCCTCTTGTCTCACCTTTCCACTCTCATTCACTCTTTCAGGTGCCACTAAAGTCTCTCTTCCCTCGCTCGCCCGTACAGGCGCCTCAAGATCCTCTCCCCTCCTCCTCATCCCTTCATCCACATCTGGTCTACCCCCTGCTGCTTTTTGAGCCGTCTCAAAGGTCTCTCTTCCCTTGCTCATTCGTTCAGGAGACTCAGAGGTCTCCGTTCTCTCTCTCGTCCTTTCAAACACTCTCTCGTTTGGATTATCTCCCCTCGTTCTCCTCATCCCTTGATCCACATCTGACAGCCCCTCTGCTGAATCCGCCTCTCCTTCCTCCACTCCAATCCGCACCTCATTAATCTTTTCTATCGCAATCCACCCCGCGTTATCCTCTTCCTCACTCTCTTCTGCCTCCCTTGGCACAAACCCCTCAATTCTCTCCTCCTCCTCCTCTCCCCTTCTCCTTTCCACCTCCCCCGAACTAGACTCAACCCCTGGCCTCTCTCTCTGCTCGCTTTCCCCCTCCCTCTCACCCCTCACTTCCTGGCTCGAATCCCACCCAGCCGCCAACTCCCCCTCGTCTCCCCCTGCCTCGTTATACCCCTTATAGTCTGCCTCGTTGCTAGCGCCTTGCACATCCAAGGGCTCGTCTTTGATCCCAGGGCTTGGCGCTTTTCGCTCTGCCTTTGCCACACCAGGAGGAAGAGGAGAGGAGGAAGGAGACAGAGGAGGAGAGGGAGGAGAGGGAGGAGGAGGAGGAGGAGAGGAGGAAGTAGAAGGAGGAGGAAAGGGAGAAGGAGGAGTAAGAGGAGAACGGGAAGGAGAAGGAGGAGGGGAGGTAGAAGGAGGAGAGGGAGGAGGAGGAGGAGGTGAGAGAACGGGCAGTGAAATGGAAGGAGAAGGCGTGGCTATGCGAGATTCTGTACTGCTAGAAGGAAGGGGAGATGAAAAGGTCGATTCAGGTGGTTTGGCAGGTTCAAGGAACTGGGCAGGTGATTTATCAGGTTCTGGCGATTTGGCAAGTTCAGGTGATTTCGCAGGTTCAGATGACAGGGCAGATTCAGGTGGCTTGGCTGCTTCAGGTGATTTAGCTGGTTCAGGTGACTTGGCAGGTTCAGGTGGTTTGGCTGGTTCAGGTGTTTTGGCAGGTTCAGGTGTTTTGGCTGGTTCAGGTGTTTTGGCAGGTTCAGGTGACTTGGCAGACTTGGATGAAATGGGTGGGTCAATGGTGGCTTCGAGCGGTTTGGAGGGGTTGGGAGAGGTGACTGACTGGAACCATTGAACAGCATCAGCGAGGCCACGTGCCACATCTCCCCCAAACCCAAACAACCCCTTCCCACCACCGCTGCTGCTGCCACCACCGCTGCTTCCTCTGCTGCCACTGCTACTGCCACCGCTGCTGCTGCTGCCACTCCTGGTCACCTCCATGCCCATGTCTCTCTGCTCACTGCGGCCTTCAGCAGCCTTCTTGCTAGCGGAGTCAAGATAAGCTGCAAGCTCTGCCTCAACCTCTGCCACATCAACTTCTTTAGAAGAACCATCCCTCCTCTCAATCACCATGACCCCCTTCCCCTCCTCTCCCCTTCCGATACCACCATCTTTCCCTCTCCCAGAGCTCTTGAAAAGTTTTAACAGTTCGCCTAGTTTCTCCCCGTTTCTCTCACCCCCGCTCTCACCATCCCTCCCACTCTCACTGCTGCTGCTTTTCCCGCCCTCACTCATCCCTATCTGCCGCTTGGCTAAGCCTTTCACAAACACATGCACGAACATCTCAGCATCACTAGGCACCCTCATCCCTCCCTTCCCATCCGGGATCCCTGGCATGGGCAGACCCAAAAACCAGAGTGCTGCAAGGCTATCCATATCTGAAACGCCATCCATCCCCTTACTCTTCTCCCACATCTCCTCCTCCTCTCTGCTCATCCCGATACCCCCGCTTCCTCCACTTCCCCTGGCCACCTCGCCTGTTCTAGCCACAGACTCAAAATTCCTCCTGCGTGGGTCGGCGGCTTGTGCTCTAGACGCCACCCCCCTGGGAACTCCCTGAAGGGAACCCACCCGTTTCCCTCCCCCCTTTCGGTTTCCACTGCTCTTTTTCCCTGCTGCCTTGCCTGCGGCCTTTCCCGCTGCTGTCGCTCCAAAACCTTTTGGCTTGGAGTCACCTCTACTGCTGCTGACGGTGCCATCGTCGTCTTCGTCGCTGCTGCTGTCGCCATCGTCAGTGGGGTTACCACTGTTGGTGTTACTTCCATCCTCCGGTTCTGCAACAGGAAGGGAGTGGGGAAGAGAGTGGGGAAGGCAGAACGCAAAAGGGTCTCTGACTTGACCAGTAGGTAGGTAGGTCAGGGAACGGCCAGAAGGGCCGAAAAAGGCCGCTATCTCTGGGAACATTAATCGGAGAAAAGTTCTCTTAAAGTGAAATTACGAGTGATACAACATGAGTTAACCAACTTCGAATCCAATGAAATCAATATGAACTAAGGGCGCCTAACCATTTTGGTTTTGACGGTTCGTTATTCGGACGGTCCGTTCGAAATAGTGGTAACGTTTGTCGCCAATGCTCGCAGATGTTTCGCTAGTCACCCTGCGACGTTGCTGTCGCAACATAACCGCATGGAACTTTTTCCGCAAAACGGAGGGAACCCGTCACTTGGACGGTTACGGTTTGTCAGCAACGAATTGATCAAATATGGCGACTTGTTCGTTTCTAAACGTAGCTTCAAGAAAATCCAAAATGGTTACGTGCCCTAAGTCTATTTCAAGTCAGTGAGTGTACCAACTAGGCTTGGCTGAACCTGATAAATCAGCCACTTCCAGAGACCCAGGATTGCAGTCAAAACCGAGCCTAGAGGCTCGGACCTTACCAGGGTCTGGAGGCCTGGGCCATAGCGAGAAACGAGGACGGTCGGCGGGAGGATCGGGCGGGGAAGAGGGTCCCGGCGGAGTGCTGCGTCCTGCCGCCGTCCTTGTGCTAAACGACCGACCCACACCACCTCTAAAGCTCTCGTGCGATGGTCTTTGAGTCGGCCCAGAAGCAGGATGGGGAGGCGAAGAGGGTCCCGGCGGAGTGCTGCGTCCTACCGCCGTCCTCGTGCTAGACGACCGACCCACAGCACCCCTAGGTTCATGAGCGAAAACCCCCCGTCGCGGGGCCAGGGACGGTGCCCGCACGTGAACTCCGCATGCGCCAAATGCTCCGCCGAATGCGCGCGGAGAACATTGCGGTCGGAAACCGCGGTTATTATCAAGCCGAACCGCCTGATTGCAACTCAACGTGCGGTTAGAGGTGCGAACTACGCATAGAGCCGTTGAGGTGCAGAGTAGAGGCGTCGAGGAACGACGCGGACGGAAACGAATTGACGACGCCGCTGAAGAGCCGTGCGCTGCAGCCAATCCAACTGAGCCACGTGGCGCTGACGTGACATTCGGACGATTGATGGTAGAGGCAAGCGGCTTGGCCATGGGTCTCATGCACGCTGAGCATACCACGTGTCTTCGAACCTGTGATACCACGTGGAATGCTTCTATTGGCGAGCGGTTGCGGGATTCACGATGTCATTAAGACCCAGTACAACAACCGGGACCCCTAGCCATTGCGACGCTATTATCGCGTCCGACGCGAGCACTCCATAGCAAGCACGGCACTGTAATCTTCTTATGCCGTCAAGAATCTAGAAATACTCTTTTGCTGAGACTCAGCAGCTTCTGAATTGCGTGGCCTAGACGTCATATGCAAGGGGAGCGTGAAACAAGGCAGAGCGGCAGTTGCATAACGGAACAACTGACGGAATGCGATGGTGGAAGAAACGGATGGGGCGGGAATCGGTAAGTTCAATGTCAGAGGCAACTTCAAGAGGAGATGAAGAGACCGACCGTAATCGGATTCAGCACATCGAAACGAACAGAACCGATATCTATATACATAAAGCCGAGCTGCACCAGAAAACAGAGGCACAAAATGAATGGTCAGGCTGAACAAGCTTCGCAGCTGACATTCATGACATAACCAAGCGACCGCTAGAAGGAATTACGGTTTCCCGATTATATACACACGGGTGACGTCATCACATGCCGCCCCGCCCGCCCTGGCACAAAGGGAATTGAGGCAAAACGAAAAACCCGCGGAATCCCTCCGGGCCCCCGAAAATTCCCGGCTGACAAGGCCAAAAAACCCTCCGAAACCTGCGGGTTCAATGTCGTATTCTTATGCTCATATAAATGTCGGCCGAACTGTTGCAATTTCGGGGACATTTGTCGAACATTGCTCGACGTACATTGGCCAATCGCCGTCGAGCACCGTGCACCCCCGACAACGCGTGTTACACCCGGTGGCATGTCGCCCACATGGTGGCGCTGACGGTCGACGGTTGCGAAATACCGACTGTCGCAATCGACGGAGACGTCAACTGCGGCCGACCTGTCGCCTCGTCTGTCGAGCGAACTGTCGCTGTCGGATGGGCGACGGGTTACGTCTGTCGCAGTCAAACGTTCACGTCAACTGCTGACTGCCACGTCAAATGTCTCAGTCTCCACGGGGAGCAACATCAGCTCAAGGTCACTGTATAAACCTGAATTCATAGTAGAAGCACCACAGTTTCCTCAGTAGGCCAGGATTTAGGGAGAACTGCTAGCTTTCGGTGGGCACTGATGGAGACCGATCCGTCGACGACAGCGCCTTCCCGGCAGGCGGACGTAGGACGGATACCTGTCGAATTGGAGTCCATCTCGACACCACCCCCTTCGTCGTCTGGAGCCACGCCAGTTTCTTCCGCGCCCCCTTCGACGACGCGTGCCATACCGGAGGTGGCAGCGCCCACCTCGACGTCGCGAGCCATACCGGTAGTAATACAGCCGGTTGTTACGGACCAGCGTTCGACGGCCCCTTCGACGACGCGTGCCATACCGGAGGTGGCAGCGCCCACCTCGACGTCGCGAGCCATACCGGTAGTGATACAGCCGGTTGTTATGGACCAGCGTTCGACGGCCCCTTCGACGACGCGTGCCATACCGGAGGTGGCAGCGCCCACCTCGACGTCGCGAGCCATACCGGTAGTAATACAGCCGGTTGTTACGGACCAGCGTTCGACGGGTATTCCGGTCACTGTTGAAGTGGGTGGTGTACAGACCGAATTCCCTTCGACAGGTCAATCCATACCTGTTGTCGTAGAACCCATCTCGACAACAAATGCCCCCTTTACACACGAGGCTCCTGCTCACCGTGCACCATCGTCGACAGCCCACCGCTCGACGGAACCTTCAGCTGGTGCACCGACCTCGACAGGTGGGTGACGTAGGAGAGCGACGGCTGTTCCGCCTGAGGTTCGCCAACCACCCCCTGCCGGCACATCCGCTTCTCGAGCCGCCCCCGCCGCTCCTAGGCGCACTTCGACGAGACCAAGCAGAGAGGACTTAGCCAGGAACGTCCCTGAAGCGACGGACGATGATGATGTTCGGACGGGAGAACAGCAGGAGGCGGACGATGTCGAACCGCCGGACCCTCTGCGGCTTGCTGCGGCAAATATATCAGAGGAGGATGCCGCGCACATTCTCGGCGACCAACCGGGCGCAGACAATCCGTACTTGGCGACCGGAACACTTGAAAGCAGGATTCTCCGGTGTGAGGTTCCGCTGCTGGGAGTTCACCAGGATTCCACACGGCCGAACTATGTCTCTGAAAGCATGCACTACAAAGCTTGGGCCTGTAAAATTCTGGCACCCGAGGGAAGCAACTGAGTGCCTAAAGAGGAGCAGGTGATCTACGAGGACGAGATCGGTAGGGAGATCGGCGACGATATGGGGCCGAGATGGAGGGAGGCGCTGCGTAACGAGGAGCACCTGCATGGGCCGAAAATAACGAAGTGGCGCTTGCGCGCGTACGTCGAATACATGTCGACTGAAACCGACCAACAGGCGGCTTCGTTGGATACAGGCCGGACCAGAGTCGCTGGAAGGAAGGCGAAAAAAAGCACCCCTCCGATGATGCTGGCGCGCCTTACTGCGCTGACGTGCTTCTGCAGAGTAGAGGCCATACTCTTCGACGAGCCACTAACGAAACCCTTGGACGACATCACCGAGGCCCGGCAGCTTCTTGCGGTCAAGCTGCGGCAGCTGCACGACTTTCAGTTCGAGTAAGTAGGCTGCCATACACCGGACTCTAAAACTTTTCACTCAAATTCTCACCCAACTACTCGCTGTATCTGCCCACTCAATGCAGGCAGTGCGTCGATCCACACCGGGGCTCGCTCGACGATGTTTACACGGAGGAGCAGTTCCGCATTCTCGTTTCAGACATCCTGCCGTACTGGGCCAAGGAGTACTTTCGGGAGTCGATGAGTTACCCCAGTCAGTCGCTGTGGAGGGCCTTGGCCGTGAGGGTGATGATCTTGATGGCGCATCACATGCTGGGCAGGGGGATAAGCATCCGCGAGATCCGCTACTGCAATATGTTCACTCACGTCCTTCCGCCCATCGCGAACAGCAAGGGGGAATCGTCTATCCACGTTCTCGTGGTCGCCTATCGCAACTCGAAGACCATCAAAGACAACAAGCTCGGCCACCTATACCTGACTCGACACATGGACTTCCGGCAGTGCGGCTTTGGAGCAGTGTTCATGTGGATACATTTCATTTTCGACCTTGTGCCGCTCCACTACAACAACGATAACATCGTGCCCCCCTTGGATTTCAGCAACCCGGAAAATTGGTCAAAGAAGCACCTGTTCTTCGCCCTCTTCGACGAAGACAAGACCGAGTTGCCGTACGCGACTCATGCCAAATGGGTTACCTGGGCGATGAAAAGCGCGGAGTGGATCCTGTCGAAAGTCACACATATCTTTCGACGGTCTGCGGCACAGATCCTCGCCGACAAAAACTGTGAACTCGACAACATCGCGCAGCTGGGTCAATGGGACATGAACGAGATGCGCAGGTCATACGTCACAGGCATCCCGCGCGGGGCCATCCAGCTGCAAGCGGGTTTCACGACGGAACCGGGTGACTATTACCTTGAAAGATCGAAGAGCGAAGTACCCGCAAAGGTCCTGAAGGCTATCGAGGAGCACATATTTCCAAAGGCGGAGCAGTGGCTCGACGAGGTATGGATGCGTCGAGCGCTTAGCGTGATCATCGAATGCAAGTTTTGCCCATCTAACTCTCAATGTCACCACGTTTGTTCTTGTTCAGGCGATGGAATGGAACAACGAGCAGGACAAGGAGCATATGTTCTTCGCAGCGAAAAGTTTCTTGAAGGCCCTGCAAGCCGCCCGAATGCCCATCGCCGAGGATCTTGCGATGTACTACGTCCATTGTGACGACCACCCCTTCGACGGAGTGACTGTTTGCGACTGCGAGCGTCACCCTTATGTACAGATGTCCGGTTTGTGCAAGGACATGGATTTCCAAAAATGGGCGCTTGACGTGTACCTGCTCGACAAATACGGCATCGAGATGCGGACCAACCCCACGCTGTCGAAAGCTTCGGTAAGATGGCCCTTCTAAATCTTAATCCGAACAGATTGCATCAGCCCACTTACCTACCGCTCGTGATCTTGTGCGCAGGACGCATCCTTTCAACTCAACACCAAGCACCTCATCACGCAACTTTGGGCAGAGGTCAACTTACACAAGGAGGAGGGTGGGAAAAAAGAAATCAAGATCAAGGGCCTCGAGCAGAAGGTCGAGTCATTGGAGCGGGAGAAGGGCGCGATGCAAGCGGAGTTGGAGGCGAAGGCAGAAGCACTCGCGCTACTGCAGAAAGCGTTCGACGCACTGAAGATTACCGCCGCGACAACCGCAGCTGCGATTGTGGGGGGGAGCGAGAGTGTGCCGCAGACAGCGACCGAAGAAACCCCGCCACCACAGCAACCCCCTCAATCAACGCCCACTCAACAGAACAAGGGCAGCCAGCTCGACCACGCATTCTTCGACGCAGTGGTGTGGCCGTGGTGCAATTGCGAGACCGTGCGGCAGGCGTGGTCGTACTGGGACGGGCCAAGCCCGCTGAAAAACGGACACAGTCTTCGACACGCTTACAGGAGGGGTTTCGCCGTCAAGTTCAGCAAGTTCACTCCGACTCCTCCCACCGTTCCCCCCGTTGCGGTGGACCAGCCAAAAGAAAAGCCACCGACCCCAAAAGCCGTCGAGTCGAAATTGCGGAAGATGGAGGTTGTCATGAGGGCCGTCGAGATATTCAGGGTCGACGACAGCAGCGCGGCTACGTCGACGATCATTGATAAGCTTGAATCAATAGTCGCGAACCACTCGATCAACATGCTGGCTGAAGGGCTCGTTCTCAAAGATGATTCGGGGAAGCAGCTCACGAAGAAGCGCAAAGTCGAGACAGCAGAAGACAACCGGAAGGACAAAGATCGCCTCAGGATCACGCGGGAGCTCATTCGCGTCGAGCTTCGAACCACGAAATGGACCGAGAACGTGCTCAAAGACAAATGGAAAGAGTTCATGAAAACATAGGGCGAGAGCCCAAGTTCGACAGGCAATCGTGACGAGGGGGAAAACTAGAGTAGGGTGTTCTTTCAGAGATTGCATGGCAGGTTCTCATTACTGACCGACCATCTTGCCTGTATGAACCTTCTGAGCATTATCGCAAACGGAAAGACCAGATCCATGCAACATGTACATGCTGTCGATTAAAATTTGGAAACAACAAACACAATTGTCTAGAATAGCAAACACCCCCACTACTCCCCTTGCCCGCTCGTTTCCGTCTCAGCTGCATCCTCGACGCCCTGCTTCGCCTTGCTCTTTTCTTCTGGCATAGCCAGGCTGCCATAGCCCGCGTCCTCCAGCAAGCGGGCAGCAGCTCGACAGCAGCACCATTGCGTACAGACCTGTGCTGCCACGCGCAGCATCTGCAGCAATATGGCGTCCGTCGAGCCAAGACCTTCGACAGCCGACGAATACAGGTGATCGGGCCACTGCTTCGCCGGGAACGTCTTGCCGACGTGCAAAAGTATGGACACGAGGGCGGACATGGCAGCCACACAAGCCTTCTTTGGAGTCTCCGGGGCGTAGATCGCCGCATTTGCGGCAGCTAGGGCGTCCTTCTTAATATCCTCCCTCGACAACTTCCTGCAGGCCGCCCACAAGCTCGCCACAGTTGCTGTGATGGCCATCATGTGCGGTGTCGCCGCCATGCCCTTCGGGACCGGGTAAATCAGATTCCCGTGCTTCAGGCCAAGCGTCGCGACCTTACCAATCGCCACGCACAGCGCGATTCCCCTCTCGGTTCCGGCTTTCACTTACTCTTTTGCCGTCGCCAACAGCGACAGGTAACTGCACATCGCAAGAAATGCGTTAGTCAAGAGGCCAGAATTCGACCGACAGCACATTCACCGTAAAACAGCAAGTGTTCGACAAATCACCAAAACAGCAGGAATTCAACAGTAGAGTCTAGCAACATGACTTCGACATGACTTACTCGTCGAAACGACATTCCCCTTGTTCTTGCGCCACGCTCCAAACGCCGGTTGGCATTTCTGCGGCCGCATCGAGGTAGACCTTCCAGTCCTCCTCATCCTGCGCCGTGTACCCTTCATACTCCGTAAGGACAACATCGGGGAAGTACACGCGCCAGCAGACGGCCGTACAGAACTTCTGGTCCTTCTCTGTTTCAAAAGTGCCAAGGAACCGCTTCCTCCCGCCGACGGTCTGCTCGGAAACCAGCTTCCCCTTCCGCAACCCGAAACCCGGTCCTTTGAAGGGACGTTTGCAGCCTCTCGTCTTGCCTTGGTCGTCCGGTCGAGGAGGTGGGGTGTGACCCGTGACCCTGGCCTTCTTCGCCTTTTCCTGTCGAGCAGCAACAACAATAGAGGTCTTCTCGACAGGCGCCTGACCAGGGACGCTGGCCAGCTCCACCACGTCAATGCTCTCTGTCGCGTGTGCAGCGCGCTTCGACGACTTTGAAGGGGAGCCCGGATCGCTAAGGCAAACGTTGCCTAGGGACGGAGCAGCGGCGACAGGAGCAACTGGAGGGGTTGAGGAAGACGCCAAATTTCCCACAAGCCCGACAGCAAGGCCAGCACCACCGCCGTGCGTAGCTGATGCCGCTTTAGTCTTCGACAGCAACCCAACGCTTGCTTCTCCCGCTCCTTTCCCCGCACCGCCGCCTGACGGGGTAGAGGCACCTCGCATTCCTAGGGCTCTGTTCCCGGTCGAGGCGACGTGCTCGTTCGGGGTACCACTTTTCTCCCCCGCGACCACTCCTTTCCCACCCGTTTTCCCCAGGTCTTGCAGCATGTCCCGCATCGAAGCAAACACATCAGGTTGATCGATCGGAGCCGCTACGGAGATCTTCGGGAGGGCTGACTGGTCGAGTACGATGACTTTGGGGACGGGCTTGGCGACGGGATGACGGCCACGCGCCGGTGGGGATCCAACCGGGCTGCCGACATGTCCTCCCACCGAAGAAGACGGAGGAACCGACCGCTCGTGACCTCGAGGCTCAGCCCCGCTGCGAACCCCTCCCACACCCTCCTGACGCGACCTCGTCGACGGGCCCGCCGAGCGTTGAAAACCTCTCGCCATCGCTTCGGTGAGGACTTCCAACCTCCCTGCTTCGGCTTCATGGTAGCCTTCCCTCACAATGTCCTTCAGCTCCTTCATGGTCTCGGGTGGGAGGGTGGAGCAAAACATGTCCTCCATGATGGCTTTCTCGAAACCCTTCAGCACCGCAGCAACCAGCCGCTCCTCGACCTGCTTGAGCTGCTTCTCGACTGCGTCCTCGCTCGCTTTTGTGATGGCGGCTACCACCCCCTCGATGATCTTCCCGCTCATCTCGTCGATCTTCGCCCGCGCCCCTTCCAACAGGTTCCTCTCCGCCGTGACACCCTTCACAGCCTCGGCGCACTTCGACAGTGTGCTCTTCGACGACTCCGAAATCGTATTCCACGCCGTCCAAAAATCCACAGCAAGCCTGTTGAATACTCCGGCTTGCTCAGTGTGTTTCGCAAATACATCGGCGACGAGCTGCTTCTACGACGCCTCGACCTTCTCGACCCTCTGCAGTAGCTCGACGACCTGGCCTCCGGGTGCAACGTTCGCCGTCGATTGGCCTGCCGTCGAAGGCCACCCGGTCGAAGGGCCCACCTGTCCGCTGCCACTGGCCGTGCGGTGACTCCTTGTTACGGCGGCCTGTCGCTCATCTCCTCGACGATACTCCTCAGCAGCCTCCCCGTCCTCCTGCTCCTGCTCTCCCGACCCACCCACCTGCGCAGCCGCAACCCTAAACTCCTGCTGCTGCACTCCTGCCCCACCCTCCTGCGCAGCCGCCACGCCCTCCTGCTGCTGCCCTCCTGCCCCGCCCTCCTGCGCAGCCGCCTCACCCACCACCTGCTGCTGCCCTCCGACCCCACCCTCCTGCGCAGCCGCTCCGCCCTCCTGCTCCTCGACAGCCTTTGTTTCCCCTGTCGCCTGCTACTCGATAAGCTCTACTCGCTCGTCCACCCGCTCCCCGAGCGCCACTCCGTGCTCCCCCGTACGCTCCGTTCGATGTCCGGCGCCCTCGCCGTCGTCCTCGACCGACTCATTGCTCGAGCTCGAGCCGGAGCTCGATCCCGAGGTCGAGTCCTCGTCCTGGTTCGCATCGCCGCCCGGGCCGCTCGCCCCGTGCTGAGCCTGCCTCGATGTATCCTCCTCGATCTCCTCCTCCTCCTCGATGCTGTACTCAATCACAACGCGTCCCGTCTTCTCGCCTCCTCCCTCGTGGTCGGCACCCCCTCCCACACCTGCTCCCTCCGCCAGCTGGTCGATCTTTCTCGAAAACAGCTTGACCATGAACAACGGAAGCACACCCGGGCCAGGGTTCGTTCTCCCTAGAGGCACGAGTTCGCCCTTTCGAGGCTGTAGGATGAAGTCGTCCCATTTCGACAGAATCCGGCGCACCCCATGCACGACACGAGCTGCCGCGCCGTTTTCATAGGGGCTCGACAAGGACGTCGTCGTCTGCGACGGGTACAAAACATACGTAAGCGACAAAACACATGCTCGACGAAAACGCTGTTGGTCTAAGGAAAGCTTACCAGATGGTCGAAATTCTCGTTCAACTCCAGACGAAGGTCCATCACCCTCAACACTTCTTGGTCGTCCTCGGACAGAGCCTGGTGGGTCATCGCGTACTCGGCGCGAAGCTGCTTCTTCATCCACCTGCGACGCAACGGACAGAAGAGTAAGATTGTCGAGAATAGCAGCTCGACAGTAGGGTTGCAAAGCAGTCACTCACACGAAAACTTCTTGCGCCAGAGAAGATTGGTGGTTCATATCGGGAAACTTGTCTTTCGAATCGAAGTGCATCATTCGAGTTCGACTGCCACGGTGCCTCGGAGCCAGCAGATCATCGGGGCGCGATACCACAAACAGGCTCGAGTGGGAGAACGGAGGCACACTCAGTCTGCATGCACAGCCAATGCACGTGAGAACGGGTTCAGGGCTAAAGACGGAGCACGCAAGGCGACGGGAGAGTGTCGAACTCACGGTGTCCGCAGCAGAACGAAAACCACTTGCTTGCCGAGGAGGCCGTCGAGGTGGTTGTTCGCAAAAGCGACCGGGGTGGGACGGGCCATCTCTTCACGCGCACGCGCCGGAGTCACGATCGACACCTTGGGGAGCTGCTCGACGGAGAGCAGCTCATGACAGAACAGGCTGCACGGAAAGCTAAGTCAACGTCAGCGATAGGTAAACCGAAACATGGCAAACCGAAAATGTTCGACAGGACACGTCCACCATGCTCGCGCGCCCGCGACCATCATGCTCTCGTCGAGCTCCCCTTTCGGCGCCTCTCTAATCGCATTCAGCTGGTCCTCATACACCTCCACCTCGACCCCGCCTGCACTAAGGATGAGGCCGCGTCGAACCGTCGCCTCGTTCATGACGGGTACGGAGGCGGGGCCCGTAGCCATTTCTGTTCTAACAGTGGAGAGGGCGGACGCGCAGGGGAGTTGGGAACTAGCAGGGACTAGGAAGTAGGGAAGCAAAAATCGGAAACAGCAACAAAATGAGACCGGACGCAGGGTATTAGCTGTTTGCCATCCCTCCCACCGCGACGGACCAGGGGGGTTCAAGGGCGAGGAGGCAGGGCACGTTCCGAGACGTGGGAGGATGAGGGAGGAGCTCTTCGCGGAGGCCGGCGGGGCCCCATTGGCCTCGACGTGAAACCTGGTTGTTGGTAGCATGGGGTGGGCAGCCTTGCATGCAGCTGAAAGGCCCCTTCCAAGGTTCGGGAGGGGGCCTTCGACACGTCGCCAAGTTCGAGAACGAAACGGGCCTGTCTAGGGCGAGAGCGGTGGAGCGCGGCGCAGATGGGCGTCGCTTTCGTCTGGCCGGCGAAATATAGCGGACTGGTTCCGTCAGCGAGGCGTCGCTCGGCGAAGGATGGGTGGGTTACCTGACGGAACCCGTCCACGAACCGAGCGAGGGGTTGGGAGGGGGACCACTGCCAGCTCGAGGGCGCGGGCTGCTAGCGTCATCGGCAGCTGGCGCCAGCTGGGGGTGCCCGTTTTCGGGCGGGAGGGGGGGGGGTGGCTCCCGCCCCTCGCGTGCGCCGCTAGGCGACTGCGGGAAAACGAAAATCCCTCCGAGGAAAACCCGCAGGGGCGGACGGGTTTTCGCGGAGGGATTAGGGCGAGGTCTTCCCGTATCAGCATATAGACTGTTGCTGATAAACATTGTAGAATTAGCCGCCTGGCCGCAGCTGCCTCCTTAAAGCCCAAAACCTGAATTACTCAACGGAAGTCAACGCTAAATACTAGGTTCGGGAGGCAGGCACGGAGAGGCTCGTTTGGGTTGCGAGAGACTTTCACTCGCGAAACCAATTTGCGACAAAAGTTTCTCGCTTCCCATGATGGGTGGGGTCCTTCCCACAACCAGAAAAGCACATGCATACCAAACTGTCCACAGTTTGAGATTGCACGCAGATTAATAGGCATAGACCATACCTGTAGACAGGGCAGGGCGTCGGCGTTCACTCAAAAGGGATCAGATGCGCCTTACGATGTGGGTGGCGCGGATTTTGATGATGACGCGCAAAGCTAGTGCTCGCTGGGTGAAGATTTTTGTGTCGAAATGCATTTTATTGTGCAACTACTGCGTAGCGTAAACTCGCGGCGAAAATCGAATCGCACCCGTTCGCCCAAGCGTGACCCTCCCCTCGCCCTCGCTTTCATTTCCCTAGGTCCCACGCTTCCGCTCTCTGTCGCCCGCGTCGTCGCCATCGCTTCCACAGCTCGTCGCGTTCGCGACCCCTGCCCGTCGCCTTCGCTCCGCCCGTCGCCTTCACTTCCCCCCCGTCGCCTTCACTCCCCCCCCCCCCTTCCCCCCCCCTTCCGTCGCCTTCACTTCCCCCTCTCGTCGCCTTCACTTCCCCCTCCCGTCGCCTTCACTTCCCCCTCCCCTCGCCTTCACTTCCCCCTCCCGTCGCCTTCATTTCCCCCTCCCCGTCGCCTTCACTTCCCCTCCCGTCTCCTTCATTTCCCCCTCCCGTCGCCTTCACTTCCCCTTCCCGTCGCCTTCACTTCCCCCTCCCGTCGCCTTCACTTCCCCTTCCCGTCGCCTTCACTTCCCCCTCTCGTCGCCTTCACTTCCCCCTCCCGTCGCCTTCACTTCCCCCTCCCGTCGCCTTCACTTCCCCTTCCCGTCGCCTTCACTTCCCCCTCTCATCGCCTTCACTTCCCCCTCCCGTCGCCTTCACTTCCCCCTCCCGTCGCCTTCACTTCCCCCTCCCGTCGCCTTCATTTCCCCCTCCCCGTCGCCTTCACTTCCCCTCCCGTCTCCTTCATTTCCCCCTCCCCGTCGCCTTCACTTCCCCCTCCCGTCTCCCTCATTTCCCCCTCCCGTCGCCTTCACTTCCCCTACCCGTCGCCTTCACTTCCCCCTCTCGTCTCCTTCATTTCCCCCTCCCGTCGCCTTCACTTCCCCTTCCCGTCGCCTTCACTTCCCCCTCTCGTCGCCTTCACTTCCCCCTCCCGTCGCCTTCACTTCCCCCTCCCGTCGCCTTCATTTCCCCCTCCCCGTCGCCTTCACTTCCCCCTCCCGTCGCCTTCACCTCCCCCATTTCCCCCCTTCACGCTCTCTTACCCCCTCTGCTCGCCCCTGTTTTCCCGGCTCACTCCTATACTCACTCTCTCCCTCCCTGCTCACTCTCTTCCCCCCTGCTCACTCTCTTCCCCCCTGCTCACTTTCTTTCCCCCTGTTCTCATCCCTCTTTCCCCCTTTCTCACCCATTTCCCCCCTGCTCGGTCTATTTCCCCCTGTGCTCGCCCCTAAAATCCCCTGCTCACTCCCTTACCCCTGGTTCACTCTCTCCCCCTCTGGTCACTCTCTTTCCCCCTGTACTCACCCATCTTTCCACCCTGTTTACTCTCTATTCCCCTTTGTTCAACCCTTTTCCCCCCCCAAGTCCTCTCATTTCCCCTCCTTAGCCCCATGCTTACTGGCTATCCCCTTTGCTCACCGCCTTCTCCACCCTGCTCTGCTCACTCTGTTCCCCGCTTCGCTCACTCCTCTGCCTAACTCCTCCCATACATGCCCTCCACCTTCACCCCTCGCTTATTCTGCCATATCCCCTCTTCCCTCCCCGTTCCATATAGAACCATGCGTGTACAGGTGCCAGCACCATGGGTCCCAACAGGAGTGGGTTAAAAAGTTACCACCTCCTAGCTTTGTGCTTGTGCTTATAGTCTTGTCTTGGCAACATAAATGGAACATTATTTTGCTTTGTTGCACTTTTTCATAATGCTCCAAATCACGATGTGGTGTATTATGAGACGCATCCAACCAACTTCAATAACGGTACATGGCATAGCTATTGTAGACAACTAATATTATCAAACCCTATACTCATCACAACTGGATGCATGGCAGACCTGCACAGACACGAACCACAAACTCTGATGGAGGGTGGGGAACAAAGAATGCACGGAGGCAGAAAATGAGCAAGGGAGACACGGAGGAAGGGCGGAAGGGTGAGCGAGACGAAGCGTGGGTACAGGAGAGAGAGCACGGAAAGGCACTAAGGCAGAAGCGTGGGCGACGGTGAGAGGATGGGCGGATGAGATGATGGGTGGATGAGAGGATGGGCGGATGAGATGATGGGCGGATGAGAGGAAAAAGTGCGGCTGGGTACAAGGGGGAAGGTAGAAGGGTGGAACGGAGGAGCAGGGTTGGCGTGAGGAAGGGAGCGGGAGAGTGGGAGATGGAAAGGGGAAGGGGGACTGGATCGAGGGAGGATGAGGAGAGGAAGAATGGCAGGAAAGAAGGATGGGAGGAAGGGAGGACGGGCAACAGAGAGGGTAAAGAGGGTAGTGAGGCAGAGAGATGGAGGAAGGGAGGAAGGGAGAGGGAGAGGAGGACGACTGTGGGGGAACGACGGAACGGAGTAAGGGAGGAGGGCAGGAGGTAAAAGTGTGGTAGGGTATAAGGGTGGAATGGGGGATAGGAGGATCCCTGCACCCTCTCTCCCTAACCCCCGCCTCCCCTGCCCCGCCTCCCCCGCTCCCCTGACCCGCCCCCTGCAGCACTGCACTCCTTGCTGCCCGCCTGCACGCGCTGCCCTGGCTGTGCGCCAAATACTCTGCTCCAAAGCCGCACCACCACCTGCCTTGCGTGTGGGGTTGGTGCGAGAGAGGAGAGGAGGTCAGTGCAAGAGAGAGAAGGGTGGGTGCTGCTGACCACGCACCCTTCCACACCCCACAGCGAACGAGTCACGACCCCTTCCCCAGCTCCCAGCCCAGCTCGCCATACCTCCCCGCCCAGGGTGGGTGAGGCTGATGGGGAGGGAGAATGAGAGAGAAGGGAATAAGGGTGCAAGGGTGGGGTGGTAACCATGGGCGATGGTAGGAGTAGAGAAGGTGGTAATGGGGAGAGCGTAAGCGACCTAACGAGGCAATTTGGAAGGGATACAACGACGACCCTAAATGCGATGGGAAGGGATGAGAGGGTGGGCGGCATGGGTGGAGACGCGATGGTGAATAGGGGGAACGTGATGGGCAGGGGAGTGATGACGACGTGGAGAGAGGTGGGAGAGAAGGGAGGTCGGCGGGAAGTCTAACCGAGGGCGATGGGAGGGCAAGCGTGGGCGGCAGTGGGGGTGGGCGACGGTGGCGGTGGGCGACGGTGGGGGGAAGCGTGGGCGACGGTGGGGGGAAGCGTGGGCGACGGTGGGGGGAAGCGTGGGTGACGGTGGGGGGAAGCGTGGGCGATGGTGGGGGGAAGTGTGGGCGACAATGGGGGGAAGCGTGGGCGACGGTGGGGGGAAGCGTGGGCGACGGTGGGGGGAAGCTTGGGCGACGGTGGGGGGAAGCTTGGGCGACGGCGGGGGGAAGCGTGGGTGACGGTGGGGGGAAGTGTGGGTGACGGTGGGAGGAAGCGTGGGCGACGGTAGGAGGAACCGTGGGCGATGAGAGGGGAATCGTGAGGGAAGGTGGGGGAAGGCGTGAGCGACGGTGTGGGGAAGCGTGGGGGAAGGCAGGAGGAAGCGTGAGCGGAGGTAAGGGGAAGCGTGAGCGACGATGGGGGAAAGCGTGGGCGACGGTGAGGGGAAGCGTGGGCGTGTGCGTGGGGAGGTGTGTGAGAGACGGTGGGGAGAAGCATGGGGGACACGTAAGGCGATAGGTCCAAATGCGATGTTTGGGGATGGGCTAGGATTAAATGTGAAAATGCTCATGGCCTATGCTTTAGTGGCTTTTTATTCTATCTCTTCGCATGATCTAATCGCTTCGCGTACTATGGAAATTGCACGACCTAAATTACCAAAGGAGGCAAACTGTGCACATTTTGAGCCCTTGTTCCTTCAGGTGGGTGTGGTTGGGACTCTCGCCAACCAAACCCGTTCTGCTCTACGACACTCTGTTTTTTGGCGCTTTGTTTTCTGGTAACCAGCCTGGCTCGGGAGGTCAACTGTGGGTTCGGTAGGCAAACTGTGCATAGTTTGCCTTCCTTTTTTTGTAATTCAGGTCTTGGGCTTTAACTGCATCTCGCCTGGTGAAGCCGATCTTGCTCGACCCAGCTATTGTCCTGATCTCCACAGGAAGTGCCAGGGAGGAATGGATCTGCACCCAGATTTGCTGCGGGAAAGCGCATGGGATGCTGTTTGTTTCTGCTGCAGAGCACATCACTGCTTCGCGTCATCTGCACGGACAGGGAGAGTTGGGTGCGGTTACTCGCCTGACAAGGGAAAAGGAGAATCTGCATACGTTTCGCAAGGAGTATGGAATTTAACAGATCCGGACCGGCTTACCATGTCGATATCGGTTGGAGCGGCGGTTGTTGCTGTTTTCTGTCTTACCTGCCTGTGGATGCGTAGAGGCAATCAAGGAGTTATTAAATGAATACACGGAATGCCTTGACGTTTGCGGGCCTGAATGTCAACGGCCTAGGAGATTTCACGAAGCGGAAACGCACAACGGCATGGATTAACAGTAGAAAAGGAGCTGATGTCATGGTCTTGTCGGACACCCGTGTTGCAGATGATCACACTTACTGGTCCTCCCTTAACCTCACTTCCTTCGCCGCCTCCTCGTCTGTGACCCGAGCTGGACGGGTAGCAGTCCTCAGCAGGCGAACGGATCTCTCCTTTCATAACCCACTAGCTCACCCCTCAGGAAGGCTTGTCAAGACAGAAGTCCATTGCTCAGACCTTCGCCTCACCCTGATAGCGACCTATCTTCCTGCAGACAAAGCGGAAAAGAGAGCATTCATTAGAATTGTTCTTAGCCCAATCTTACGCCTTATACCACCAGGCTCTCACCTGCTTATCCTAGGAGACCTTAACACTATTGAGAACCCACTACTAGACAAGACTTCAAAGAAGGGTTCAACCAGGGAAAATGACTTTCTCAAGACATTGCCCAGGAGGTGGCAGTGACGGGTGGAGTGGTGTCGGAGCCAAAACACATCCTGAAAGCAGCATCGGATTTCTTCCGTGATCTGTTCGGGGAAGATAAGCAAACGGCAGCTTTGGACTGGAACCCAGCGGCGGGGAAGAAGCTTTTTTACTCTGACGCGGAAAGCCTGCAAGAAGATTGGACGGAAGAGGAGGTCAGACAAGCGCTGAAGGAGATGGCTTGCAACAAAACACCAGGGAAGGATGGATTACCGAAGGAAGTGTTTTAGCAGCATTGGGATGTGCTCGGGAAGCATGTCATGGCGTTGGTCCGAGACTTCACGGCCACCTCCTCACTCCCGGCCAGTGTCAAGGACGCGGTTACGATCCTCCTGCATAAAAAGGGAGAAAAGGAGCAGTTGGAGGATTACCGTCCCATCACGCTGCTTAACATGAGCTATAAGGTGCTGGCGCGGGTTCTGGCAAGCATAATTAAGAAGGTACTGCACAGGGTAATCTCGCAGGAGCAGTACGGCTTCATCCCGGGGAGGAGAATGTCTGATGCGGTGGGGCTGGTTGCGGATGTCATTGATGCAGCTAAGAACGGGAGTGAAGACTAGTTCATGTTGCTAGTCGACTTCAAGAAGGCGTTTGATTCTGTTTCCCGGGACTACATCTTCGAGGTGATGGAGAAAATGGGCTTCCCGGCTCGTTACATTGGTTGGGTGAAGGGCCTGCACACGAACAAGCGGACAAACTTGCTGATTAATGGCTGGCTAGGGGAGGCAGTGGAAGTAGTCTCAGGGGTGAGGCAAGGATGTCCCTTAGCGCCTTACCTCTTTCTGTGTGCGGTTGAGCCTTTGGTGCAGAAGGTGTTGAAGAGGAAATTGGGGATCTCCCTTACCAGCTGCGTCGACCAACGATTGGCGTTCATTGGCTATGCTGACGATACGACCCTCCTGTTGCAAGGGAAACAACAGATTGGTAGGGCTGAGGAGGTGTTGGAAGCTTTTAAGAAAATCTCTGGCCTGGAGACGAACAAGGAGAAATCGGTGGTGTTGCCGCTGGGAGCTAACATGAGGAAGACGGCCTGGCGCTCAAACGGTTTTCGATGGGCGGGCGCGGATGAAGCGGAGAGGCTCCTTGGGGTATGGGTCACGCCGAGCGGGAGCTGTCAGCCGACGTGGGATAAGGCGCTGCAGAAAATTGCTGGGAAGATGGCGTTGTGGCAACCGCAATACCTCCCGATTAAGGCTCGAACGGCGGTGATGGACGGGTACATCCTGCCGATTGCGTGGTCTCAGGCTCAGGTGTATCCGCCGCCTGCACAAACCTGGAGCGTGATCACCAAAATGACACACAACTTTATGCTAGCAAACAAGGTCATGGCAGAAAAATGTTTCCGCCTCTGGAGCAAGGAGCTGTTGTTCACCCCGGTACTGGAAGGAGGGGTGGGGGCGAAAAACCCGGAAACAATGCTTACCTGCCTGACCGCCAGGAGGATAGGGCTGGTACTTACGGAAATGGATCAGCTGAAGCGGGAGCTGATGCGTCGGGCAGCCGATCTACCACGGGGGCTGGAGACGTTCATGGCGCATGAAAGAATTCTGAAATCATGGGAGGGGAAAAGCCAGCGTTGGAAATTGGCGTGTGCGAATTTTATGCGCTCCCCGCTTGCGGAGACTACGGAAAAACGGGAGACTAAGGAGCTGATGTTGGAGAGGATTTCGTTTAACAGGCACATCCTCCTGAAGGGCACCACGCCGGTTGGGGGGCAAAAAGCAGCGAAGCAGCTTCTTGGTGTCATACTTGGGGACCTGATAGGGAGAAACGCGGAAGTATGTGGAGTGCTGAAGAGCCTGGAAACCCTGGAGAGAGAGCTGCGGGGGAAGGACACAGCTAACCTAGCGCTCAAAGCATTCGCAGCAGCGCCAGAATGATGGAGGAAGCAGCTCCTCTCAGCCGAGCTTCCGAACGTGGGGTTTGCGGAGGAGTTTGATGTGGGAAGGAAAGGTCCTCTGCAGCTTCAATTGAAACTGTTGGCGGAGGGGGAAGCAGTTCCGCTGCGGTCGCTCAGGAAGCACTTGAGGCATGGCAGCAGCGGAGTGTCTAGGCGGGAGAAGTGGGAGAGCCGATGGGGTGGCAACATTGATTGGAAGCGGGTGGTACAGATTCGTGAATCACTTGTTACCCCAAGCCGTCCGAGAGATGTGTTGCTGCGCATTCACTGCCTCAATCTGCAAGTCGGGGAGAGATTAGAATTTCTGAGCAGCAAACCGGTATGTCCCCACTGCGACGCTTTTGAGACTCTGGAACATTGCCTCTTGGATTGTCCGAAAATTCAAGGGGTGGTTTCGGCGATTAAAAAAAAAAGCTTTACGGATGATCAACCCGGCCAGGAAAGGGGACACACTCGGTGATTGGCTGTTTGGCAAGGCGGGCTCCGTGTCAGCATTTCCGGAGGCTTCGTTGGTAGCGATTGGCCTCCATCAGCTGTGGGCGGAACGGTGCGAGGAGGCATTCAGAGGCTGCAAGTTCCGCACGCGGAGAGTTCTTCGGAAGATTGAGTCAGCTCTCCGCATGCATGTGAACGTTTATGCGCGTGCCTCGGTGGCGAGGATGCGGCAGTGTGGGAGAGTGAAGTGCGCCAGGTGGCAGAAAATGACGGAGCAGGAACGTGTTCTTCTGAGCCGTATCAGAGTGGTGGATGGCAAAAGCTGGAAGTGGTCTAACAGTTTCGCGGCAGTTTGGGGCAAACCACGCAGGCCCCGGATCCATGTCTGAGGATCGAATTCTCTGGCGGGACTTCTCGTCTCTCGTGCACAGTTACGACTGTTTATGCATTGTACACTTCTGTTATGGTGTATAACTCATATAAGCAAAAAATAATATTGTAGAATTAGACTCTCATCATATTTGCCTTCTGTTAATACGCGTTCCATTGAAATTGTAATCAGGTTTCATCGAAGGTGCATAGGCGAAGTCCTCTATAATGTATATAGTATTATGTGTAGATACATATATGGTATCAAGAACCACTATTTGAGATGCTCACTGCGATATATAATCAAGTGACTAATCAAAGTTCCTAGACTCCTAGTATAGATCTGTTAGTGGTTGGCGAGCCCTCTTGGGAGATGGCGAGACACCATTCTTACCCACAGCTATGCTCATCTGACAGACTTTATCGCCATGTCCGGTCAAAGAACCTCTTGGCTGGTTCTCCTTCGCTTGAAGCTGCATGAGCAAGAAACAAAACCTGCTTACTTAGAACACAGCAACTGATCAAAACCGTCTCAATGGAGCACAATTTAAATAATGCAAATGAGAAAAAGCATCGCATGGAGGAAACCGACAGATAAACATACACCTACATAACCCCTGACCACTTACCTGATTCTCCAGTGACTCAATCTGCATGAGGTAGTCCTTCTGGTTTGCTTCATACAGTTTCACATCCAGCTCCAGCTGCTGCAGGCGCTTCTCCTTCTCCTCCCTCTCCTCCCACGCCTCCTCCTTCAAACCCAACACCTGCTGCAGCTCATCCCTCTGCTTCTCTGCCTCTGCCAGCTGGTTGAATGTGAATGTGGGGTGGAAAACACAAGAAACAAGGTTATGGCATAGCTCGTCCCGCTGCTTCTCCTTCTCCTCCCTCTCCTCCTACGCCTCCTCTTTCGAATCCAGCACCTGCTGCAGCTCATCCCTCTGATTTCCCGCCTCTGCCAGCTGGTTGAATGTGAATGCGGGGTGGAAAAGAGAAGAAACAAGGTTATGGCATAGCTAGTCCCGCTGCTTCTCCTTCTCGTCTCTCTCCTCCCACGTCTCCTCTTTCGAATCCAGCACCTGCTGCAGCTCATCCCTCTGATTTACCGCCTCTGCAAGCTAAGGGAGAATGAAGAGGCGGGGGGGGGAGGGGAGGGGAAAGGGGAGGAGAGGAGACAAGGTTGAGATGTTGCTGAAGCTCCTCCCTCTGCTTCTGTATCTCTGCCAGCTGGTTGATTGTGAATGTGGGATGTAAGGTTGGGGGGGAAAGAGAAGAAACAAGGTTGTTGAGCAGCTCATCCCGCTGCTTCTCCGCCTCTGCCAGCTGGTCAACGGTGGATGCAGGGTGTAGGATTGGGGGGAGAGGAGAAGCAACAAGGTTGAGGCACGCAAAAAGATCATCCCACCATTTCTCTGCCTCTGCCAACAAATCAATGATGAATGCAGGATGTAGAGTTGGGAGAAGAGGAAGTGAGACAAAAACACCAAGAAGGAACTGAACACAACGACATCCACTCTTCTTTCAGCACTCTGCTCGTACCCGCTGCTCGGTATGCTCTCCAGGCCATCCAAACAGCAGAAAAAGCACCTAACAAAACATGGAGAGTCAAAAAGAGAAAGACTTGGAAGTAAGTGCAGGGTCACACCTTCTGCCTGGCGCCCTCCAGGTCCTTGACAAGCTTCCTGTTTGTGTCCTGCGCGCTGATCAGCACTGCCACCACCTCCTTGCGCCCCCTCCACTCACCACCACTCCCCCTTCTCCTGTTCCCTGCCTCCTCCTCCTCCTCGCCTTCACTCCCTGCTTCTGCTTGCAGTGACTGCAGCAGCCGCTGCAGCTCCATCCGCTGCTGCTCGGACTGCTGCAGTCGACCCTGGGTCCAGAAAAAAGTAGGTAGAGAGGCAGGGAAACGAAACATCATACAGTATGAATGCAGCAGTGGGATAAACAGTGAGCAAGAGTGTACCCATAACAACCTCAGAGGACAGGTGCACAGATGGTCTCAAATGGGTTTGCAGACATGGTTTCTCACAACGTCAAAGCAAAGAGTCTCACCGTGAGATTCTCGACCCGTTCCTTCTTCTCTGCAAAGGCCTTGCGCCACACACTCTGTGGGGGTTGTGGAACCAAGAACGAGGGAGAGAGGAAGGACAGAATCACATCACAGGAGAATGACCGGACATGCTGAAATAATGCCGGGTATATACGATATGAAGAACAAGTCAGATAGGTGAGACATTTGAGTTGACTTAAAAAGTCACTTGGAAACGTCAGAGAAACACTCTAGTTCACCGCCAGCATGCTCTTTAGACCAGCCTTCACATCAGCATCAGTCCAGTCCAGCATACCTTTTGAGCACTGTACTTGTTCTGCAGCGACGCCAGCTCCCTCTTCACAGCCAGGGCAGCTCCTTCCCCCTCTGCACGCGCCTCCTCCTCCGCCTCCTTTCTCTCTTGCTTGAGATGCTCCACCTGCTCCTCCCGCTCCTGCACCTGCCTCTGCAGCCCCGCTATCCTCTCATTCGCTGCGTTCAGCTTGCTCTCCATCGCCACCACCTCGTCCGCCTGTGGGTTATGAGGGAACGAGAGAGGAGGGGGGGGTTGGGTGAGGGAGGGAAAGAATGCTATGCACCTGCCTCTGCAGCCCTGCTATCCTCTCATTTGCCGCGTTCACCTTGCTGTACATCGCCACCACCTTGTCCACCTGCGAATGGGGGAAGATTGAAAGGGGGAAGAGTGGGGGGGTAGGGGAGGGGAAACAAAGCTATGCACCTGCCTCTGCAGCCCCGCAATCCTCTCATTCGTTGCGTCAATCTTGCTCTCCATCGCCAACACCTCGTCCACCTGAGAATTTAGAGAGAGGAAGAAGGGGAGCTAAGCGAAAAGATATACATCAAAGGTCAAGAGAAAGAAACAGCACCGACATCCATGCTGCCTTCATCTCCTTGCTGGTTTGAATGAGCTTATCAGCGAAGTCTGCAAACACATCTCCATTCTTACCTGCTTTCCAAGGCGCTCGCTCTTGGCTCTCTCCGCTCTGAGATCGCCCTCCAGATTGGCCACTCTCGCCTTCTCCTTCTCTAGGTCCTGCACTGCCTCCTTGTGCTGTGCGGCTAGCTGCCGTCACAGAGGCAGGGGACAGTATCAGGGGATCAGGTAACAGGGAGCAGGGACATGGAACAGGGACCAACAGGGTTGCGGGAGACAAAGCAGCATCAGCATTGGCAGTAGGAGCATCATCATCATCATCAAGCCAGCTCAAGCGCATTCACCCACCTGAGAGTGCTCCTTCTTCGCAGCAGCAATGTCTGCCTCCAGTTGCCGCTTCTCCTATTCTGCCTTCTGAATTCTCGCCTGCAGCGAGTTTTGAGACCTCCCAAAACTCAAATTCCCTTCAGTCAGCCTGAGCCAATTCACCCACCTCAGAGTGCTCCTTTCTTGCAGCAGCAATGTCTGCCTCCAGCTGTCGCTTCTCCTCCTCTGCCAGCTGAATCCTCGCCTGCAGCGCCACAATCTTCCCCTCTGCCTCCTTCCCAGCTGCCTCTGCCTCCGCCTTGCCCCTCTCCAGTTCCTCCACCTGCTCCGTCTGCGCACAGTCAAGGAAGGAGACGGTTAGTAGAGTTGACCGCGACACTGGTTCCTGCTGGACCTTCTGCAGCCCTTGACATGCGGGCACAAAAAAATGTTCACTTGATTCACAAAGTCCCCCAACACTCCTGCAGATATATTTCGAGATGTTTGGTAACATCAACAGACTTAGCATGTGACCGCACACCATCGGCCCCCATATGCACGTACCAGCTCCTGGCGAATCTCCTGCAGGGCCTTGATCTGCGTGGTGGCCGTCTCAAAGTCCGCCAGCACCTCCTGCAGGTCCGCCTGCCCCGCATCCACCTCTGCCTGCAGCTGCTCGCTCTCCTCCGCCGCTGCCGCCACCCTCAGCCTCAGCTCGTCCCTCTCGCCCTCTGCACCTTCGAGTGCTTCCTGCAAGGGGGGAGAGGGGAGGGATAGGAGGTAGAAGGGAGAAGGCGGGAGAGGGAATGGAGAGGGGAGGCAGAGGGGACGAGAGGATGAAGGTGGCAGGGAGGTGAAGCGGGAGGAGACGAAACGGAAGCGGAGTGGGTTGTGGTGAATGGGAAACATCAACCCAATTCCCCACCTGCTCCTGCTCACTCTGATCCTTCCTTCTCAATCCAACCACAACTTCACCTGCTCTGCCCGGTAATCAAGAACGCTCCTAATAACATGCCACACTCTCCAGAGCTCACACAAATCCCCCTTTGTCCGCCGACCTGCAGGTCCACGATTGCCCTGTATTTCTCCTCAATTTCCGACGCCATCGCCGCCAGCTGCCTGTCCGCCTGCACAGCCTTTGCCTGCACCTCGCGCCGCTTATCCTCCACCTGCTCCCGCTTGCTCAGATCCCGCGCCAGCTGGTTGCTCTGGTTCCGCAGGCTCTTCACCTCTCGCTCCAGGGTCGCCTTATCCACCTGCAGATTCAGTTTCTCCGCCTGAACCGCCTTCAGCTTCGCCTCTAGGTCCAGCATCTTGGTTTTCCGCTTCTCTGCTTCTTTTCTCAGCTGGTCCCGCTCGCGCTCGGCTGCTCCTGGCTTGCCCTTGAGGGAGCTCATCTCCTTCTTGGTTGCGAGTAGCTCCTTGCGAGCCTCAGCCAGCTCCTCTGCGTGCTGCTGTTTGCATACCTGGAGGGAGATGGCAGAAGAAGGGGCACAAAAGGGAGGGGATCAACGTGGAGAAAGGGAAAGGGAAGGGGAAGGGGAAGGGGACGGAAAAGGGGAAGGGGAAAGGGAAGGAAAGCGAATAAGAAGGGTAAAGGTAAAGGGAAGGGAAAGGGGGCGGAAAAGGTGCTATGAGAGGGTGGGGTTGGTCAGGGTGAGTAATCAGTCATGACAACGACTAGCATGCACACACCTCGAGCTGCAGCTGAGCCTCGGTTGCTGAGGCCCTTGCTGCTTCCAGATCTGCTGCCACTTGGTCCGCCCTCTGGCTTGCTGAGTCCTGGAAGTACCGAAGGGATGGCGTGCACAGGGAAAGCAGTGGAGGGGTAGCATGGGAAACGAAACGGGGAAAATTGAAGCACGGGGGGTGAGAACAGCAGAAGGGAAAGTGGGGAGAGCTGAGTGGAAACAGAGAACCAAGAGAGGGGGGATGAGGGTTCCTATTCTGAGGCCTTTTCTGAAGCAGCAGCACTCACCTTCTCTTTCAGCACCAGCTTCAGCTCCTCCTGCACAGCAGCCAGCTCCCTCTCCTTCTCCCCCACCCTCGCACTCATCTCCTCCACCTCCCTTCTCACTCCCTCCAGCCTCTCCTCCGCCTCCCTCTTCTCCCCTGCCGCTCTCCGCACCTCTCCCTCTCTCTCCTCCGCCCTCTCCTCCCACGTCCTCCTCTCCTCCCTCTCCCGCTCAACCTCCCCTTCCAACACCCTTATCTTCTCCTCAAACACCCCCATCTGCCTCGCACTCTCCGCAGCCCTTGCATCTGCCTCTCGTCTGGCAGTCAACAGGTTCAACTCCACCGTATCCCGGGCTGCCACCGCCCTTTCTAACTCCCTCCCGGCTTCTTCCAACTCCGCTTGCAGCCTGCTTACCACCGCTGCCTCCTCCTCTCCTCCCTTCCTCTCCAACTGAGCATGAGCCAGCTTCCTGGCGCTCTCAGCTGCTGCAGCTTGAGCCTCTGCCAGCTTCCTTTCGCCCTCCGTCTCCCTCTCCCGCACCTGCTTCAGCTGCAGACTCAAATCCTCTGACTTACTCCTGGCAGCAGCTAAGGACGAGATCACCCGCCCAACAGCCGCGCACAGGTCTCTCATCTCCCCCACCACCGCCTTCCCAGCACCTGCACCAGGCTCCATACTGCTACCGTGGTTCACTGTGTCAAGGGCAGGGGCAGGGGCAGGATCCCCAAGAGCCTGAGCAACATCCGCCTGCAGCCTCCTCACAGCGTCATGGAGGGACGTCAGCTCCCTCTCCCTCTGCTCCACCACCTCCCTCAACCTCTCCATCTCCTCCACTCCCCTCACATCACATTCCTTCCCAGCCGCGTCATCCCCACCAGCCCCCGCCCTCCCTTCCGTCAGCAGTGATTTAAGCCGACCCACCTCCTCCTCCAAGCTGTCCTTCTCCCCGCTCACCTCCAGCAGCACCCCTTCCACTGCAATCACATTCGCTTCTAGCTCCTCTACTCGCCGTTTCAACTGAGACGCCTCCCACACTGCTGCCTCCAGCTCCCTCTGCTTCTCCAACAGCTGACCTGCTGCTCCTGCTGGCCCGCATCTTGCTTGAGCTGCTTCGGCAGTGGCTTCCTGTAGCAGATGCTCTGTTTCGTATAACTGAGAGTTGGCTGATTCCAGTGCTTCCTTCAGTGCGCTGCAGTTGTCGCAGCGGGGAGTGTCTGCCTTGGCAGCTGCTTGTGCCTCCTCTAGCTGCCGTTTGCAATCCTCCAGCTCCTCCTGAAGCTGCTCTCATCACGCCAGGCACGCAGGAAAAAAAAAAGAGAAAGAGGAACGTTGAAAGCAGTGACGAAAGAAGAAAGATTTGAAGCAACAATACAATACATCACAGGTTAGCCGGAAACTGCAGCCTATTGGGGATAAGCACATGCGAAAGTGAGTCGACTGAAGTTTCCCACCTGCTGTTGCTTCTGAATACTGCTCGCTTGCTCCTCTGCCTGTTCCTTCGCCTGTGCCTTGGCCTGCTGTGTCACATAGTCCAGCTCCCTCTGCATGCACGCCTTCTCCATTTCAAGAGCTGCCACCTTAGCCTGAAGCCCATGCGCCAGCACAGCAGGGGTGCCCATGCTCTTTGACCGTCTTTCCTGGCCCGACCCTGCACCCGACGCCTCCTGATCCTTCTCATCCCCTCCCTCTCCCGCCTCCCTCCCCGTCTCTGCACCAGGGCCTGCTCCTACTTCTGAGTTTGCAACACTCACTCCGCCTTCTGCGCTTCTTCCTGTGCCTCCTCCTCCTCCGCCTGCGTTGACCTGCATGGCGGCTACCTGTGCTTGCAGCTGCGCTATAAGCGCGTCCTTTTCTGCTAGCTGGGGGGAAGAGGGCGGAAAAGGAGAGTAGGGCAGGGAAGGGTCTATTTCTGAAGTGCTTACAGATAAGATGCTTTTTAAGAGCGAACTTCTATGCTAGCTGGGGAGGTGGGCGGCGAGGGGAAAGAGGTGGTGTGTGTGGGCGCGCATACCTGCTTCGCATGCCCTTCGTTCCATTGAGCTGACAGGGTGCTGCTGATGGTCACACCACGCAGAGGCTGCATAGGCAACGAGGAGGAAAAAAAGGAGGAGCAAGGATTGTATGAGAAGGAGGGGTTAAATTAACGTCACAAATCCTGCATGTTGCAGAGAAACAAGGGAAAACAAGGATGTCACATCATAATCAACTCACTTTCTTTGCAACAGGCGAAGACACCTCAGAAGAGTTCTCCTCCTTAGCTCCAAAGAACGGCGCAGCCCGCCTCTTCTTTGAACCATCACGGGCACTCTCATCCTGGGCGACCCCAGACCCAAACCGCCCTTCGTTTTGAAACACCTGGCCGTCCTGAAACCCTTCAGATTCCTCCTCCTCGTTCTTCACCTCCTTGGGCCCACTCGTCTCCCACAGAGCTGCCAGCTTCTGCACGCTGCTGATCCTCCTCTTCCTCGCAGCCCCATTCACCTCCTGAACCTTAACTGGCTTCTCATCCTTCTCATCTTTCTCTTCCTTCTCGTCCTCCTCTTCCTCATCATCTTCTTTGAAGGCCATGGCACGGCGCATGAATGCCAGGCGCTTGATTCCCCCAGGCTGGTTCTCCTGCAGAGGAACACGCCACGCCAGTGGGGAGCAGTGAAGCAAGGCGTTTAAGAGGTGCCAGCGACTGCACAGGAGAGAAGCAAGACATACTATAGTAACCTATCACTGCATGCATCAAAAGAGAAGTGGAACAGATGGGACGGCACAACCATGCCACACTCAAGGACATCTGATGCACTCATATGGCAGCGATGCCACGTGCGAGGAGTAAGGCAGTTGCAGATACAAAAATAGCTGTTGCTCACCTTGATTCTGGCTGGGCTGCTCTCCACTCGTGCGTTGGGACACCACGACTCCCTGCGATTGCCCTGCAAGGCGCCCACCCACCACAACACCCAGGTGAAGCAAATCCAGCTCAAGAACATCTAACTTGTAAGAGTGTAGACTGTTGACAACGCATTTCAGCCAGGTTCTCCAAGGCTGCTCATTGCAACATCAGAAACCATCCCTCTGTCCAGTCCTGCTCATTGCTGCTCTCCCTTCTCCTGTCCCCTTCCTGACCATCCCTTCACCCACCGCTCCACCCAACCCACCTGCATGGCTAACCTGGCCCCAGCCCCACATCTATTTTGGCCCTCAGGAGCCCTCAAGAAGCCCCACTCCAAGAGCTCCCAGCAAACGCCTGTCACCTTTTTGGGCCGCCTGTCGTTCTGCCTGTCCCCTGCAGCCGCCTTGATAACGAGCGTGCTGAGGTTCTCAATCTTCCTCTCCTGCTCCTTGATGCGCTGCTCCTTCTGTGAGTGCGCCGCCCGCTCCTCCTGCAGCTGCAGCGCTATCACCTCCTTCTCCGACTCCATCTGAGCCAGATGCAAAGACAATCAGAGACAGGAAAGGCCAAGATAGAGGGGCAAGCAGCGACGAAAAGGAGAAAGATAGAGTGACGGATGGGCTCAATAGTGCGTGCTCAGACTACACGCTTTTCCTCCTGCAGCTGCAGCGCTATCGCCTCCTTCACGGATCCATCTGAGCGAGATGCGAAGAACAGGGACAGAAAAGGGCAAGTTACAGAGGCAGAGTATAGGGTAAACAGTGTTTGTCCCGACTCTTTTCCTCCTGCAGCTGCAGTGATAACACCACTTCTATGGGCAAGATACAGAGGAAGAATGAGCAGGATACACGGGACAGAATTTACAGTCAATGGTCACCTTTATCTCGGGCGAGTGGGACGCCTCCAGCTTGTTCCAATGCTTCCCACAAGGGGGCTAAAGCGCCTGACATTCATGCACCGTGACTGAATGACTGACTGACTGACTGACTGATTGACTGACTGACCTTGAGCATGGCGTTGCGCAGCTTCATGATTTCCTGCTCCATCTCAGGCGAGTGGGATGCTTCCAGCTTGCGCCGCAGGTCCTCAATCTCCTTTGCCTGCCTCTTAAGGAGCACGTTGTTGGTGACGATCTGTGGTGCACGGCAAACAAGGCACGTGATGGAGCAGCCACATGAGCAACAAAGCAAACAGGGGGAGCGATGGGCAGCACAGCTCAAGGACAGGACACACCAACCATGACACCAGCTTGTTACCAGCTGCTGGGCTCAGCAAAACATTTCCAGCATAGGAGAGCAATGGGGTAACGTTGAGTCGAGAGTAGAATTACCTCGTTAACTTTGGCGCAATTGGTGATGCACTTCGCTCTGAGGGCGAATCGGAGAGTGCCATGCGTCTCGTCCTCATGCCTCTGTAACGGACAAAGGGGAACAACAAGACAGTTAAACAGGCCACATTTGTCAAGGGTCACGACGGAAGGTGGATCGACAACCCGATCGCAGCGGTTGTGGTGAGGCCATTCGGTTCGCTATTCAGCAAAACACGCCAGCAAGGCGAAGGAAATTCGGGTGCGTTACCAGAGCGGGGGTGGCGCAGCAGATGATGGCCGTCTTGGTGTTGCCACCCAGCGCTGGCTGTAGGATGCGCGTCAGCTTGCTGTCTCTGTACGGGATGTGCGCCCTGCAACGGATAACACAAAAAGGTCCAATACATACAACGCACCAGTTAGAACAAAAGCTAGAACAGTAGAAAAAGTCATTAACTACATAGGATCGGCATCTCTCGCATTCCACTCACCCGTTCCTATCCGCGCCTTCACTCAGCTAATTGACCACCGTGGCCTCAACCGGCTCTTGTTGATGTGCCCTCCCTTCCTTCTTCTGCATGTTGTGGTCTGCTGCGTCGATACCACATATGGGGCCTAACATCCCTGTATCTCTCACAACTCACCCGTTCCTATCTGCGCCTTCGCTCAGCTTGTTGATCACCGTCCCCAGCGTCATCAGGCTCTTGTTAATGTGCCCGCCCTCCTTCAGCCCTGACCCATCAGGTCCCGTCCCGTTCAATCCCTTTCAAGGCACCTCAATAACAGGCAAACCCACTCACCCGTTCCTATCCGCGCCTTCGCTGAGCTTGTTGATCACCGTCCCCAGCGTCATTAGGCTCTTGTTGATGTGCGCGCCTTCCTTCAGCCGCGACCCTTCCGCACCCGTCTTCGCCACCCTTTCTGACCCGGCAAGGTCAACCAGGTTCTGAGGTGGAGGGGGTGGCGAGGAGGGGAACAAGAGAGGCGAATGCGTAAGAGAGGAAATTTGTATAAACAGAGAAAGAAGGGGGCCCGTACGGGGTAAACGGTCGGCCGTGACTCCCGGAACAAATGTTCGCTTCCTTTCTTGGTGTTTCTTTCCCATTTCGGTTAAGAGCCATGCGTCCACGAACATTGAGATCCGTTGGTGACAGCACATCAGACTTGAGTGGCGCTCACCACCCCTCGAGTGGCGCTCACCACCCCTCGAGTGGCGCTCACCACCCCTCGAGTGGCGCTCACCACCCCTCGAGTGGCGCTCACCAGACTGGAGACGAGAACAGGACTTTCAGCCTCTGTAGCCCCCTCCTCTGGGATCTCCCTGCTTTCAAGCACCTGCATACGAGCAGCACGCACAAGGGAACACAGGCATACCGGATGGGCGGACTCAGAGATCAATTCAAGATGGGCGAATCAACTCGCAGTGACGATAACAGTCGAGCAAGACATCAGGTGTTTTTACAGGTCAGGACAAGAGCAACAAAATCACGGATTCAGTGTGCCAGGGGTGCCAAGATTGAGTTCCTGATGGTCACGGCGGGATGAGTGTGCAACGCACCATACGGAAGATGGCGTGGGAGCGACTACTCTTCTCGTTCATCTTCGTCTCTCCAATGGACCGATTCGCTGCACGTGGCACACGCACATGCACATGCACGGGCACACGCTCAGCCAAACGCACAGGCACACGCACAGGCAGCACTTGGTCCGGACACACGGCGAACTCCTCATACAGACCCTTGAGCCGACTCAAAGTCATTCTTCAACCCGAACGAAGAAAAGCAACGATGGGGTTAGGTTTGAAGGAAAATCGTACTTTCGCCAACGCTGAGCAGCTGAAGCACTTGGTCCGGGCACATGACGATCTCCTCGTGCAGCCCAGCCACAAAGACGCCTCTCTGCATGCACCGGCGGAACGAGGCGTAGCAGGATACAATATGAGCGGAGCACGTTCCAATATAACGGATAGCGTCTCAGACAAGGCAAAAGGTCGTAATAAGCAGGGCATATTCACGACAACAAGCCATCTTCACGCTCGCTGTAGTATGCAAAACGCCTTAGCGCTGATTGCCACTTCGACGCCTCGCAATTTCAAGCTTCCTCGCAATCTCACAAGCCGCCTCGCACCTCCGAGCTCTCGTGAATCTGAAGCCTCCGGTTGTCGGGAGCCAGCAGGTCGTTGATCTCCTCGTTGTAAATCTCGAGGTACGAAACTCGAAGGAGAAACTCCCGGTTCATTGTCTGCCAGATGAAAAGACAGGCTGGGAGAGTTTTGAGAGTGGTACAGGACAAAGATATCTCTTTGACGTATATTTCAAAGTTAGTACTAGGAGTAGAGATCGAACGTTGGTACCTGCGAGATGGTGTCGAAGACCTGACGGACGGAGAGCGGGATGACGCCTTCGCACGCAGGCACGCCTCTCATGGTGAACGTCTTGCCGCTGCTCGTTTGACCGTAGGCGAAAATAGTCCCTGGCGAGTCCAAAAAGAAGAAGTCAAAACTCGCTATCAGGAAAGAACCGTCGAATCAGAGGTCGTGAGGATTCGTCAGACAGACTTTGATCACTCTGAAGGCCAGAAAATCAGACATTGAAGCTACAGGCTAACATCACTCTTGCTAGGTTGTTTCGTCACTAACCATTGAAGCCATCGACAACGGCTTTAGCGATTTCGCACGCTCGGCTCTGAAAGACGTCTTCCGACGTCGCGCTTCCATCGAACACGTGATCTGTAACAGCTCAGATGGATCCGATCAGGACTTTAATTCAGGTGCTACAAAAAAAGTGAATAACTTCCTTCACAGAAATACTGAAAAAGCTCGTGCAGGTCATGAAAGGCAGGTAGAGAACAAGAGAGCTCCCTGATCATGCATGTTCTGAAAGACGTTGGACTGACGAGCAACCCACCGAAAGCGTATTCCGCAGCGACGTTCCCTCTGTTATCGGCCAACTGAATCTTGTTCCCTTGGACGGACCACGGGGTGCCATCGGATCGTTCGACGTCGCTTAGAGGCCTAAAACGAATCGCGACGGAAATCGCTTCAGCCATTGGCTAAGCGTTGGAGACGTAATATGCTAAGGATAAGTAAGCGGAAGCCGGTTGCAGGTTAAGAAGGCGAGAAACGTTTTAGTGGATATGTCAGTTGCTAGAAGAAGTTGAAGGGCCTAGAAACAGAGTTTGCTTCCTCGAGAGAAGGAAATAGCTGGCGGGAAGCTAGAAGTTTCGCATATAGCGTATAAGGTAAGTACAGCGCCTTGACTATGGAATATCCGCGTCCTACTCAACAGATAGTACCGTACTCAGCGCCTTCTCCTGAACGTCAAATTCCAAAGCTAGGTAAAGCTGAAACCCTCCTCGCACTAGGCCAAAAACCATATGTCAAGGCCTGACAAAGACATTCACTGAAGGTCTGAGAACTCCTATCACCTAAGCTACTTCTGGTAGACTACCGACTGAAGTCAAGTGACTGAATTACAAGCACGAGGAGGTTGGATTGTCAGTGCTGTAATCCATTCAGTCCAGCGAGACTTGAGAGAAACTCGTCCAGACCACAGAATCCAGAACTTCATCTTGCAGACGGGGTGGGCTTGGCCTCCCTAGGCTGGTGTTCCTGCTGGTGAACGTAAGGGCTATTGTCCCATCCAAATTACAGCAAGAAAAACATAGTGAAAAGCAGTAAATATAAAATATAACCCATTTTAAACGAGGAACACACATACTTAGCTGGTGAAGAATGAACTAACTGGCTCGCGATGACTCCCTCCAATCTGCCCTGCAAGGGCAAGTAGTTTGTTGGGAATTTCCTCCAGAAATCCAATATCCATCACCACCACTGTCAGGCATCTCTGTCACACGCGGTTCGGCTGTTCGCGCCCAAGTTCAAAACCGTACGCGCTTAAAGCTGCACTACTTTCGGGACAGAGACGTATATCATTCACGTGACGCGTTTGAGAACGACTATCAGAATGCTCAAAGCCGAATTGCTGTGTAGATGATACAAAGCCCCACCACATGTGCAATACCAACAACATATCTCCATTTTCATTTTCAATCTGGCACCCTGGACGCGTTACTTTCAAGTGGACTCGTTACTTTCAAGTGGACATTGGCTCCCTGTATGCATAAAACTGCAAGCCGTTCACATTACATCAAAAGCTCATTCACAGCAAGGTTTTAAAACTCAAGGCCTCCCTCACGAGCACCGTCCGCAAGAGCCTGGATGCGGCCGTGGTACACGAAACCCCCACGGTCAAAGGCCACCTTGCTGATTCCCCTCTCCAAGCAGATCTTAGCAATCTCCTGCCCCACACGCCGTGATGCCTCCTGCATTGAATACACAAAGACGGACATAATGAGGATTGGATCACAGGGTGTTAAAACATGGATAAGGGGAAACTTTGTGATTAAGGTTGAACTGTCTGGCAATCGAGACCAGAACTCACATTCAGCTTTTGCACACAGTGCTCAGTGGCACTCTGAGTCAAACTTCACCACAATGAACGAGAATACCCCCCTAGTGTGACTGGCCTTCCAAGGATCAGCATTACAGATCCCTGGGATTACATGAGCACAAACTCAAGCCTTCCTCACATGCACCGTCCGCACATCTGCACGCCTCGTGCTTTGGTGGGACAAAATCGTTTCTTATTGGCTGGACATCATTTCAGTCGGAAAACTGGAGAAAGTTATGCATGTACCAGTGGGTCCTGTGGTGAGTTTCAGCTCCTCGCGGAGGGGAGTGAGGGACGAATCTCACCACTGTGGGGCTGGCGTGGTTGAACTGAGTTTGGTTGATAGTCAGCTATACGTAAGAATTCAGTGATCTCAAACTAGGTTACACGTACCACAGTGGGGCCGGACGTGAGCTTCAGCTCCTCGCGGAGGGCGGGTGTGAGGGTGGACGCGGCGGCGAGAGTGTGCTGCTTGGTGTCGTCAACCACCTGCTTGCGGGGAAGGCAGGGCAGACAGATGGAACAGCGTGAGGGGATGTTAAGAAAAACGCGTCACATGGCGTAAACACATGCGCGGCGAGAGTGTGCTGCTTGGTGTCGTCAACCACCTGCTCGTGGAGAAGGCAGGGCACACAGGATGCGTTACACAGGATGGATTAGACAGCGGATACCATGAAAGGAAGGGCAGAGACCCAGCTACGGTGAATGCTCGGGGACGTCAACACACGGGCGCCGAGAGTACGCCGCGTGGCGTCGAATACACAAGCGTCTGCTTGCGGAAATGTGCGGCACAGAGGATGGATCGAATACATGGCAGGTGGCACACACCCTGGGCACACACACCGAATGTATGAAGACACACGAGAGGCGAGAGTGCGCAGCTGACTGCCGCCTCTGACTCGGTACCGACCTGTGTTCCCCTGTGACCCAGTACCGATCTGGACCGCTCTGAGGCTCAGCACGCACCTCAGCCCCTACTCAGCATCAACCTGTACCCTTTGTGACTCACTACAGACCTGGACCGCTCGGTACCGACCTGCGCCGCTCCGTAACTCAGCACGGACCTGGGCGTAGATGTGGTTGTTGGAGCGGAACACTGCGAGGCGTGGCCTCTCGGTGGTGCCACTCAACTGCGGGAGGGCAGGCGGGAAGCAATGCGGGAGGTAAGAAAGGTGGGAAGTTTGCGAAGCTGCTGTACCCCGGGTGCTACAGGCTAGTTGCTGCAAGCTGGGTGGTCAAGACTGGATACTACAAGCTGGACGATAGAGAGGAGGGCAACGCACAGAACCTGTCATGATGCTTCCTCTTCCTGCTCTCTCTTACACCGCAACTCGGGAATGCTCTGAATCGAGTTCAGATGTCCGATGATCAACGGTACCCACGTATCCGCCAACCAACTAAACGCAGTCTTCGCTACAGTCACTCGCATCTACAGTCCGCCCTGTATTGCAGCTGCACAACCTAAGGCGCCCTTGAGCCGCCTAAGAAGCTGTTTTGGATCACGTGAATCTCAAGGTGGCTCAAGAATTGTGCGTAGGGTACCCACCTAGGGACTCTAACGCCAGCACGCAACGCTTCACGTCGAGCGAGGAGTCTAGAGACCGCATGCGTCGGAAAACGCGAAACAAAAAGGAAGATAGCTTTTGCAACCAAAATCAGTCTTATTGCAACAAAAAGACTAGACAGGACTGCGATCGAAGATCCGTCGAGACTGTGAGAGTGGAAACGCAAACTTTCGAATCGTTTATTCCCATTCTACAATCACCTTCATTGCTCCCCAGGTTCTCAAATCCCTTGTAAACCAATCCACATCTGCAGTTATCCATGAAACACCTGATATCACGCGCATTTCGCCACCCATGAGCTTGTACCTTCTTGCGGATCCGCATGTGACGGTTCTTGACCTTCTCTCTCCGGGTCGCCTCCCTAGCTTCCACTAGCAGAGCCGAGTGGCTGGTTTGACCTGAACAGATGAGAAATGACGCTCCCACGCTTAAAACTCCAATCGCTGTCGCCCAAAAAACTGATGAGAAATGACGCTCCCCGTAAAAATCGTTCGCAGAAAAAAAAAAACCCAATTACTGTTTCTTAAAAGGTATGCTTAAAGACCAATGCTTCGTAAGTATGTACTTGAAACTATGCCTGCCTGCTGTCCGGTTCGTCAGCCGTTCGTTCTACCTTGCACACTGACGGTCATGCGAGCGGTGAACGTCTTCTCAGCCGACAATCCCGAGAATGTGGCAAAGGAGCCGCCATAGACGGATCTCTCTGGGATCCTGAGAGCAGCTGAGCTGAGCTGTGCAGCGGAAGCCATGGCTGGACGAAGCCCGTAAATATCGGTGGGCACGAGGAACTAGTACAAACACAACTGGTCCGCGCCTAGGCTTAGGTACACCACCAGGGAGCAGCAGCGCCTACTAATTAGGTCAGCAAAACGATGGTCCTGAAACGTAGTGGATAGGGCACATGAAAGAGTTTGAAGGGGTTGTGTTCCGTGATGGGCTTTCGAACATCAATGTTAAAGGTAGAGTTCGGTTTGTCACTTTGCGAGACGGCACAACGCACCACAGTACGGTGGTTTGAACACAACAATCCTGACTGCGCAGACAGGAAGGAACTGCGCGCGGGGAAAAGCGGGAACCGCCACGTTGCTATGGGGAAAGCGGAGTGTCCACTCAGCCAGCGCGCGTGGCAGAAAGCCTGGGAATGGATGACGAAAGGATGGAACAACACGTGGAGAAGCGAGATGCGAAGTGCGAATGTGACGTGGACACTCAACGAGACTCGGCCTTTGGGGATTTGTGTATTTTCCGGAATCGCAGCACCATCAGAACTTGTTCTTGATGAATAACAACTGTATGCGTGAGTTTCTTAGTTCTACCGTAAATATTTGCAACAAAGCCATCAGAGAAACCAGTGAGTTCGGAACTCTCAAGAAAGCCAGTAGGCCCTGCACATCATTCCCCACTTCCATAAATTGACAAGATTCTGTGACATATTTTGTCAGGCAATTGGCCGGAGGAAAGCCTCATCATCGATTAACTTCAGCTGGCAATGGACGGTTAAAACCACCTGCACAAAACAAAGGAAAGGAAAGAATATGCACCAATCAAATCAAAACTAGAAGCTTCCACAAATGGACATTGTGAAAAAACGAGCAGAACCACAGTCCAATAAGAAGGGAGCCTGTTAAGGCACATCTATCATATATCACCCACCACCCACATGTATTCCCTTGAAACCCAGCGCACCTCTTCTGTTCATGTACTGACGTGGCTGCCTCTTAGTGGACAGCTTCACAGCGCTCAGCTGATTGGCTCCCTTCACCTCCTTGCCCTGATAGGAGATACAGGGTAGTGGATACAGGATAGGGCACGTGACAAGGACAACGAAATGTCCAAAGATATGTTGGCTTATTATGATAATCACCCAAACAGAACCCCCCACACAACATGTGGGCGCGCCCCATACCGAATGCCCATACCTTATCCCCTCACCCATCCCAGCATCTTCTCACCCAGCCCTCCATTTCCCACCCTTTACTCGCTGACCTTGGTGGAGTTGAAAGTACATAAATTCGCCCATCGTCACCCTTTCGAGTCACCCTCTATACCACCTCACCCAAACTCCCACCCCCTCCTCCCCACCCCTTATCCTCCCTCTCCTCACCCACCCAAGCGCTCACCTTGGTGGAGTTCGAATGGAAGGCCACAGCAATGCCCAGCTTCTGCCTTGCGAGTCACCTCTATACCCCCTCCTTCCTCACCCGCCACTCCCTCTCCTTGCTGCTGTTGAAGTCCATCCGCTCGCCTCCATAACGGGGATGCCCCACCTGTATGCCTCCTCACCCATCATTCCCTCACAGCCCACTCCCCTCCCTCCCTCCCTTTCCACCCTTCATTCGCTCACTTGTATGCCTGCTCACCCAACATTCCCCCCTCCTCACTCCCTCACTTTGGTGGGTGTTGAAGTCCATGGGGATGCCCATCATCTGCCTTTCACCTCCTCACCTCCTCACCTCCTCACCTCACCTCCTCACCCCACAAACCCCCTGATACATCACTCATCACGCGACCACCTTGGAGGTGTTCATCACTCATCACGCGACCACCTTGGAGGTGTTCATCACTCATCACGCGACCACCTTGGAGGTGTTCATCACTCATCACGCGACCACCTTGGTGGTGTTGAAGACCATGGGAATGCCCATCATCCGCCTTTCAAGGCACATCTGTACCTCCTCACACAAACTTCCTCCCCGCCCTCTTGCCCCCCCCTTTCACTTCCCCATCACCATTCACTCACTCACCTCGGTGCCGTTAAAGTCCATGGGATGTGAATGCCTAGTGTGCCACCTCCATGGGGTGTGCCCGTTCACCTATACCTCCTCACCCAAACTCCCCACACCCCCCCTCTCCTTCCCTCCCTCACTTATTGCTGTTGGAAGTCCATGGGAATGCCCATCATCTGCCCTTCACCTCCTCACCGCACAACCCCCCTCCTTCATCACTCTCCACTCACTCACCTTGGTGGTGTTGGAGTCCATGGAAATGAGCTGAGCATCATCTGCCTTTCAAGTGACCACAATACCTCCGTACCCAATAACCCTCGTCCTTCGAGTTACCTCCTCACCCAATACCCCCCGTTGCCTCCCACCCCTCCCTCCCTCACCTTCGTGCTGTTGAAAGTCCATGGGAATGCCCATCATCTGCCCTTCACCTCCACACCCCACAAACCCCCTCCTTCATCGCTAAACACACCCGCCTCCCTCCTCCTCACCCTTCACTCACTCACCTTGGTGGTGTTGAAGTCCACGGGAATGCCCATCATCTGCATCATCCTCAAATCCACCTCAGGGTTGCAGCAAGGTGACATGCCTGTGGCCAAATCAACACCTTGGTGATGCGAAGGTCAAGTCTCCTTTTTACCCGCCACACGCTCACCGCGCTCACCTTGGTGGTGTTGAAGCCCATGGGAATGCCCATCATCTCGCCTCTACCCATTGTCACCCATCCCAACATCCCCTCACCCAACCACTCATTCCCTCACCCTTCACGCGCTCACCTTGGTGGTGTTGAAGTCCATGGGAATGCCCATCATCTGCATCATCCTCATTTCCGCCTCGGGGTCAATGGGGGGCGGGGGAGGCGGCGGCAGAGGCGGCATAGGGGGCAGCACAGAAGGACCGCCACCAGCAGCAGCATCAGCAGCACTGGCATCACCGTAACCACCCAGTGATGCATCAGCAGCTGCCATATCCACATCCCCTCCTGCCGCACCCCCTGCACCACCACCACCATACGCCCCACCATACCCGCCATACACCCCACTACCACCGTAATACCCGCCCCCAGCATCACGAGACGCGTCGCCTTCCAACCCCCCTCCCCCCCTCCCCCATCCCCCCCGCGTTCCCACCTCCTCCCCTTCCCTTCCGCCCCCAAACGCCCCCCCTCTCCGCCCATCCCCCTCCCCCTCGGATCCGCTCCGCTCAAGGCTATCCCGCTCCCGCTCCTCCCGCCGCCTCCGCGCCTTCTCCCCCGGAGAGGGGGACCTCTCCATGGCGTCCCGCTCCCTCTCCTCTCTCGCCCGCCGAACGCGCTCCTCCTGATTCGGCGATCTCGAACGCGATCGCGATCTAGACAGAGAGAGGCTCAGCGAAGCGGATCGAGATCTAGATCGGCTGCGCGATCGCGATCGCGATCGGTGGTGGCGCGAGCGCCGCTCGCTCCCCCTGCGCGCGTGCCCCCCTTTCCCGTGCCCGCGCGCGCCCGCGAACTCCCCCGCGCGCTTTCCGCCGGCGCGCGCGGGAGAGGCGGAGCGCGAGCGGGAGCGGAGGAGGCGGGGGGACCGGGAGCGGCTGCGGGAACGCCTTCGGCGGGAGGGGCGGTCCGCTTCGGGCGATTTCTTCCGCACGTCTTTATCTTTCGCTGCGCCTCGGTCCTTCTCCTTGTGTCTCTCTTTCTCGCGGTCCCTGCTCCCCTTCTCCTTCTCCTTATCCTTCGCCTTCTCTTTATCCTTCTCCTTCTCCTTATGCTTATCCTTGTCCCTTCCCCTCTCCTTCTCCTTATCCCGACTTTTGTCCTTCTCCCGCTTCTCCTCTTTCTCCCTATCTCTCTTCTTGTCCCTCTCCTTGTCCTTCGATTTCTCTTTCTCCTTCTCCCTTTCTTTCTCCTTCTCCTTAACCCTAGTCTTATCTGTGTCCTCCATTCCCCTGCCTTTCGCCTCCCCTGCTTCTCCCTCCTCCTTCAACTCTCCCTCCTCTCCTCCCTCTCCTTCCTCTCCCTCCTCCTTACCCACCTCCGCCAAACCATTCCCTTTGTCCTCATCCTTCTTCTCACGTTTCTTCTCCTCCTCCTTCTCCTTGCTTTTCTCCTTGACTTTCCTCTCCTTGTGTCTTTCCGATCGTTCCTTTTCCTTATCGCCTCGATCCTTATCCCGACCCTTATCCCGACCTTTCTCCCGATCCTTATCTCGATCCTTATCCCTGCTTTTCCTCCTTTCTCTGTCCTTCTTACTCTTGTCATCTTCCTTCGCCGCCAAATCACCGCCTTCCGTTTCTTTTATTTCTCCCACGTCATCAGCAACATCCGCTGGCTGATATGCCACGTCATTCCCATCATCTCCCTCGGGAGCTCCCATTTTATTTTTCGAAAAACGGACGACCAGATCGAACTACAGAGCGCTGGGATCACACCAGAGAGAAACGGCTTAATTGGGGCGATTTCTACCAAGTCGCCTGCTTGAACTTCTGATGATAACGAACACCACCAACCGATAGTATACTCGCTGGCTTCTACGGCTTTGCTTGCAGTCCTTGTGCGCGTTTCCCTGGTGTAATCGAATAAGAAGAGGACTTGCGCCGACCTGCTGCCTAAAATCCAAGAGGCAACTTCTAGAAACCGAATGAAATTATAAGGGAATGTGCTTCGAGTGAAATGCTGTGCTGAACCGAAGACTGATCGCTTGTGTAGCCTTGCTTCTATCACGCGTCACGAAAGTGTAAGGGCGTAGTTACACGTTACGAAATCTGTCCGGATGAAACTAGGGTTTCCACGTTCTGAGATTGCAACGAACGCTACGGTTCGCGTACGCAAAAGGGTTCGTATGCCAAGTTCTTTGCGTTCACGCCTTGAATCTGCAGCAGCAGTTATGCTCAACTGTTTTTTTCTGCAGATATGTGCCCTTATCGCAGCACATTGTAACGAATATTGTCCTCTATACCTAAACCCTGGTCAACCAACCACTGAGAATCACTAGCCTAGGGCTCTACGAAATAGGCTGGCTCCGGCCGCGCCGCGTTCTCACATTCTGAATTCGCCGCCCGACACTCGGAGCGACATCGTTCCTCTCGGCTGGCATTCTTAGTATGTAGCTTAGGGGTCCACGCACTGCTGGTTTCTGCTTCAGCGTTGTATCATATCACGACACCAACACGTCTCTGTTATAACGAATCATTTTCGTACTTCCTTCGATCTCTTCCCTCGATCGAACTCCTCCCGTGTGCATAGGAGCTTCGGTAGAAGCATCTTCGCTGTGCGGACTTGGAGAGGCCTTGGTCCCGCATTTGCCACGTCAGCGGTTTGTCTTCGTCGCGATGGTGTTTTACTTTAAAGTGCGGCCCGAAGCGGGCGACTTCACCATCTACATGGGACTCGATAAGTTTGAGAACGAGCAGCTCATTAAATACGGCTTTCCGGAGGACATATGGTGCGTCGAATATGCGTATAACGGGGATTCTAGTCCTACGGGAGTTCTGGGGATCTCGATAGGCTTTCTCGTCAATTGTGGCTTTCTGGGAGGAAGATATGGTCCGTAGCGAAGACGTATGTAACGAAGCGTTTGTGTTTCAAGGTTGAGCGGCATCACAGCCGATCATGGGTTCGCATGGATGTGAGTAAGTTCGGAAGCCTAGCAACTCGCAAAATGCGCCTTGTCGGAAGACGTGTGGTGCGTATCGGAGCTGTTCGTAACGGAAAGTCCTGCCATTCTTTGAAAGTGCGCTAGCGGCCGAGGTGCTTTAAAATCAGAGGCTAGCAACATCACCTGCACCCTCTGGATTTGAGGCGTCGGGAAAAATCCGCAAGTAGGGTTTGCGATGATTGGGGGTTGGAGAGAAAGACGAAGGTGCGCGTCCGTGTGTGCGGGGAGGGGGGGTGGAAGGGGGAATGGAATGGGTGGTGCGTGTGCTTATGCACTCTGCACAACTCTTCTGAGGGTTCCACGTGGACAGTGGACTGGACTCACACGTGGACATGTACAGAGCGATGTCTTGTCGGGTTACCCAGGTCCGACCCCCTTACGTCCGCTCTTTCTCCTTCCCCTTCCCCTTCCCCTTCCCCCACCCCCACCCCCACCCCCACCCCGCGCCCCAACAACCCACCTCCCTCCCCCTCCCCACCCACAACCCATCTCCTCTGCTACTGTGAAGGTTCCACGTGGACAAGCTCTCGTCCGCGCACGTGTACACAAGCTGTCGTCCCCTTCCCCTTCCTCTCCCCACCACTCAGCCTCATTGTCCGCGCTCCTCCCCTTCCTTTATGTGCAGGTTCCACGTGGACAAGCTCTCGTCCGCACACGTGTACCTGCGGCTGCGCAAGGGGCAGGGCATTGATGACGTCACGCCCGAGATGCTGGAGGACTGCGCGCAGCTGGTCAAGGCCAACTCCATCATGGGTGGGTTCAGAGCGGTTGGAAGTGGTTGGGGGGGCGGGGTTGTGGTTTGAGGGCCGGATTCCCGAGGGAGGGGCTGGGAGGAAGTGGTGTATGTAGTGGTTGGGAAGGGTGGGTGGGTGGACAGGCAGGGCAACTGGTCAAGGTCGACTTCATCATGCATGGGTGGGTTGAAAGCGGTTCCCGGTGGTTGGGCTGGGTTGGGAGGTGGCTCTTGAGCCACCTCCCATTCTCTCAACCTCCCAACCTCCAAACTTGGACGTGGTGTACACGCCTTGGGCCGACCTCTACGTGGCTTCATGGAAGTATACCCTTCCCCCTCCCCTCCCTCCCCCCCTCTCCCCCTCTCCCCCACCCCCCCCCCACACCTGCAGGCAACAAGCTGAACAACATCAACGTGGTCTTGACGCCCTGGGCCAACCTCTGTAAAGAATACACGCAGTCTGAACCCCAGGGTATTCTCTCTCTTCTTTCCCCTTCCCCTCTCCCCTCCCCCCCACCGCACCTGCAGGCAACAAGCTGAACAACATCGACGTGGTGTACACTCCCTGGGCCAACCTCCGAAAGGCAGCTTCCATGGACGTTGGACAGGTGAGGTGTGGGGCGGGTGAGGTGTGGGGCGGATGAGGTGTGGGGACAGGGCACGTGAGACGTGGGGCAGGTGAGACGTGGGGCAGGTGAGACTTGGGGCAGGTGAGACTTGGGGCAGGTGAGACTTGGGGCAGGTGAGATGTGGGGCAGATGAGGTATGGGACTGGTGGGATGTGGGGTAGGTGAGATGTGGAGGAGAAGGAAGGCAATGAGAGGTGGTGGTGATTGAGTGCACTGGCCAATGCTACACCCCATCCCCTATATACACATGATTCTTCCTAACGAATCAGCCTTTCCAGCCCTAAGGAAGGTGGTGTGGTGTGTTGTGCGCGAGGGTTCAGCTCCTGTTTTGAGTCGACTTCAGCTCCCCGCTCCTGCCTTCGCGATGTCGTGTTTTGAGTCGACTCGAAACACGACTCGAAACGAGGGGGTTCAGCTCCCCGTTCCTGCCTTGGCGATGCTTCCGAACCTCAAACCCGAACCCTAAACGGACGGACTTTCAAACAACCCAAACCCATAACCCCGACCCACTTGAATTGAAACCCCTAACCTGAAAACCTAACCCCAAACCCGAACCCTAAACGGACAGTTAGGTTTCCATCCACAACCCCGCGGCGATGCACAGCTTGCGAGTGGAGAAGCGGCTCAACGCAAGGAGGCGGTGGTGGTGACACGGAACCAATGGCTGCACCTCATCTCATCTCATCCCCCATACAAACATTTCCTCCTGCAGATTGGTTTCCATCCACAACCCCAAGGCGGTGTGTAGCTTGCGAGTGGAGAAGCGGCTCAACGCAAGGAGGCGGTGGTGGTCGTCGTGGTTTACGAAACTAGTAATTGCCAATCTATACACCCGATCCCCCATATGAACTCAACTCGTTAACAGATTGGGTTCCACAACCCCAAGGCGGTGCGGAGCGTGCGGGTGGAGAAGCGACTCAACGAGGTGGTGAACCGGCTGAACAAGACCAAGGTGGAGAAGACGCCTGATCTGCAAGGTGGGTCCAAGTGGGTTGAGATGGGTGTAGGGAGACATATGGTTGACATGGATCCTACAAGGTGGTGAACCGGCTGAACAAGACCAAGGTGGAGAAGACGCCTGACCTGCAAGGTGGGTCCAAGTGGGGGTGTAGAGAGACATGGGTTGAGATGGATTCTTCAAGGTGGTGAACCCGCTGAACAAGACCAAGGTGGAGAAGACGCCTGACTGCAAGGTGGGTCCAAGTGGGTTGAGATGGGTGTAGGGAGACATATGGCTGACATGGATCCTACAAGGTGGTGAACCGGCTGAACAAGACCAAGGTGGAGAAGACGCCTGACCTGCAAGGTGGGTCCAAGTGGGGGTGTAGAGAGACATGGGTTGAGATGGATTCTTCAAGGTGGTGAACCTGCTGAACAAGACCAAGGTGGAGAAGACGCCTGACCTGCAAGGTGGGTCCAAGTGGGTTGAGATGGGTGTAGGGAGACATATGGTTGACATGGATCCTACAAGGTGGTGAACCAGCTGAACAAGACCAAGGTGGAGAAGACGCCTGACCTGCAAGGTGGGTCCAAGTGGGGGTGTAGAGAGACATGGGTTGAGATGGATTCTTCAAGGTGGTGAACCCGCTGAACACGACCAAGGTGGAGAAGACGCCTGACCTGCAAGGTGGGTCCAAGTGGGTTGGGATGGGTGTAGGGAGACATATGGTTGATATGGATCCTACAAGGTGGTGAACCGGCTGAACAAGACCAAGGTGGAGAAGACGCCTGACCTGCAAGGTGGGTCCAAGTGGGGGTGTAGAGAGACATGGGTTGAGATGGATTCTTCAAGGTGGTGAACCCGCTGAACAAGACCAAGGTCGAGAAGACGCCTGACCTGCAAGGTGGGTCCAAGTGGGGGTGTAGAGAGACATGGGTTGAGATGGATTCTTCAAGGTGGTGACCCGGCTGAACAAGACCAAGGTCGAGAAGACGCCTGACCTGCAAGGTGGGTGCTTGGAGTGAAGGGGTTGCATAGGCGGTGCAGTGCAGAGGGGTTTCCCTGAGTCCATGCCCACTGTTGGGTGGTCCATGCCTTGGCTGGCGCATGCCATAGTTGGTGAACTGGCTGGCGCATGCCATAGTTGGTGAACTGGCTGGCGCATGCCCGACCTGCAAGGTTGGCTGATTTGAAGTGGTTGCACAAGTTGGTTGAAGTGTGTGTCGAAATTTTTTCTTTGTGATGTTTTTTTTTTTTTTTTCCTCTTGATTTCAAACCGTCAGCCATCTCCTCCCAGCTTGATGCTTCTTCTCAAATCAAGTTTTTTTTTGTGCTTTCTCGTACGGTACTTGGCATTGCTTCTGCTTCGCTGGTGCTTTTGCCTTGTGTGCGTGCTGTGCAGCTGAGAAGGAAGCTAGAGAGGCAGAGGACCGAGCAGCAAGGAAGGCAGTCCTGAGAGAACAGGTGAGAGCGAATCTTTGATGGTTTCGTTACATCTTCTGCCACCTTTGTGTACATAATGCGCACTCATACTGTCTATATATTAGAGCCAATTTACCATGGTTAGGCGGCAGGTATGACAGTTACAACAGTAACAATGCGCGATTCTTCTTCCTGCCTCCAACTCACCCCGCGCCCCGTCCCCCTACTTCTTCCGCCTCCTTTCGCCCCGCTATGGATTTTGTACTTCACAGGCCCGACGCGAGCAAGAGGAGAAAGCTTTGAAGCAGCGGCAGGCGGAGTTGCGGAGTTACAAGGGAATTATGGTGGAGAAGAAAATGACGTCAAATAAAGATATTGCCGCAAAGATGGAAGGGAAAAGCGTACAGGACGTCGAGGATGATTTTATGTGACGAATAGTTCGTGTGACCCCATTCTGTTGGTGCTATGCATGCTTATAAGCTTGTATTTTTCCTAAAACACTCAATAAAGTTGTCCAGCCTGGTAGATCCTCGCATTCTGGTTGCTACATTAAATATTTACTGTACAAGTGATAGGGAAGTCATTACAGCGAAGCAAGCTCGAACCGAGGACTATGCGTCCACCAGCCATAAAAGCCCTTCACGTCTCCCCCTCAAATCCCGCACCGCCTCTCCTCTTATCAAACCACCTGTACTTTCCGCGCCCGTGCCGCTCCGCCTAGGGGTATAGGTGTTCGTGGCCGCCGAAGCGCATTAGTTCCGCGCGCCTGAGTGTACCGCCCTTTCAAACCAACTCTTATCCTTCGCTTGAAGAAGCCGACTTTCTGGGGAATCTGCGGACGCCGCCGTTTTTCGGAACCTGCGGACGCCGCCTTGCACCCAGTGCCTGCGGCCCGCGGGCCCCGCCTTGCCGTGGAAAGTCCACCTAAATCCTCCCACACCCTTCCGCCATCTTCCCTCCACCACCGCACGCGCGGATGTCGTTCCGCCAGCGCGTGTGGGCCCGGCGGGAGTCGCTGGGGGGAATGGTGCTCGCCGCGTCGTGCTGCGTGCTCGCGCTCAACCTCTCCGCGCAAAGACGCGCGCTCGGGGAAGCGCAGCGAGCGCTGGCGGAAGCCCTTTCGGAGTCGCATCTGCAGGCGGATCTTCTGGAAGCAGAACGGCGGTCAGCGGAAGCTGCGCGCAGGGCGGAGGCGGAGATCCGCGGAGATTTAAGGCGGTTGCGCGCGGAAATGCGGAGAGAGGCGGGGAAGGCGGGATGGGGGCTGGCGGAGAGGATCAGGGCGTTGGCGGGGCAGGAAGAGGAGGAAGGGCAAGCGGGGGAACAAGGCGAGGGGGAACGAGCGGGAGGGGGAGAGGATGGGGAAGAGCGGATAGAGGAGGGAGAAAAGGGAGACAGAACGGATTCAGAAGCAGCGAACAAAGGGCAGCAGCAGGCGCAGCAGACAGAGGAGGGATGGAGTGGGAGGGAGGGGGAGGGTGGAATAGCGGGCAGTGAGCCTTCAGCAGGTAGGCTACACGCACGGCGTCTTATGGCATTGCCCCTTATGGCGTTTATGTCATGGCGTTTTATGGCATGGCGTGTTATGTCATGGCGTTTTATGGCATGGCGTGTTATGTCATGGCGTTTTATGGCATGGTGTGTTATGTCATGGCGTTTTATGGCATGGCGTGTTATGTCATGGCGTTTTATGGCATGGCGTGTTATGTCGTGGCGTTTTATGGCATGACGTGTTATGGCATGGCGTGTTATGGCATGGCGTGTTATGGCATGGCGTGTTATGGCATGGCGTGTTGTGGCATAGCATGGTATGGCTAGGTAACTGATTGACTTGGCATGGTTAATCCCCCCTCCCTCGCTCTCCTCCTCCTCTTCCTCCTCCTCCTCCTCCCCCTCCTCCTCCCCCTCCTCCTCCTCCTCCTCCTCCTCCTCCTCCTCCTCCTCCTCCTCCTCCTCCTCCTCCTCCTCCTCCTCCTCCTCCTCCCCCTCCTCCTCCTCCTCCGCATCCTCCTCCTCCTCCTCCTCCTCCTCCTCCTCCTCCTCCTCCTCCTCCTCCTCCTCCTCCTCCTCCTCCTCCTCCTCCTCCTCCTCCTCCTCCTCCTCCTCCCCCTCCTCCTCCTCCTCCGCATCCTCCTCCTCCTCCTCCTCCTCCTCCTCCTCCTCCTCCTCCTCCTCCTCCTCCTCCTCCTCCTCCTCCTCCTCCTCCTCCTCCTCCTCCTCCTCCTCCTCCTCCTCATCATCATCATCCCCCCCCTCCTCCTGTCCCTCCCCTGTTTGACCTTTCTCAATGGTTTTTTTTTTTGTATTCTCTCACCACCCTTTTCAAAGTTTTGTTGCATCCTTACCGTGTCTCCATTTGGATTTCGTTTTCAATTTAATGTGTCCTTTCCTAGAATCGCGTGATCATGAATGTTTGCATGTGTGATGGAGAAGGGGGGCGCAGGAGGGTGGGTTGTGTTGGTGTGCCCATCCTTACACCTATGTATGCGTCTTTAAGGCGGTCAATTGCTGTCTAAATTGATGCCCTTTGGTTTTGTGTTGTATGCGCCTTAATTTCTGTCCATGGTGTGGCAGGGCCTTCAGCATCTAAACCCAAGAGGTTTTTCGTCTGAAAGAACAGGGAAATCGTCTATAGAAACGTTCAAAGCGTACCTGAGTTGAGCAAAAAGGCATTATAGTGTACGAATATTATAATGCAACGCGCCATTCCTTCTACAGAAGCGAATCCGCCCTTATGAGTGCCAGGTTGTTTGCTTGGGAGGGGTGACTCAACCATACCTAGGCCATTTTTAATGGCCAAATCGCAGTGCATGTTGTTCCAGGCCAGATAGTATGATAGTAGATACGCAGGCAAAACGTTGGAACGGCGGCGCTGATAAACGCAAATCCCGCTCGTCTAATACTTTTTGTATGAATGATGAATAGTTTTTCTTGGATTGCGATCATCTGTCTTCGATAGATAGCTGCCGTCGATTGATAAAACCCGCGAATCTATTACAGCCTCACAATGGCCGTCAGTTGCGGAGAGCAGCCGGCGAGGACTGGACTCCACGCATTTTCGACGGATTTAAACTGAACGGGTGGGCTGATCTGGACGGGTGGAATTCGATTCAATGAAATGCACGGCTTTAGGCAAGGCGCGTTTTGAGACGGCTCAAATTTAGCACGTGAATTAAAGGCAACTGCTTCGGTAGTTTCTATCTGCTTTTATCATTTGTGGCACACGCGTTTGTAGCACCCGTGTTTGTAGCACACGAATTTGGAGCAGACGCGCGTCTCTAGAACACGTGGTTGTCGCACACGCACTTGTAGCACGCGTGATTATAGGGCAGGGAATCGTAGCACGGACGCGTCTGTAGCCAGTCATGAGCCGCGCGGTGCTAATCAGCGCGCGAGGCGGCGGCAGCGGCGGCGCGTTCGGCGCGAACCGCATTGTGGTGCTCTTCACCGTGTCGCTGCTGCTCGTGGCGTCCGCTGCCGCTTCATTCTTCGCTTTCTGCCCCGCCTCGTCGCGATCCATCGACGAAACTAAGGTAGAGGGGGGCAAACCCCTGTGGTTACACCTTGGCGAAACAAGGTCAGCGGATCGCGCCTTCTGATTGGTTGCTTGCTTATGCGCCCTCTCTCTCCTCTCCATGCCTACTTCGTTTCTGCCCAGCCCCCTCGCAATCCATCCATGAAACGAATGACATGACAGGCCAATTTTCCCTTGGGTAATTGGTTGGTGATCATTCTGAGACACCTCACATTGCCTCCTTTCACACTCTCCCCCCTCCTATTCCCTCCATTCCTACTCATCGCACTCTCTACCCCTCCTATCCCCTCTATTCCTCCTCTCCCACTCTCTGCACCATTCCTTTCATCCCTCCTCTCCCACGCTCTCCTCCTATTCCTTCCATCCGTCCTCTCCCACTCTCTCCTCCTATTCCTTTTATCCCTCCTCTCCCACTCTCTCCTCCTATTCCTTTTATCCCTCCTCTCCCACTCTCTCCTCCTATTCCTTCCATCCGTCCTCTCGCGCTCTCTCCTCCATCCCTACCTTCCCTCTCTCCTCTCCCCCTCTCTTCTCCACCATCCCTTCCTTCCCCCCCCCCCCCCGCTACTCCACATCCCAGCAGCACCAGCGGCAGTTGCAGCAGGAGCAACAGGAGGGGGTAAATGGAAACTTCAGCGCAAGTCAACAGAGTCAACAGGGGCAACAGCAGGTCAACGCAGGCCCACCCATCCCGTCCATCCCACCTCAATCCCCCCCCCCCCCCTCTCTCTCCCCTTCTCCACTCTTCCAGCAGCACCAGCGGCAGTTGCAGCAGGAGCAGCAGGAGGGGGTGGTTGGGAACTTCAGCGCAAGTCAACCGAGTCAACAGGGGCAACAGCAGGTCAACGGCGCCAGTGAAGGGGGAAGAGGAGAGGCAGGAGATGGATCAGGGGGAGGAGGGGCAGGAGGGGCAGGAGGGGCAGGAGAGGCAGCAGCAGGGCCGGGGGAGCAGGAGGAGATAGATGAGAATCAGCCGCCGGAAACTTCGGGGAAATGCCCCCCATCTGAAACAATTGTCAAGGTAACCATTGGTATGGTAGCCATTGGTACGGTAAGCATTGGTACAGTAAGCATTGGTACGCTAAGCATTGGTACGGTAAGCATTGGTATGGTAAGCATTGGTACGGTAAGCATTGGTACAGTAAGCATTGGTACGGTAAGCATTGGTACGGTAAGCATTGGTACGGTAAGCATTGGTACGGTAAGCATTGGTACGGTAAGCATTGGTACGGTAAGCATTGGTACGGTAAGCATTGGTACGGTAAGCATTGGTACGGTAAGCATTGGTACGGTAAGCATTGGTACGATCGCTACTTCCACTCTATGGGCGTCTTCCCCCTCTGCTCCATGGATGCATGCTTCAACTACGCGCGTTGCCCTGCCCTCCTCTCTCTCTTTCCCCCGTTGCCCGTAACCACCTTTCCCACTGCAGCACAGCCTGTGGCACGCGAGTGGGCGCTACTTCCACTCTATGGGCGTCTTCCCTTTTTGCTGCATGCACGCATTCTTCAACTACTCCCTGTTCCCCTATCCTCGCAACCCCACTGCCCCTTGCAGCACAGCCTGTGGCACGCCAGCGGGCGCTACTTCCACTCTATGGGCGTCTTCCCTTTCTGCTCCATGGACGCATGCTTCAACTACTCGCGCTGCCCCGCAGACCCCTCCCACGAGCCGCTAGTCTACTTCTACTGGCCCGGCCAGCATTACTTTAAGAGGTTCAATGAGACCCGCTGGCACACAGACGATCCTGCCAAGGCGTGTTTCTTCTTTGTGCATATGGCGAGAGGGCAACCGAACGAGTTCACGGATTTGGAGCATTGGGGGGAGAACGGCGCTAACCACGTGCTTATCAGGTGTGTGTGTGGCTAGGAGTGAGGTTAGGAGGTCTGGAGGGTACCTAAAATCCTGCCAAGGCATGTTTCTTCTTTGTACATATGGCGAGAGGGCAGCCGAACGAGTTTGCGGATTTGGAGCACTGGGGAGAGAACGGCGCTAACCACGTGCTCATAAGGTGGGTTGTTACAAGGAGTGTGCTTTTAGAGAGTTTGGTGAGGTCTGACTTGGTGCATATGGCGAGAGGGCCGCCGTACAAGTTTCCGGATCTGGAGCATTGGGGGGGGGGGAGAACGGGGCCAACCATGTGCTTATCAGGTGTTTGTTTGTTATAAGGAATGTGGTTAATATAGGGTGTGTGCTTGCCGACTAGGTGCCTTCTAAAGTGATGTCAAACCATAACACCATCTTGGTCTGTAATTGTACTACTTCCACTCCTTTCGCTTCTGCTTTGCCCTCTCCCTTCCTTCCCTCATTTCCATCCCCTTTTCGAGTCTCCTTGGCAATGGTTATGGTTGTTTTCCAATACACATTTCAGTTTTCTGCACTCATCTCCTTTCTCTCCTTTCTCTTTTCCCTTTCCTCCTTTTCCTCATTTCCCCTCATATAGTTTCTCAGACTCTTGGAGCGGTCCATCCCCTTTTGGAGTCTCCTCGGCAATGGTTATGGTCACCAACGCACAGGCCACGATCATGAGAACAGATTTCGACACTTCCATCCCGCTGCCCCAAATGTGGAAAAACCCGCCCGTTGAGCTCCGGAACCTGCCCGCCGGATCTGCCCGGAAATATTTCCTGACGTTCCGAGGCACGCGTTACCTGGGGAATTTGAAGGGTAATTTCCGGAGTGCCCCGGAGTTTAAGGCGTTGCACAACGGCAAGGATGTGGTTGTGCTGACAAGATGCGGGTAAGTTTCGAGTTTGCCCAACATTATGGTTCCAGTCCAGGCAAAGGTAAACCCCTCCAACTTGAGGGTAACATGTGCTTTTGCCCCAATGTCACAGGCTGTTCTGTGAGTGTAGTTGCAGAGAGATGTGCTTATGCTTACTACGTGTGGCAGTATTGGAGATTCCTGTACTAATTTGGTCCACCTGGCAAGCTTGCTTGTTCCTGGTGCTTCCAACTGCTTACTGGTGCTAAGAACGACTGCCTCAACTGTCTGCAACTCGCCCCTCTTACCTCTGCAAAAGAGTTTCGAGAAAAAAAAAAAAAAACAAACAAACAAACAAAAGTTTACCACCCCTCTCAACTTTTTGATATCCACCCCCATTTCTCCCCTCCACCAGGGGATCTACCAACGCGCGCATTCTCGCAGAGGAACCTTCCTTGAAACCCGAGTGCGACGAGGATGCCAAGCTTTACACTCAGTACGACTTTGCTGACATCATGAACACCACCTTCACTCTTGCTCCGGCCGGCCGACAAGGTTCCACCTATAGGTTCCTGGAGGTGCGTGCACAGTGCTTTTCAAGTCAAGTGATGCAATGGGATGTGTGCGGGCTGACGTGTGCTGACGTCATGAACACCACCTTCACTCTTGCTCCGGCCGGCCGACAAGGGTCCACCTACAGATTCCTGGAGGTGCGTAATTGTTGCTGGCTATGTCATGTGATAGATATTGATGGCATGGGATGTGTTGTGTTGTCTGCTGGTCTTGTCACGTGATAATGGTGTGCTGTGTTGTGCTGCGACGGGCGCTGCTGACGTCATGAACACACCACCTTTACCCGCGCTCCAGGCTCCGGCCAGCAGACAAGGATCCACCTGTAGGTTCCTGGTGTAATGAGTCGTGTTTTGAGTCGACTTAAAACTCGACTCCGGCCGGCAGACAAGGATCCACCTGTAGGTTCCTGGAGACGAGTACTTATTGCCGCTGATGTCGTAATGATGTCATATGTGCTGAGATGTGCTCTCATGACCTGATGTGTGTCTGCTGACGTCATGAACACCACATTCACCCTTGCCCCGGCCGGCAGACAAGCGTCAACCTACAGATTCTTGGAGGTGTGTATTGTCTGCTGATCGTGTGTATTGTCTGCTGATCGTGTGCATTGTCTTGTCATGTGATAGTGGTGTGGTGTGGTGTGGTGTGGTGTGGTTTGGTGTGGTGTGGTGTGTGTGTGTTGTGTTGTGATGCGAACCTGTGCTGGTAACAGCTGGCAGACAAGGGTCTACCTTGAGATTCTTTGGAGGTTGTGGTGTGTTATGTGCTAACGTGAGCATATGCCTTGACAGTGGTGGGAGTAATCCTTGTGGTGGTGTAGTTTGAGTTGCCTCCATACGTACTCGTGTTGCGTCATGTGATACTGCATACCTCACAACCACACACCAGGCGCTAACAGTGGGAGCCATCCCAGTGGTGGTGGCGGACAACTGGCGGTTACCATTCGATGACATCATCTCGTGGCATCACTGCCTGCTGCGCTTCCCCACCGACCAGATGCACCGAATCTTGCCGACCCTCAGAGCCATGGATGAGGTGTGTGCTGATAAGTTGTGGATGTGGTATGTGCTGATGGGCGATAGTTGAAGAGAAGTATGTATTGATAGACCATGGTAATGTATCCTAGTGCTTGTCTTTTAATCCCTAGAAATCCTTCCTTCTATGTCCATTTATTGATTGTCGCCTTCCGCCCACCTATCCAGCCGGCCATACCGTGTCGGCAGCAGGATTCTCTATGGCAGGATACAATAAGCACCTCTCCTCTTCTCATGCCTACGGATCTTCTCATCTATTCACATATCTGGAATGAGCTATTCCCCCTCCCCGTCCCCCTCCGCCCGTTCCGTCCTATCCAGCCGGCCATACAGCGCCGACAGCAGGAGTGGTTACGGATATATGACAACTAGCTTGCATTTGTTATGCATTTTTAAATCTCCTCTCCATATTACTCCTGTCCTCTCCTCCCTTTCCCACCCCCTCCCTTCCCCTCCCCCGGTCCATTCTATCGCGCCGGCCATACACAGGCAGCAGGAGTGTCTATGGATATACAACAAGGGCACATGAGCATGATCCAAATGCTGCCTGTGCCTGTGATGTGCGCTCACCTGTGATGGCAGCAGGATATATGACAAGCACCTCTCCTGTGATGTGCGCTCACCATTCTCCCCTCCAAATACTCCTTTCTCTCCCCACCTTTCCACCCCATGCTCCCCTACTCTCCCTCCCTTCCACCTATCTATCCAGCCAGCCATACAGCGCAGGCAGCAGTGCCTATGGATATACGATAAGCACCTCTTCTGTCATGCATCCATCAGTCTCTTATCCATGGTGCCCTCCCCCTCTTCTCCCCATCCTCCTGCCTCCCTTCCGTTCCGTCCTATCCAGCCGGCCATTCAGCACAGGCAGTAGGAGTGTCAACGGATATACGACAAGTGTGATGGTGGCATGCACATGCCTCCTCATCCCCATGGATCTTATCTTTATGCACTTCTTTTGAACGTGCTCTTACTTCTCACACCCCCTCCCCCCCTTCTCTCTTCCATCCTATCCAGCCGGCCATTCAGCGCAGGCAGAAAGAGTGTCTACGAATATATGACAAGCACCTTTCCTCGGACGAGGCCCTTTTGGAATCTGTCATGCTTTCGCTTAAAGCACATATGGGCGTTGTCATGCGCAGACGCAGATAGTAGGGGGTCACACTTTTGTTGGTTACATTTTTGTTTTTTCTACTGCCATATGTACAGTAGTAGTATGCATCTATATTATGTAAAGTGCACATGTTTTCCTGCTCTGGAAAGGATTGATATGTTGATTTTCTACAGGTGTTCTTTACGCAGATTATCTGGTGCAGATGTCAGTAGAGGTGATTCTAGTATGTTGACCACGGCACATGAACAGGTTTTAAAAGAAGGATAATGTTTACTTGCACTTCAAATAAATGAATGAAATTCACTCACCATACTGAAACGCACTGAACACCAAGTGCGAGCTCAAGTGTCCCATTTCCCTTCCGTCTTTCACTCGCTAGTGCACTCTGCCTTCGCAATAGCACCGCTTCCGGCTAGTCTCCTCGTTCTCACGTGATTCCGCGGTTTTTCAGCCTAAAATAGTTAGCATTCTCGGCACCCATCCGTGCTCGTAGGCGTTCAGAATGAAGCGTTCGGATGAGAAACGCGCTAAGTCCTCCAAACCCTCCAAGAAAAAGGTGAAAACAGATTCGCCGTCGGTAAAGTCTTCCAAGAAGCCGAAACCCTCGGCTACAGCCACAGACGGAGCGGCGAAGAGCTCGCTACGCGCCGATGACGACACGTGGAAGCAGCGCGCCTCGATCGACAAGGACCTCGCCGATCGTTCTGCCGGCAGCGACGGCGACGCCGCAGACGGCGCTGAGCCGGCCGCTGCCGGCGCGGCCGGCAAGGCAGGGGGGGGCGAGGCCGGCACGGGTGATGGCTATGAGGAGATGACGGGGCTAGTTCTTCGTAACGAGGAGTTTGAGGACGGCAACACGGGCGGCAGCGGCAGTGGCGGCGTGCGATGCCTGCACGAAGTTGCGTACCCCAAGGGCTGGAAGCTTCCTACCAGCAAGGAAGCTGCGCGGAAACCGCTGCCAGAGAAGCCCGCCAAGGAGTACCCGTTTAAGCTTGACCCGTTTCAGGAAGAGGCCGTGCGGTGCTTGGAAGCGAACGAATCCGTGCTGGTGAGAAAATCGCGACAGCGACCCTAAACCCACAAACCCCGACTGGAATGTTAATGCTTAAACCCTGATCGAAACCCTAGCTCAAAACCCAGACCGGAAATATAGCCGAAACTGTTGTTTAGAAACCCTCATCCCCGAGTGGATTCCTGGACACAAAACCCTGAGCCCGTTATTCGCATTTGAGAAGCAAGGAAGACGAGGATTCAGGGTTTAGAGCGGAACAAAGTACTGCTTGGCACAATATCACGTCCCCTTCCTCTGTATCCTTTCTTTTCCTCAACAACCCCTTCCCGTTCTGAGAGAGAGAGAGAGAGATTCTTCCTCGTCCTTCCCTTTCTCTCCTCCCTTCCTCACACACTCAGGTCTCAGCACACACATCAGCAGGCAAGACAGTGGTAGCAGAGTACGCGATAGCCATGGCGATGCGGGACAACCAGCGCGTCGTGTACACGTCGCCCATCAAGCCTCTCCCACTCTCATTCCCTCCCCCAACTCACTCTCCCCCACTCACTGCGGCAGGTATCAGCACACACATCAGCAGGCAAGACTGTGGTGGCGGAATACGCGATAGCCATGGCGATGCGGGACAACCAGTGCGTCGTGTACACATCGCCCATCAAGGCGCTGAGCAACCGAAGCACTCCCACTTTCTTCCCTCTCACTTCCTCTTCCCACTCCTCACCCTTTTTCTCCCGTTCCCTCACTCCCTCACTCCTTGTGTCCATTATTCGCAGGTATCAGCACACACATCAGCAGGCAAGACTGTGGTAGCGGAATACGCCATAGCCATGGCGATGCGGGACAACCAGCGCGTCGTGTACACGTCGCCCATCAAGGCGCTGAGCAATCAGAAGTTCCGCGAGATGAGTCAGGAGTTTGGGGACGTGGGGCTCATGACTGGGGATGTCACCATCGCCCCCAACGCCACCTGCCTGGTATGGTGCGGTGCAGTGCGGTGAGAGGGTGTTGTTGGTTGAGTCGTGTACATACACATCGCCCATCAAGGCGCTGAGCAACCAGAAGTTCCGCGAGATGAATCAGGAGTTTGGGGACGTGGGGCTCATGACTGGGGATGTCACCATCGCCCCCAACGCCACCTGCCTGGTATGGTGCGGTGCAGTGCGGTGAGAGGGTGTTGTTGGTTGAGTCGTGTACATACACATCGCCCATCAAGGCGCTGAGCAACCAGAAGTTCCGCGAGATGAATCAGGAGTTTGGGGACGTGGGGCTCATGACTGGGGATGTCACCATCGCCCCCAACGCTACCTACGTGGTGGGTGGTACAATGCTGCATTGGGTGTCATATCATCGTGCCTGGTGCAGTGTGACGACAGGGTGTCGTGTTGTGTGTACACATCGCCAATCAAGGTGAGACGAGGTGTATTGCCTGAGCGGACAAGGAGCTAGCACCCCATTCTGCTCCTCTCTACCCACCTCCACCGTTCTGCTTCACTCTGTATTGCCCCAACCCCCTCCCTCCTGCAGGTAATGACGACCGAAATTCTCCGCAGCATGCTGTATCAAGGATCCGATTTCGTGCGGGAGGTGGGGTGGATCATATTCGACGAGGTGCATTACCTGAGGGACAAGGAGCACTTGGTTCTTCTCCTCCTTTCCCACCTCCACCGCTCTGCACCGCTCTGTATTGCCCCCTTGTGCCACCCAGGTTATGACGACCGAAATTCTCCGCAGCATGCTGTATCGAGGATCTGACTTCGTGCGCGAGGTGGGGTGGATAATTTTCGACGAGGTGCATTACCTGAGGGACAAGGAGCGAGGGGTGGTGTGGGAGGAGAGTATCGTCATGGCTCCCAAGTCCTCCCGCTTCGTCTTCCTCTCCGCTACGGTCCCCAATGCACGCGAGTTTGCTGAGTGGGTGGCAAAGGTGCGTGAATAAGAGGACGAGACTGGTGCAGAGCGGTGCAGAGAGCAGTCATATTCTTATGATTCTGGCTTCGCCTTCCTCTCTCAGCTACTGTGAATGCACGCGACTTTGTTGAGTGGGTGGCAAAGGCACGTGACTTGCAAGTGACTGGTGCAGTGCGGTGCAGAGCAGCGCAGAGTGGTCATGGAGCAGTGCAGTGCAGGTGCACCAGCAACCATGCCACGTTTTGCACACCGACTATCGCCTCACGCCCCTGCAGCACTGAATTCTCCCTTTCCTCCTTTCTGTGTGCCCCTGCTCCGTCCCTTTCCCCCTCCTCCCTAGGTGCACCAGCAACCGTGCCATATTGTATACACACAGACTACCGCCCCACGCCTCTCCAGCACTACATCTTTCTCATTCTCTCTCCTTCTGTTTGTCTCTCTTTTCCCTCGTGTTGTCCCTTGTCCCGTTCCCCCTAACCAGGTGCACCAGCAGCCGTGCCACATCGTGTACACGGACTACCGCCCCACGCCCCTGCAGCACTACATCTTCCCCGCAGGGGGCATAAACACTCTTCCTGGGGTGGGCCTATTCTTTGGAGGCGCCCATAAACACTCTTCCTTTCCCCTTGTGTGTGCGATTCGCTACCCTTGTGTTTGACTTGACTGTCACCAGGTGCACCAGCAGCCGTGCCACATTGTATACACAGACTACCGCCCCACGCCCCTGCAGCACTACATCTTCCCCGCAGGGGGCATGGCATGGGCCTATTCCTAGCTGTGGACACTCCTCATTACATCTTCCCTCTCCTCCCTTGCCTTGTGTTTGCCTTTCTTACTTTTAATCTCCCCAGAAGCACCAACAACCCTGCCATATTGTATACACGGACCACCGTCCCACGCCCCTGCAGCACTACATCTTCCTCCTTCCCTCTGTTTACCTGTGCCCCTGCCCTCCATATTTTGCCCTTTGTTCACCAGGTGCACCAGCAGCCGTGCCACATTGTATACACGGACTACCGCCCCACGCCCCTGCAGCATTACATCCTCCGCGCAGGAGGCATGGGCCTATTCTCTCTGGCTCTGTGCGTGACTACGCCCTTGTGTGTGTCTTGCCCCCGCCTTTGACTGTGCGTGTGTGTGTTCACCAGGTGCACCAGCAGCCGTGCCACATTGTATACACAGACTACCGCCCCACGCCCCTGCAGCACTACATCTTCCCGGCAGGGGGCATGGGCCTATTCCTAGCCGTCGACGAGAAGGGCAAGTTCCGCGAAGCTTCCTTCCAGAAGGCGATGAACGCAGTGGAAGGGGGAGAAGGGGGCGGAGGAAAGGGGGAGGACGGGGAGGACGGGGGGAAGAAAGGGGGGAAGTGGGGGAAGGGGAAGCGGGGGGCAGGAGGGGGCGGCCCGGGGGGAGCCGGGGGAGGGGGAGGGGGGAAGAAAGGGGAGGAGAGTGATATATACAAGATAGTGAAGATGATAATGCAGAGGCAGTATGACCCGGTGATTGTGTTCTCCTTCAGTCGGGCTGATTGTGAGGCGCTGGCGCTGCAGATGTCACGCATGGACTTGAATGACGATGATGAGAAGACGCTGATTGATGGGATCTTCAGGAATGCCATTGACAGCCTGGCAGAAGAGGACAAGAAGCTGCCGCAGGTGCGTGAAGCTGCCTCAGGTGCGTGAAGCTGCCTCAGGTGCGTGAAGCTGCCTCAGGTGCGTGAAGCTGCCTCAGGTGCGTGAAGCTGCCTCAGGTGCGTGAAGCTGCCTCAGGTGCGTGAAGCTGCCTCAGGTGCGTGAAGCTGCCTCAGGTGCGTGAAGCTGCCTCAGGTGCGTGAAGCTGCCTCAGGTGCGTGAAGCTGCCTCAGGTGCGTGAAGCTGCCTCAGGTGCGTGAAGCTGCCTCAGGTGCGTGAAGCTGCCTCAGGTGCGTGAAGCTGCCTCAGGTGCGTGAAGCTGCCTCAGGTGCGTGAAGCTGCCTCAGGTGCGTGAAGCTGCCTCAGGTGCGTGAAGCTGCCTCAGGTGCGTGAAGCTGCCTCAGGTGCGTGAAGCTGCCTCAGGTGCGTGAAGCTGCCGCAGGTGCGTGAAGCTGCCTCAGGTGGGTGGGTATTCAAAGGCTACATCAGTTGAAGTGTGTGTGAGGCGCTGGCGCTGCAGATGTCTCGCATGGACTTGAATGACGATGATGAGAAGACGCTGATTGACGGGATTTTCAGGAATGCGATTGACAGCCTGGCAGAGGAAGACAAGAAGCTGCCGCAGGTGAGGGAGTGCATGAAGAGTGGGTCTCAGGTGAAGTGAACGGAACGGAGCACGCGCGGACTGTGAGGCGCTGGCGCTGCAGATGTCTCGCTTTTGAGAATTCTCAAAAGTGGCCATGCAGATGTCTCGCATGGACTTGAACGACGATGACGAGAAGACGCTGATTGATGGAATTTTCAGGAATGCGATTGACAGCCTGGCAGAGGAAGACAAGAAGCTGCCGCAGGTTTGTGGAACTGGCACAGGTGGATGGGTGAAGTGTGTGTGAGGCACTGGTGCTACAGATGTCACGGATGGTTTGAACAATGATGATGAGAAGTCTCTGTTTGATGGGATCTTTAGGAATGCGATAATCAGCCTGACAGAACAGAAGAGGACAAGAAGAACAGGAAAGGATTGTGTGAAGCCTTACAATGTGGCTTGACCAAGAATGTTGGTGAACAAGAATATTCAGGGCATTGACCATTCTTTCTTCTCCTTTACTCAGCTCAACCGCCCTCAATATCCCCCCCCCCCCCCCCCCCCCCCCCCCCCCAATCCCCCCTGGTGAACAGCATGCTGCCGTTGTTGCGGAGGGGCAGCAGCATTCACCACTCAGGGCCTTTAATGACTCCTGATGACTCCTGATGACTCAGGGCAGCAGCATTCACCACTCAGGGCCTTTAATGACTCGTGATGACTCGCGGGTCTTCAGGCAAGTCATTAGGCCCCATCCCCCATCCCAACTCACAACACCCCCATAACATCAGGTGAACAGCATGCTGCCGCTGCTGCGGAGGGGCATCGGCATCCACCACTCGGGGCTGCTTCCGCTGCTGAAAGAAGTCATCGAAATCCTCTTCCAAGAGGGGCTGCTCAAGGTGCGCGCGAGCATTGTGTTGTGTTCAGCTGCATGGAGTTGCGCTGTATGTCTACCTGTATGCTCATTGCTCCCCTCGGTTGACCACCTTGGGCTCTTGGGCATGGGGGGCTTTCACTCCGCCATTCGGGGCTGCTGCCGCAGCTGAAAGAAGTGATCAAAATCCACTTTCAAGAGGGGCTGCTCAAGGTGTGTATGTGGGGACTGAGACCTTCAGCATTGGGCTTTTCATGCCCGTCGCTGCTCTGCTGCTCCTGATGTGATGTCTCCGTCATATCAAATCCCCCGTTTCTTCCCAACCCCACCACCTCCTCACCACCCCTTCAATGCCTCTTCGCAACAAAGACCTTCAGCATCGGCCTCAGCATGCCGCCAAGACTGTCGTCTTCACCAACGTGCCATTCAGCGTTCTCTCTCATTCCCACTCATTCTCTACCGTATCCCCATCATCACTCCACCAGTGCCTGTTTGCCACGGAGACGTTCAGCATTGGGCTCAACATGCCGGCCAAGACGGTTGTGTTCACCAACGTGCGCAAGTGGGACGGCACCAAGTCCCGGTGAGTGCTTGTGGCTTATGCATACTCTTACGAGGCTCGCTACGGGTCAAACCCAAACCTTTCTCAACAGCATCGGCTTCACTCACATCACATGCCGGCCAAGACGGTCGTCTTTGTTAGAAATATCCTTCTCTTGTAACCTGCATTCATACTATCAAGATCGGGTAGAGATAACCACCCAACCTTAGGTTGGGTGTATAGCTAGGGTTAACCCTAAAGTTGGGGTTGAGACCCAACCTTTGGCCCAAATTATTGGACCCCAAAGGTTGGGTTGGGAACATTATTGGTTCCCCTCCAATAATGTTGACCCAACTCAAGAGTGGTCATCAACATTATTGGAGGTCCTCCAATAATCCCCAACCCAACTTATTGGTGGACCCCCAATAATGTTGGATCCCTCTCCTCTACTCTTCCCAACTATGTAAACCCAAGCCTTTCATAGTTCAATCATAACATTCTGTTCAAACCTTGTTCTTCACAGTCTTCATCAACGTGCGCAAGTGCCGGTGAGAATTGTAACCTTGTTATTCCCTTTCTTTTTATCTATTCGGCCATGTCTGTGTAGTCGTTTTTTATTCTAATGTCTTCGTTTTTTCTCAAAAGGGAAGGTCTCGTCCTCTATCCCCTTGCCTTCTTCCCTCCCTCTTCCCCAACCCCCACCCTCCTTCCTTCCTTCCACCTCTCCTCTCCCCCTCGTGCCCCCCCACCCTATCTGCAGTTGGATGTACTATCTTTCTTCTGCTTTCCCATTGCTCCTTCCGTCAACCCCTTCTGTCTTTCCGCTCCACCTCGTACATGCAGGTGGCTGTCAGGAGGCGAGTACATTCAGATGAGCGGGCGGGCAGGCAGGTTCCCAGCATTCGTGTTACCGCTCATTACGCCTCCGTCTTGCTGCGTTACCCCCACTTATGCCTCCCACCCCATCCTGCAGGTGGCTGTCAGGAGGCGAGTACATTCAGATGAGCGGGCGGGCAGGCAGGCGAGGCCTGGACGACCGGGGTATCTGCATTCTCATGGTGGACTCGCGGATGGAACCAGCCGTTGCCAAGGGGATGGTCAAGGGCTCTGCAGACCCCCTAGTGAGGTGCGTGTGAGGGGGATCGAATAAAAGCTTCTACTTTTATTCCATACAAGGCAGGCGAGGCCTGAACGACCGGAGCATCTGCGTTCTGATGGTGGACTCGCGAATGGATGGAGCCAGCCGTTGCCAAGGGGATGGTCAAGGGCTCTGCGGACCCGCTAGTGAGGTAAAGTGTGCTTCCTGTCTTATAAAGGCAGTCTACAACCCACCAGTGTACTACAGCAGCATCTGCATTCTGATGGTGGACTCGCGCATGGATGGAACCGGCCGTGGCCAAGGGGATGGTCACAGGCTTGGCATGGCAGACCCCTTCGTGAGGTGCGGCGTGCTATATTAGGAGCATACCCGCAAGACGACCGCAGCATTTGCATTCTGAATGTACCCCCTTTTCTGACAGCTTGTGTGGTGGTCTCACACATGAGGCCAAGGCCTCCAGTGAGGGCTCTGCAGGCAGGTGCAGTGCTTCGCTCAAGTCAGGAAAGCTAGAACCAATCTCTTTGCTATGAGGCACCCGCTTCACTGTTTCCTTTCCTCCTGCCTCCTGCTGTCTTACACCTTCCCTTCCCTTCCCCTTTTTCCCACTTTCTTGTCTTGCTCCTTGTGTCCAATCAGCGCATTCCACCTGTCGTACAACTTCATTCTGAACCAGCTGAGGAGTCCAGAAGTGGAGATAGAGCAGACTATCAGAAGCTCCTACCGCCAGTTCCAATCAGACCGAGCATTACCAGCACTGCAGGTGCGTACATGAGAGGGAATCTTGGTTTCTTTTCAAGGGTTCGGTTTGGAGATTCTTGAAAGTGCAAAAGTGAAAAAAGAGCAGTCACATCGTACTATCAGTTCCGACCGCATAGAGCGCTCCCAGCCCTGCAGGTGCGTTGATCAGACAGAATCCTGGCTTCAAAAACCCTGAGCTGAGATCCGCTCCTTCCTCACCACCCCGTCTTCAGCACGCTCTCCCCTTCCCGTTCCCCGTTGCCCGCCTTTTCACCCAACAGGCACCTTTGCAAGCACTCGAGGCCGAGCACTCAACAGTCATCCCCGACGAGTCATCTCTCCTCGGCCTCTGTCGCCAACTCTCCGCCCTGAGAGCTCAAATCCGTTCCTTCCTCACCACCCCCTATTTACCACAGTCTGCCTTCCCACTTTTTCCGCCCTCCTCCCTTTGCCCCCCTTCGCAGGCGCGCCTACAAGCATTGGAAGCCGAGCACGCAGCAATCACCATCCCCGACGAGTCGTCCCTCCTCGCCCTCCTCTCCCTCCGCCGCCAACTCTCTGCTCTGAGGGCGGAGATCCGCTCCTTCCCCACTGCCCCCCCCCCCCCCCCCGCCCTCCCCTTCCCGTTCCCTGTCGCCCCCTTTTCCGCCCCACAGGCACGCTTACAAGCATTGGAAGCTGAACATTCAACAATCAGCATCCCCGATGAGTCGTCTCTCCTCGCCCTCCTCTCCCTCCGCCGCCAACTCTCCGCTCTGAGGGCTCAGATCCGCTCCTCCCTCACCACTCCCTCTTTACCACAGCCAAACTCTCGCCTTTCCCTGCCCTGCCCCCTTTCTCCCCCCAACAGGCGCGCTTGCAAGCACTGGAAGCGGAGCATTCAGCAATCAGCATCCCTGACGAGTCGTCTCTCCTCGCCCTCCTCTCCCTCCGCCGCCAACTCTCTGCTCTGAGGGCTGAAATCCGTTCCTTCCTCACCACCCCCCGCCACGCCCTCCCCTTCCTCTCCCCTGGGAGGGTTGTGCGGATACTGTGCCTGGGGGGAGGGGGCGGGGCGGGGGGAGCGGAGGGGGAAGGGGAGGGGGAGGGGGGAGGGGAAGGGGGGGAGGCGGGGGTGATAGGGAACGAGGAGGATGTGACTGTATGGGGCGTGGTGGTGAATTTCAAGAAGGTCAACCGGAAAAGGGGAGTGGGAGGAGGGGAGCAGCAAGATGGTGAGTGCGCCTTTGAAATTGTCTCGTGTGTCGCGGTTTGTTTGCCAGGGAGTTGTGTATGGGGCCCCCCAGGCGGCCCCATTGGGAGTTGTGTATGGGGCCCCCCAGGCGGCCCCATTGGGAGTTGTGTATGGGGCCCCCCAGGCGGCCCCATTGGGAGTTGTGTATGGGGCCCCCCAGGCGGCCCCATTGGGAGTTGTGTATGGGGCCCCCCAGGCGGCCCCATTGGGAGTTGTGTATGGGGCCCCCCAGGCGGCCCCATTGGGAGTTGTGTATGGGGCCCCCCAGGCGGCCCCATTGGGAGTTGTGTATGGGGCCCCCCAGGCGGCCCCATTGGGAGTTGTGTATGGGGCCCCCCAGGCGGCCCCATTGGGAGTTGTGTATGGGGCCCCCCAGGCGGCCCCATTGGGAGTTGTGTATGGGGCCCCCCAGGCGGCCCCATTGGGAGTTGTGTATGGGGCCCCCCAGGCGGCCCCATGGCCCCATTGGGAGTTGTGTATGACAATCAAACAAACAAACAAATTGTCTCCCGGTCTGCACGGCCGCACCACCTTCCTGGGCCCCCCAGGCGGCCCCATGGCCCCATTTAGAGTTCTGCCCGCATATGATATGACATGGCATTGTGTAGTACTGTGACTTGTGGCATTTGAGTCAACTCAAAAAGTCAATATGATCTGAACATTTCACACACATTGCTTCTCCTTACTCCCTCCCACACTTGCAGAGGCGGCGGAAGCAGCAGCTGACGTGGCGTATGACGTGGACATTCTCACGCGGTGTGTGGAGGAAGGAAGTGCAGGGCGCATGGGGCCGCCTGGGGGGCCCAGGAAGGTGGTGCGGCCGTGCAGACCGGGGGAGGAAGGGGGCAGTCCGCTAGTTGCCTCGTTCCCTCTGACCCAGGTATGGCACCACCAGTCGTTGCACCCCTTGCTCTTTCATGGGGCCGCCTGGGGGGCCCAGGAAGGTGGTGCGGCCGTGCAGACCGGGGGAGGAGGGAGGCAATCCATTGGTTGCCTCGTTCCCTCTAACTCAGGTGCGTGGTGCGGCAGTGCTTCTTCTGAGTAGCAATGGAGGAGGAAGGAAGTGCAGGGCGCATGGGGCCGCCTGGGGGGCCCAGGAAGGTGGTGCGGCCGTGCAGACCGGGAGAGGAGGGAGGCAATCCCTTGGTTGCCTCGTTCCCTCTGACCCAGGTATGTGTTGCGGCATTGGTTCTTCTGAGAAGATTTTTGAGTCGACTCAAAAGTCACCTCATTGGTTCTTCTGAGAAGATTTTTGAGTCGACTCAAAAGTCACCTCATTGGTTCTTCTGAGAAGATTTTTGAGTCGACTCAAAAGTCACCTCATTGGTTCTTCTGAGAAGATTTTTGAGTCGACTCAAAAGTCACCTCATCGGTTCTTCTGAGAAGATTTTTGAGTCGACTCAAAAGGTTCTTCTGAGAAGATTTTTGAGTCGACTCAAAAGTCACCTCATTGGTTCTTCTGAGAAGCAATGGCCGTGTGAACATGTCGCTTGGATGTATGCATGTTGCTGATTGGGAGCGGCAGGAAGGTGGTGCGGCCGTGTAGACCAGGGGAGGAAGGGGGCGCTCCTCTTGTTGCCTCGTTCCCTCTGACTGACTCGGTATTGAATCACCAGTTGTTGCACCTCTTGTTGCTGCAGTTTTCATGTGAATTGAAAATATCGCTCGGCAAGGAGGGGGGCTTGTGTTGATTTCCTCAGACTAACGTTTGTCACGACCAGTATACTCTGCTGCTGTACCCTCTAGTCGTTGCACCTCGTGCTCCTTTAATGTGGTGCTGTGCGGTGCGGCTGTTCCTCCCCACCCCAAGGACCCGAAATGTGGTTACAAGGAGCCAACCGAAGCCTCGTTGCCCCTTTTTCTTCCTCAAAGGGTGCACCGAATCAGTGGAGCTCAACCCCTCATGCTGCTCCATCCATCTATTCTCGTTATAATCAACCCTCTTGCAATTGGATGGCATAAGCGCAGTGCGCCTGTTTCTTCCAAAGGACCTGAAGCACAAAGTGCCAGGGGAGGCCGTCCGCTCTCTTGCTTTTCCTTACTTTCCTCCCTTTATCCCCGTTGTGATCATTTCCTCTTTCAGCTGGATGGGATAAGCACAGTGTGCCTCTTTCTCCCAAAGGACCTGAAGCACAAGGAGCCAAGAGAGGCCGCCCTAAATTGCTCCTATACGTCCTTCTCCTTCTCTGTTTATATCTATTGTAATCAACCCCATTTTCAGCTGGATGGCATAAGCGCAGTGCGCCTCTTTCTCCCAAAGGACCTGAAGCACAAGGAGCCAAGAGAGGCCGCCCTGAAGTCGCTGCAGCAGCTGCTGCTGAGAGCTGGGGCAGATGGCGTGCAAATGCTGGACCCTGAAGAGGATATGGAGGTATGCTTGTAAAGGGGATAATGTGTTCTTGCTTGTACTGTTGAGGGAGTAAATGGTCTGCAGATGCTGAATCCTGAAGAAGATATGGAGGTATGCTTGTAGAGAGTACGCAACAATGCTTGTAGAGAGTGTGTCAGGTTAACGCATCTGCTGCAAGCTGGGGCGGATGGTGTGCAGAGGCTGGACCCTGAAGAAGATATGGTGATATGCTTATGGAGGGTACAGTCGCAGAGTGTGCTGTGTGCACATAGTTTATGCTTCTGCTGAAGTCCAGAGAGGAGGCATGCTTTCAATTCAAAAGTCCTAATGGTTACAGAAGAATATGTTTGCAAAGGTGTGAAGTGGATGGCGTGCTGCTCTGACTCCGGTTGGTGTAGCAAAGATTGTAAACCTTTTTTTGCGTCTCAAAAGCTTTTGCGTCTCAAAAGCTTCTCCTTAATTCCTCTCTCATGCCCTCTTCTCTTCTTTCCACCCGTCCAGGTCAACAGCCCAGCCTATCGCAAGGCCGTGAGGAGAGCCGAAGCACTCGAAGCACTGATCGCTTCCCACGCTCTAGCCTCGGCGCCGGACCTGCAGGTTCGGGTCCGGGAGCTGGCTCGGAAGAGCAAGCTGAAAATTGCACTCAAAGTGCTTAAAAAGGAGGTCAAGGCGGCGGGCGGGCTTATATTGAAGGACGAGCTTAAAGCGAGGATGAGGGTGCTGCGTCGATTGGAGTGAGTATTGGAAAGGGAGGGGTGGGGTGCATGGGGGTGTTAAGAAAGACTATTATTGAAGGACGAGCTTAAAGCGCAGATCAGGGTACTGCGGCCATTAGAGTGAGTATAACGAACGGAGGGAGGGATATCGGAGGGAGGGACTGCTGTTCCCCGCTATTACATTGATAGGACGAGATTGTGCGAGTCAAAGGCAGGGTAGCCTGTGAGATCTCCTCTGCAGACGAGCTGGTGGTCTCTGAACTGTTCTTCAATACTGTTCTTCAGTGTTGCCCTGACAGACCTGTCTCCCGAGACCGTGGCAGCATAGCCAATCACCCAACCATCTGGTGTTCTCTTCTTCTGTTCCTTGTTCCCAGCAGATACATTGATAGGATGAGATTGCGCGAGTCAAAGGAAGAGTGGCCTGTGAGATCTCCTCAGCGGACGAGCTAGTGGTCACAGAACTGCTCTTCAGTGCAGCCCTGGCTTTCCCTGTTTCCCTTCCCCGTGTCCTTGCAGGTACATTGATGAAGATGAGATCGTGCGAGTCAAGGGCAGGGTAGCCTGTGAGATCTCCTCGGCAGACGAGCTGGTGGTGACCGAATTGCTCTTCAGTGCAGCCCTGGCTTTCCCTGTTTCCCTTCCCCGTGTCCTTGCAGGTACATCGATGAAGATGAGATCGTGCGAGTCAAGGGCAGGGTAGCCTGTGAGATCTCCTCAGCAGACGAGCTGGTGGTGACCGAATTGCTCTTCAGTGCAGCCCTGGCGGACCTCCCTCCCGAGACCGTGGCAGCGCTGCTGTCGTGCTGCGTGTGGCAGGAGAAGGGGGCCGGCGGGGCCAAGAGACCGAGAGAGAGCCTGCAGGGACCGCTGGCGCAGCTGAGGGAGATTGCCAGGCGGATAGCGCGCGTGCAGGAGGAGTGTAAGGTGAGAACCGATGTAGAGTCAGAGTCAGAATGCAGAGATGGGCAGCGCTGCTGTCGTGCTGCGTGTGGCAGGTGAAGGGGGGGGGGCAGGCGAAGAGACCGAGGGAGAGTTTGCAGGGGCCGCTGGCGCAGCTGAGAGAGATTGCAAGGCGGATAGCACGGGTGCAGGAGGAGTGTAAGGTGAGAACCGATGTAGAGTCAGAGTCAGAATGCAGAGAGGGGCAGTGCTGCTGTCGTGCTGCGTGTAGCAAGTGAAGGGGGGGGGGCAGGCGAAGAGACCGAGGGAGAGTTTGCAGGGGCCGCTGGCGCAGCTGAGAGAGATTGCAAGGCGGATAGCGCGCATGCAGGAGGAGTGTAAGGTGAGAAATGGGTGTGTGCCAGTGGGGCTTGCTGCGGTTTGCGTTCGGCAGAAAGGGATTGAAAGTGATGGGGAGGTAGTAGGCTGAGGGAGAGCTTGCAGGGGCCGCTGGCGCAGCTGAGGGAGGGAGATCACCCGGCGGATAGCACGGGAGCAGGAGGAGTGTAAGGTGATGCCTTTCTTCTCTTGCTCTCCCTCCTCTTCCACTCTTCATCAGATTTCTCTCAACGTGGAGACCTGCGCACGCCGCATTGTTCCGGCCGGACAGACAGCATGGAAGCAGTGTTTGGGTGGTGCCACGGGCGCTGCACTGCAGATGTGCGCAATGCCTCTCCCCCCCTCCTCCCCTCTCCCTGCCGCCATCAGATTGCATCATTTTGACCGAACATCATGGAGGCGGCGTTTGGGTGGTGCCACGGGGCCGCGTTTGCTGTTTTGCCCAATGCCACGGCGTTTGGGTGGTGCCACGGGGCCGGGTCCACTGTCTCCCCTTTACCCTCTCCCTACTTACGTGGCCTCATTTTGACCGAACATCATGGAGGCGGCATTTGTGTGGCGCCACAGGGCCGTATTTACGGATGTGTCCAATGCCTCTCCCGCTCTCCTCCCCTATCACTGCTGCCATCAGATCGTTCTGAATGTGGAGACCTACGTGGCCTCGTTCTGCCCAGACATAATGGAGGCAGTGTTTTGGTGGTGGCATGGGGCCGCGGTTATTGATCTTTTGAACGCTCGTCTCACCCTGCCTGCCTCCCAATACCCTCTCCCTGCCTTTTGAGTTGACTCAAAAGTCAACGCTCGTCTCACCCTGCCTGCCTCCCAATACCCTCTCCCTGCCTTTTGAGTTGACTCAAAAGTCAACGCTCGTCTCACCCTGCCTGCCTCCCAATACCCTCTCCCTGCCGCCATCAGATTGCCCTTGACGTGGAGACCTACGTGGCGTCCTTCCGACCCGACATCATGGAGGCGGTGTTTGGGTGGTGCCATGGGGCCGCGTTTGCTGATGTGCTGGCAGCAGCCGACACGTTTGAGGGGTCTCTGATCCGCGCTATGAGGCGACTGGAAGAGCTGCTGCAGGAGGTGAGACTCTCACCGTGAGAGTGAGAAAGTGTGAGCTATGAGTGGGTTGACTAACAACGTACAGAGAGACACGAAGCAACAGCTTTCAGGAGTTGCTGATCTGTCATGAGGCAGTTGGAACAGTTGCTGTAGGAGGTGAGTGTGGGAGGGCGTACCTTGTGACTTGAGAGTGTCTTGTGATGTGAGAGGGTTGAAAAATCACTTAGAGGCAGCTGCCTACACGTTTGAGGGGGCGCTGATCTGTGCTATGAGGCGGCTGGTAGCGCTGCTGCAGGAGGTGAGTGTGAGCTATGAGTGGGCTAGTTAACAACGCAGAGAGACACGAAGCAACAGCTTTCAGGAGTTGATGATCTGTCATGAGGCGGCGGCTGGAAGAGTTTCTGCAGGAGGTGAGTGCGGTGGGAGAGTGAACTGTGAGTTGAGTAGTAGAACACAGGCAGCAAATCAGTGCGTTGCATACAATTCCTTAACCTCCAGCATGTTCAAGCCGTCCTCATCATCCCTCTGTGACGTCGTTTTGTCTTTGTTCATTTGTGTGTTCAGATAATTGTGGCGAGTAAGACTATCGGAGAAACAAGCCTTGCAGAAAAGATTTCCGCAGCAAGTGAGAAGCTTAAGAGAGGCATTGTGTTTGCAGCATCTCTTTACCTATGAGTTATTATCAATTTGTGGTGCAATGAAGCTCGTGTGACAATGACTACTAAGGGTACATTCCGCTGTAGACACATGTCCCAATCGATGTGTCCCAATCGAGTGTACCGCTCCGAACCGAACTAAACCAGAGACGCGAAAATTTCGAAACTAGGGTGCAATTCGGTGTAATACGATGCAGTGCGGTAGAAACGATTGGGACACATCGATTGGGACGTGTGTCCACAGCGGAATGTACCCTAAGCTAGGCCTTACTAGGCTTGATGCTTTTGAGATTGTTGCCATACCATCAACTATCCCTACTGTCTAGTGTATGTTTCAAAATCGTTTAGCTGAAAAAGCTACGGTAGCTGTTTGCTATTATTGCAAGTGTAGGTACAGGCAAGTTGTAAGGAAAAATCATTTTCCTTACTTCGCATCCGTGCTCAACGCGTACAGCACTGTAGCACCACAGTCAGCACCGTTACCACTCGCCACCCTCGCATCGACAATCCGCCCGCCACCTTCGCACATCGCACCCCGACCTTACGGCTCGGCGGGTAACCCGCGCTCCGGGCCTCCGCTTCGACACTTTTTCCCAACCTCAGTCCCAGGCCCGTCGCGCGACAACCATAGTCCATTACCGTTACCACTGTAGTTTCGCTATATATTCTTTGCTCATGCCTTCGCTCATTGTATTCTTGCCTCGATAGTGCAATTCTCGTTCGTTCACTCAATTGCACTCGTAACACCTGGTATTCAGAGCCTACGATCTCCTCTCGGACCGCACCCACACCTTCGCTTCCCCACTATCTCAAATTTTGGAGGGGGTAGACGTCTCTCAGCGACACAGCACCGCCGCTCGTAGTGCTCTCTCGCAAGCACGCACGGCCACGACCGAGGCTCTCGCTGAGCTCGCCCGACACCCCTGCCATGGCCGAATTCACGCTCGCCACATTGACGCAGGAGCAGCTCGACCGTCCGGTGCGCCAACTTGAAGATTCGGCGCTTGAAATTGCGACGCTCACGGCGGAACGTGACTCCGCGCGTCAGCAATCAACAATGAACACTCCAGCGCCACCACACGCATCGACAAATGCATCTGCACAATCAGACGAGCCGATCGTCATCTCGTCCGGCACACCAACACAAAACAACAGCGTGGGACAGCGCTCAGGCACAGCAAGCGATGGCGCCGCCCAGCCGATGCCTGGCATGGGAGGAAACAGGGTCGCACCAAGCCCGCGGGAGCCTCGTGAAGCCCGTCGGCACGTGGAGTTCGCGGCGACAAGTGGCGAACACGCCATCATGGCACCAATGCCACTCAAGCCGCAACGCCCGCCCCGCTTCGACCCAAGCCAGCGTGGAGGTCCAATGGTTCAGTCGTGGGTCTTCACGATGAACGTCTTCTTCGACGCGAATTACGTCGAGTCGGACGCAGCGAAGATTCGTTATGCCGTTTTGCTAAGGGGCCCCGCCATGGACTGGTGGCGAGTCATCGTGACGTCGCCACGCGCCTACGAGCCACCGTCGCAAGAGGAAGGGCCCACGGGCCCAACTATCACCTGGAGTTCATTCTGCGAGACCGCCCAATACAGCATGTGGGATGCGTGGTGCGCACGGCTTCGGGCGCGCTTCGAACCGATCGCGGCTTCTATTTCGGCGCGTCAGAGATTGCGCACTTGGCGGCAGCTTGGATCGGTTCAAGACTATACGAGTGGTTTTCTCGCATTATGCGAGCAAGTCGGCTATATGCACGAAGCGGAGCGGGTGGACCGTTACGTTGGAGGGCTGAAGCCGGACATCTCGCACGAAATCATGCTACGCGGGCTCTCAAACTTCACCGAGATTCTTGCGCTCGCCGAGAAAATCGACATTTTACGCCGTCCGAGACCGGGGTCCTACTATGGACATCGTCCTCGGGGACCGATCGAGCACGCCACTGTACACGTTGTTGCGACGAATGCAGCTGCCGCGCCGTTTAAGGGGCGCTGCTTCGCTTGCAACAGGCCGGGCCATCGCAAGAGCGAATGCCCAGAGGAGCTAAGGCGCCGCGGAGCAGAGCAGGGGAGGAAGTCTCCAAGGCAGGGAAATGCCAGCAGTCAGTAGGAATCGGGCCAACTACTGACGAGACTGCCTGCTCGCCCAACCCCACCGACCCTCACCGATTCACAGTACCGATTCATGCTATCAATCGGACTCGAACGAATAAGGAGGGTACAGCGACGGATTGCCCAGTACTGATCCACGGGAAAATACAGGGAGCAGAAGTGAAGATTTTTATCGACGGAGGAGCAAGCCACAGTTTAGTTAATACCGCAACCGCACGAAAACTGCAACTGACACTTAGCCGTTGTTTACCGGAGATAGATGCACGCTTAGTCGACGGCACGCCACTGGCCATACGGGAAAAGGTAGAAAGACTGAAAGTCCGCTGTGGGGGAAATTTCGGGTTTACACAAGAAATGCTCGCAACAGCATTGGATGGGCACGATATTTTATTGGGACGTGATTGGCTGCGACGGTATAACCCGCGAATTGACTGGACGACGGGTAGCTGCACCGTGCGAAGTAGTGGTAACTGGGTCGAGCTACCTCGTTGGCAGTCGCCCAAGTCATCAACAGTACACGTCAACGCCATCACAATGAAACGGGCTCTCGCTGCTGGAGCTGACGTGTACGCAGTAGACATCGCAGTAGTAGAGGAAACAGAGCAGCCGAGTGATTTCAAGAAACTGTTGGCAGCTGTACCGCCCGAATTACAGGAACTGTTGAAACGATACCCCGGGATTTTCCCCGACGACTTACCGGAAGGACTTGTCGAGAGTAAAAGGAATTAAGTTGAAAGGTGGGGCCTAGGCTTAGGAGCCTAGGCCCGAACTTAGGTGTCGAGTAGGTTTCCCTAGGCGAGGTATCGAGTGAGTTGGAAGAGAGAAATTGGAGAATGGGTTTCACTATAGGTTTCAAGAAACATATAGCATAAGAAACAAAGTTGGTGCACCACCTACAAAGTACAATAACTACACTACAACTACAAGCAGTTATAAAATATGACAAACATATTTCGACACGCCCCCATAATGCTTGTAGGTAGAAATGTAGTTACGCCCCCTGAGGGGGTACACCATGCAAAATAATCACAAGCAACAGCAGGTAATGCAGGCGGGCTAACATTAACGAGTTACCCCCTCCATCTCCTCACCCTCCTCCTTCCCCTCCCCCACACTGCTGCAGGAGCAGCAGAGAAGGGGGGGAAGAGAGGAGAGGTGGAGGGACGGCTGCATGTTGCCTCACACCCGCCACCCCGGTACCACTCCCCCTGCTCCCCCACATCCTCACACCTTCTCCCCCCAGCGGCAGCTGCAGCGGTGGGACTGAAAGAAGGAGGAGGGGAAGGGAGAGAGGTGACGCCACACTCCAACACCCTCCACCCCCATACCCTCCTCCCCGCGGCTGCAGGGAGACAAAGGAGGAGGGGGGTGGGAAGGAATAAAGCCGCAGAGCGGCGAAAAGGTGTCGGTGCAGTGGTGTCAGGGGCGGCTTCAGGGAGTGCAGGGGCGGAAAGGCCCGTCGCGGGCCAGTGCCACGGGGCGCACGACGGGTAGAATAAAAGGGCCCGATCGTGTGCCTCGGGGCGCACGACGAGCAGGGCACCATCGTGTGCCACGGGGCGCACGATGGGCAGACGAAGGGCACCGTCGCGTGCCACGGGGCGCGCGACGGGCAGGGAAGGAGTCACTCGCCCGTGGGCGGGACAATGTAAAAATAAAATCGTCACGCGCCCTAGGCGCGCGAACGGAAAACCTTAGCAGCGGAAGTGTAAGGTGGGCCCATAGGCCAGGACGAACCTAGCTCTGATACCATGTCGAGAGTAAAAGGAATTAAGTTGAAAGGTGGGGCCTAGGCTTAGGAGCCTAGGCCCGAACTTAGGTGTCGAGTAGGTTTCCCTAGGCGAGGTATCGAGTGAGTTGGAAGAGAGAAATTGGAGAATGGGTTTCACTATAGGTTTCAAGAAACATATAGCATAAGAAACAAAGTTGGTGCACCACCTACAAAGTACAATAACTACACTACAACTACAAGCAGTTATAAAATATGACAAACATATTTCGACAGGACTGCCACCTCAACGAGCACATGATCACCGAATCGAATTAGAACCGGGGGCACAGCCAACCGTACAGCGCCAGTTCAGACTGACACAGCCCGATCTCGACGAACTAAGGAAGCAGTTAGATTACCTGTTAGAGAAAAAATTCATCAGACCGAGCTCATCACCGTTCGCCGCACCGATACTATTCACGCCTAAGAAAGACGGGGGTTTTCGCATGTGTATCGACTACAGGGCACTGAACAGGGTAACTGTCAAGTCGCGGTACCCCATTCCCCGCGCCGACGAACTGATCGACCAACTGCGAACAGCACGGGTTTTTTTCAAAAATAGATTTAGGACTAGGTACGGGTCGTTCGAGTACACTGTGATGCCATTCGGGCTGACCAACGCACCGGCGACTTTTCAGATGACCATGAACGAGGCATTCAGGCCGCTCTTAGATAAATGCGTGATCGTGTACCTCGACGACATCCAAGTTTACAGTCGGGATAAGCAGCAGCACTTAGCAGATCTGGAAGCAGTATTTAAGGTTTTAGACGAGCACAGATTACTGACCAAGGGTT